CTAGTTGCCCAGGTGTTGTCATGGTTGAATCATAAATGCAAGTGCAGTTTTAACATCATATTCATTGAAACAATATAGCAATTTTGGTAGAATGTTCAAATCACAGGTTAAAGTTATTATCAAAAACTTGTGTGGGGTACTATAATGCTGACCCTACTGTGCACTCAAACTCTATGTGCAGTATTTGTAAAATATCAAAAATTACAAAAAATGCAACCGAAAGGATTTAAATTCACAAAAAGAGTTTGCAAAGTTTACTATCTTGTATCATATAATCAACCTCTTCTGAAATCAATCTACTGAAATATTTGTCACTCAAAATAGATTAAAAAAACGTTGAAAATATTTGAGATAGCAGCATTCTTTCACAGTACACTACATTGAAAATCATTGATAGATCCAAGACCAGATGGATTCGATAAATAATATTAATGATAAAGTTTGCTACATTTAGAATGTAAAGGGTAATGTATTCTCTTAAAAGCAGTTTGGTTTCTTCTATTACTGTAAACTCTGTATTAGCGTATAGTAATCTTTCAGAAATAAATCAACGAAATCTCATCCTTTTAAATAATCTAACAATGATTTTTTAACAGTACACATTCTATTTATTTATATTTTGTCAACAAACTAAGTCAAATAAGATAAATAACATTATTATCTCAAAAACAAAAATGATGGGAAATGAAGTATATTTCTCTGTGTACAGTAACATTTTAGCAAAACCCTAATTCTGCTTTGAGAAGCAACTTCTACAGTTTGCTGGAATATGAAACCACATTAATGTTTGCGTTGACAGCTTAATGGGCCTAGATAGGGATTTAACATGCAGTATAGTTATACTGGTAGCGGTATACGCATTTCTTGATTTGACAATAGAGCCAGGTGTAGCGTTTCATCGAGCATAAGATCTCCGTTCAATTTGTCCACACTAGGTTGCAATTATTGCTTAATCGATGGTATACGCATGCGCAATATCGTTTTTAATTTAATAGTGTTTCTGAGTGATAGTGCAGGCTGCCAGGATGCCCCCGGCAATTTCAGCTATTTAACATTATTTTCACATTTGTGTTAGGGTAATATAAGAACTAGTAATTCAATGAAACCAATTTCAATCCTCGCTAACCTAATGGTAGATACACCTTCTGATAATGTTATTTTATATTTATCTGATGGGGCGGATTCATCATCTTGTTTGAAGTCTTCGGGCGTTCCATGAGCATATATATATTCAAATTGCGCTGATTCCCAGCCCTTCTTTTTAGGACGAGTAGAAATTTTTATATGCGCAACCTTTTTATTTCAAGAAGACAGTGGTAATATCTTTAATGAAATTTCAGGCCACGACAACTTTACGGGTTTTACCATGGACTTTCCTTTGAAAGTCCACATGGTTATACATGTGAACGGTTCAACCTAGATTGTTTATTCCAAGAAGTAGTGACATTAGCCCATATATGGGCTACCCATTGTAGATGTCTAATGGAGGATTTCTAGACTACCTCATCGTTTTGATTTCTTAATATTTTTTATTTTGGTATTCCTCAGTGAAATCTGTCGAATTCAAAATAAAGAAGAGATTCTGAATTAGATTTTGAAGTTTTCCTCATTATGGTAGTCCCAACAAAACATGCAACAAATGAGTAGTAGGGAGATGAGCTGAGGTAACTTAACTTTGAAAAATAGTCACAATTTTACAATATTTTGTTCATAAAGTTTCGTCATGCCTATTTTCTAGAGTCCATCAGTTATATAAATCTGTGATTTTCAAGTTGGAGCAACTGAAGAGATCAGGAATTGAAATGACTTTTCTGATTGTTCTTTACTCTCCTAGGCCTTCACTATACAGTAATCCGATTTTAAAGGTATTTGGCTTTTAAGGTTATTTGGTAAAACTGGACGTTTCCTTTTCGATTCTCATAATGTCGACATTTCTGTATCTCAAACAGACAATCAGTTCAATTCAATCAGCTATTTTTTGTCAGATGATCAAATTAAGGAAACACATTCATAATGATAAGGACTGTCCGGTTCGGCAGTCAGTGTTCGGCGTCTGTAACAAATGATAGGTGGTGACATTTTGCATGTCAATGCCTTGTTCGAAATTGACACTGATACGAGAACACAAAGTGTTAGTAAAAAGTTTATTTTCTTCTCTGCCATGCATGGCTTAAAGCATCAAATCTCCTGAAAATTTAATGGCGAAAGATGCGGGCCAAGCAGGCGGTGAGTTTGGGCGGTAGGAAATTTTGGGAAAAGAGATTTGATTGAGTGCTTTTTAAGAGTAATGTCGACTCATTACATATACTTTCAAAAGAGGAAAAAGTATTTTCAGAGGAAAAAATTAAATATGACCTTGATTTAATAACTCTTGCTTGACCACCTACTCCCCTCCCCCTAGAAATAAACCCAGGTATTGAACTCAATAGAATCAGATTTTGGTCCATTTTTCCTGAAATGTGCCATGCCTGCCACTAGTATCTTTTGGTCCGACCCTTCGTGTTGATTTGATCGCTATTGACATTTAGATCTCCATCACAAAATCCTGATATTATCACCCAATATAATTTAGATTATCCTGTCTAAACCCATAAACAAAAGAAATGCGGTCTAAGTCAGATTCATTGATCCACAAGAAGTAGTGATTTCATTTTGATATAGTGATTACGGTCTAATATAAAATCAATGGAAACACTATTGAAGGTAAGAAGGTAAAAGAATGCATGGAAATTAACAGGTTATCGTGGTTTGAAGCAGGGATTGGTGAATTTGGTCTACGACGGAAAAGTAGAATCACAGAAGTACGATAATGGGTTAGTGATAGAGACTAGTTGAAAAACTATTAAAAGGGTAACCGACATTGAATTATATAAAGACAATTAGCAGATAAGTTTAGATAGAATTTATTCTAAAAGTGGGAGAATTGTAAATATGTATGCACATGTTCCAACGAGAACAACTGCCATCTTTAAATGGTTGCGTACACATTTACGTGTAGAATTATGGTCCTCAAGGGATTTGTTTTCCCCCTCTGTATCATTTATTTGCCCGATTGGGTAAAGGTGTAATGAAAATAATTGTAATTCTTGCCCGTAGCCAGCTTTTACCAGGAGGGGGAGCTTTTTCACAATTTTGGCTAAAAATCACGCGAAAAATTCTCAGAATGGTGAAAAACTGCATGATTTTGAAAGAATTTCTGGCTCCCCCTTTGGCTAAGGGCCTGTAATTAATAGGTCCATGGAAAATTGAGAAGGGGGCAGTTATCCCAGTAGGTCATAAAATTACACGTTGACGTTCTAGCTTAACGTCCCTAATTTAACACGTTTTACAGCGAACCTGCACGTGAACGTGTGATATCATTTGCCCCAGAGATTTCTACCCCTCAGTTGTTTTTGCAGGGACTTAAGTGCAACTTTCCCCCTTACTCTGCCTATTATTTAACACGTCTTTACCTACTCGCAATTTCTCTGTAGGAAACGTGTAGCTTTATTCCCATTTTATTTAAAAATCATATCAATGTTATTTTCATCATTCACTGGTGTTATACCTCGTATTTTTATCCCTGACGTTTGTATAATGTGAAAGATATATATATAGAATATTTTGGTATAACCAAGTAGCCCATGAAGAGACATGTATGAGTTAAAATGAATTATTCATTATACCATTAGAACATGTATTTTCATGTGGGAATTGAATCCATTTATAATGTTAATGGCCATTTTCGTGCGCTAGTATATGATATGTTTATTCAATGAAATTGTGACTGTCCTTTTCACTATTCAGAATTCAATGGACAGTGAACAGGAAGTATAATTTTACAATAACTTAATACTTGATTTACATCACCTAAGGCATGAATAGGTAAAATCAATTTAAAAAATTTAAATCAATCTCCCACATTATACTTTCAACTCCATTCTCCCTTTACCATCCTTCAAACACGGTGGTCCAGATACTGTCCGCTGTTCCTTCCTTTCTAAGAACAGAGTGATTGATGATGTCAGGACCTTGCGTTTGAAGGATGACCTTTGCAGAAGATTTCTTGTTTTTTCATGTACAGTATATATGCAATAAAAATGAGAAAAACAAGATTCTCTTTTTGGAAAACAAGTCCAACATTTTGAGAAATGTATTTAGGTTGGCGTCCTTATTCATGATTTTTGGATAGTTGGATTGATAATTACATTATCCTTTGGTCTTGGTCTTAAAATGACTTGGAACTTTTGCAGATATTTTTTGCTTATATTATGGTACACGTGAAATATAACCAGTAAAGTCATTCAACTTTCTTAGAAACATTACATTTTATATTTGTTAATATCTTCCATGCATTTATTAGGAAATAGAGTAAATCTTACATTATCATATGTAACATCACTCGTGAAAAAGAAACACATTTACATAAAATTGACAGGAAAACTGATGTTGACTTTTTAGCATTATTTCTCCTAAAAATTAACATTTTTAAATTACAACCTACAGTAAAACCTTGATAAAAAAAATATTTTTGGTTATTACTAATTTTCCATTTTATTTTGATACAAACTAAAAGGAATGACTGGAAATTAAATGATTTTTCGCAGCAGCGTTTGAAATAGATTTATCTGAATGTTGACATTATGATAACAACAGCACATTACATGATTTATGTACAGCATTGGCATTTTCATTGTTAAATACAAGCTGTACTATATACAATATGTAGTACACATATAATGTAGTGTACATACAGTATACAAAATATGTAGTAACTTGATGCATGTATTTCATAGTCATTCAATATTCAATACATACACAGAATACATGGGACATGTACAGAAAATGCACATTTTCCACAAATATATACATACAGCAGTGCATACATAAATTAACTCCTTTGGTCAGGGTGCACTTTGGTGAAATTTCATGACCATGTGCTATTTTCTGATAAACATAACTCATTCAATGCATCATTTCTACATCTTTCATTCTTGCACAAAAGATGCATTAGTGTACCTAGATTATTAATTGAGGGTTGATAATTCTTCAGAATGTTTGAACTTGAATATTCAGTGGTTTATTTTTCAAAATTGCAAAAAATTACAACATGCACCCTGGCCTTAAAGTGTACAGTTAAAAGACCACATGTCGCAATATCAAAAGTTTAAAGTCATATGGTATTTCAGTCACATTTATCATTCTTGAACTCCTTCCTTAATTACTGGCCCTTTATCTAATTAATAGCTTCTCTTTCTAAATAAATCTAAAAAATTTTGAATTTATAGGCACAATAATAATTCCATTTGAAACATGAGCAATATTTTTCAAACTTTGTTTTTTGAGAAAATAAAGTTCACGTCATATTCTATTGACTGTGTAATTATCATTATGAATCAAAAATAGTTTGGGGTTATTTTGAATGAGCCTAACACTTACATCTTCAAGCCCATTCATTGTGAGCTTGGACATGTACATCTCAAAATTTGCATAGTAAATGATGAATTTTCGTAGTGGTCTAATGCTCATTTAAAAAATGGGAAGCTTTTTCTAGAATTATATGGAAATTGTTCCAATGTCCTACATGTTGCTCTTTATAGTTTCTCTAAGTTTCTCTTCACTTGCACCTATAACTTCAGCGATCTGAAAAAAGCAAGCAAAATGCATGTAGGTTTTTATGTCATCTCCACAAGATTTTGTGGATGGTGGTTGGTGTTGGGCAGTCAGTGTCGAAATGACAAGTGGTGACATTTTGCATGTTAATGTCTTGTTATTGCTTCCCCATATATTGCCCCTTGTGCTTTTCTACTATATGATAAAAGTCTAACAAAAGCTCCACATTTCCATATAATGGAAGTTCACTACTTAACTCAAACTCCATAAAGCTTATCATTTTGTCTTTATTCAATCTGATACTCAACTGTGAGATGCTTCTTGTTTTAGTGAAACAGAAAGATTAGATGAGAAGAATTAAAATGTCATGGTTTAAGTAGTAAATCTTGCTTTGCGCCATACCTTCTTTCCATTTTTAAAAAGTAAAAATGTTGGCAAAGCGGACACTCCATGGTCTTCAGATATCTGAAACAGCAAAATGTTTTTTTATTTATACTTTTATTGTGGACAAAAATTAAAAAAATGGTGTTAAAATAACACTATGGATGTATGATCAGCTTATTGAATGAGCTAAACACAGCAAAGCCCATCAAATAAACCATATCTTATCAAAGATGGTTTGTTTATTTTATGATAGAAATAATAATTAACCAGCTTGTAGTATTGTCTCCCTTTGACGAAATCTAAACCGACATGATATAGTTGCACAATCCATCTTAAAATCTTAAATTTTTTCTTTCTTTATTCTTCTCTATGTTCAATCTTAGTACATACAAAATACGCATGTAGTGACTGCCAAAGTTGAAAAACATTGGTGGCAGTTTAATTTGAAGGGTCATTTTTGAAAAATCCATGCATAGTATTTAAGTGAGAGCATAATTTGATAACTCAAAACAGCATTAACTTAAAACAGCATTAAAGTATAAAGTGTAATCCTAAATTCATTTCTTACATTTTGCTGAAAATCAGTGGATAATTTGTACTGAATGGAATAGTAATCTTGAACATTATTTTTTGAGTAGAGGTCCTATGCCTCTAAGACATCAGCATATAAAACCCAAAACAAATTTGACAACCGTTTATTGAGTTATCAAAGATATCGCCCATCAGCACAAGACGATGGCAAAATACCAGTTTGAAAAGTGTAGTAAATACAAAGTGAAATATATAAGGTAAAAAATTAACAGAAAAAAAGATATAAAATCTAACAAAAGATCAAAGTAGGTAGAAAACGGCCAAATATAAAAAATCAACTTACCTCATCAGCATCATCAACGTTGACTTTAGCAAATGATGCATCAGAAAACTCCTTACTCATTTCCTGAAGAAAAACAAATAAGTATTTAGCATGTCTCGGGGTGTTTTGTGGGATACTTTTTTATTTTTTTTTATTTTTTTTTATTTATTCAATACACTTATTCAATCCATTTACTACATTCAATATAACATTTCAATACATTCAATACAACAAATCAATATATCTGTGAAATCCAAAAAAACACACTGTTACCCACCATGTACATAATACTATTATAGTTTAAAATCTAAATACATTTTCTTAATTAAAAATTTCTACACATCTTTTTAACCATATTTTCCGTTTAATAATAAAAATTTCACTATTAATCTCTATCATGTTTTCTAATGAGCTATCTTCTCTAAAGTAAAAAAGCATTTTATCTCTTTCAATTAAATTAGTACTTTCTAAATTGTCCCATTCATTTTTGAATTTACATTCTAAAAAGAGGTGTTCTTGTGATTCCTCAACATTTTTACAAACTTTACACATTCCATCAGATAATTTTTGTTTTTTCAATCTTCTTTCAATTTCTATTGCACCATTTATTACTTTATATATGAATTCCTTTACTTTATGATTTACATTTGTCTTAAAAAGTACTCTATACATTAACTTAAATGGGATCTCACCATATTGATTTTTCCAATGGGCTTCTGATTTATTTGTCACCCCTCTTCTACTAACAATTTTCTTTCTTATATTACATGTTTTTATTTTCTCTATATTTTCCCCTAAAAAAGTTATTTTTTCATTCCTATTGATTTTATTTGGATATTTTATCAAAGCTGCTCTTACTTGTACATATTGCATATAAACATCTGGGCCTCTGCCTAATTTATTAATTATTTCATTGTATGTTAAACATTTACCTTCTATTATAAAATCAGACACATAATTAATCCCCCCTCTAATCCATTTTTTGTCATAAAGAACTCTTTTTTGAAAAGTTATGTCCAGATTGTTCCAAATGATGTCACAATCTAAAAGATTTTTATTTTCAGATTTTGTTAACCAAATTTCTAACCCCCTTTTCCAAAAAGTACTCTTTACTTCATTAATCCCTATAAAGTTTTCCATATCTATCTTGCTTTTGAGTACATTGAAATTAACCCCTAACTTGGAAAATTCAGCTTTTGGAATTATTTTCCATTTATCCATGCCCTCACCAATCAGTTTTGAAAACCATTTTACCACAAATGAGATTTGAAAGTCTATCATATTTATCATGTTTAGACCACCATTTTCTTTATCTAAATTTAAAATCTCTCTTTTAATTTTCTCCGGTTGTTTCTTAATTTCACATTCTTTAAAACCACTTTTACTCCAGATGTACTTGTAAAACAGTGTATTAAGACGGTTAAGGAAATCTTCCGGTAATATGAACGCCTGTATTATATATCCAAATTGTGACATCATTAATGATTTAACCAATGTCACTTTTCCAAAAATTGTTAAATCCCTTCGTACCCAACTTTTCATAATGTTTTCAATTTTTTCCAATTTTGGTAATAGATTATCCATATTTTCAATCACTTTCTTTGATGCAGAAAATACTATTCCTAAAATTTTAATTTTATTCTCTGGATGCAATTTCCATTTTATATCGACCCCTTTTTCTTGTGAATGTTTCATTGTTCCAAGCCACATTGCCTCTGTCTTATTTTTATTTATACTAAGCCCAGAGAATAGTCTAAACTCATTAATTGTATCTATCACCTTTACTAATGAATCTTTGTCTTTTAAAAAATGTGTTAAATCATCTGCATACATAGCTATTTTTAATTCTGACTTATTTGGTAATTTAATTCCCCTGATTTCATTATTTTGTCTTATTTTTAACGCAACCAGCTCAACACATAACAAAAAACATAGTGGTGACAAAGGGCACCCCTGTCTTATGCCTGAATCCAAAGAAATCCATTCTGACAACCACCCTGCATAGTTTATGCAACTTTTAGTTTCTTTATTAACAGTTTCAACCCATGAAATCATATCCTCACCAAAACCGAAATATTTTAAACTGTCTATTAATAAGTCCTTATTTATATTATTATACGCACCCGAAAAATCTACTGCCACTAATAAACCACTTTCATTAATGTTTTCAATATATTCTATTGTATCATCAATTATTCGTAATATGTTTGCAGCTGATCGCCCAGGAATATACCCACTTTGGTCTGAGTTAATTATTTTACATATAACTAGTTTCATCCTATTGGCCAAAGCTTTTGTTAATATTTTATAGTCTGTATTTGTTAACGATATCGGTCTCCAATTATCTAACACTTCCCTCTCCCCCTTTCCTTTATATAATAGCGTAATTATGCCCTGTCTTTGAGTGGGACTTAGTTGTTTTTTTCCAAATGCAATGTTGAAATTTTCAGTAACCAATGCCCCTAGTTTTCTCCAAAAACATTTGTAAAAACCCGTAGTTAACCCATCACTACCCGGTGAAACATCATTTTTCATATCTTTTAATGCCTTAGAACATTCATCTGATGTAATTTTCCCTTCACATTTTTGTGCTTCTTCTCTAGTCAACTTTGGAATATCTATGTCAAGAAATCTGTCTAAGTCAGTTTTATTATACTTTGGTTTAGCCTGATAAACCTTATTAAAATATTGCACTTGTTCTTTCATTATTTCATTTAATTTTGTCACAACTTTCCCATCATGCCTTCTACACCCATTCATTATCTTTTTCTTGCCTTTACATTTTTCTAGATTTAAGAAATATTTAGTACTTCTCTCTCCCTCCTGTGCATAAATAGCTTTTGATCTTAATTCAGCTCCCCTACATTCTTCATCCATTAAATTGTTATACATAACCTTACATCTATTGACCTCATCCATTAACATGTTACTTGTAGGATTTTTTGCCAATTTTTCATTTACTTGCTTTAATCTCAATGTGGCTCTTTTGACCTCACTTCGCCTATTTTGTGCTTTCATTCTCCCATAATCAACTGAGAAATATTTTACTTCTCTTTTTAAATATTCCCATTTAGATACCATATCAATATTCTCTTTAACTACTCGATCAATCAATGCATTAACTCCATTTACATATTCTTGGTCTTTTAAATGACTATTATTATGCTTCCATATAGATGGACCCCGTTCTATCTTGTCAAATAATATCTTTACATAAACCCCTCTGTGATCTGACCCTGGTATTTCAGTTATTTCCGAAGATGTTACCTTATCAAAGATGTTATCACCTACAAAAATGTAATCAATCCGCCTTATTATTGACTTTGACTTGTGTCTCCAGGTAAAATCTTTATTTTCAGTATGAAACATTCTCCAAGTGTCATTTAATTGCAATTTACCAACCATGTTTTGAAATGCTACTCGCTCATTTTGGGTATGAGGTTTTCCTGCTAAATTATCAATGTTCTCTAGTGTACAATTAAAATCACCAGCTAATATGACATTCTCTGTATCAGGACATTTTTCTTTTATGATATTTTGCACCTTTTCAAAGAAAGTACATTTATCATTTGATTCATTGGGTGCATATACATTAAAACAATACATCTTGGTTTCCTCACACATAAAAGATATTCCAAGAATCCTCTCCTCTGAGTGAATAATTTTGAACTTGTCATAGTCAAATTTTTTTGACAAAAGTATAATTTCCCCCTTACTGTGATTTGTACCACTAACATATATAACTTTTCCTTTATATTCATTCTCCCATAAATGGCTTATCTCTCTTGTTATATATGATTCTTGAATAAAACATATATCAATACAGTGTTTAATCAGAAATTTAAAAAATGTATACCTTTTAATTTTTGACCTCAGGCCTCTAACATTTGCGCTTATTACATTGGCCATATTTATTTGATTTTTTTGGGGGGTGTAATGTTTCTAACACTTTCTATTTACACTATGTACATTTTAACAGTTTTGGCAAGGTCTATGCTTTTATTTGTTTAGCATTTTTTTCTGCAGATGATGGCGTACTACCTTTACTACGAAGTCTTTTTCTATATGGTGTACCACCATTAAGCTCTTCATTTTGCCTCGCCTTTTCAATTTGTCTTTTCACATTTCTAACCACCTTTAATGCACCTCTTGTTGTTAGATGCACTCCCTTTGTATCGTTTGTTTTGTAGTCTTTCACATTTATCTTGTTATCGATTACAAGTTCTTTATTGTTGTCACAGAACATCAGACCATCCGTCTTGCCACAAATCTCTTTCACTTTCTCATTGTACTTATTGATTTTGGAGTTTATCTTTTGATCTTTTGTATTCACTTGTGGAACTCCTGATATGACAATACAAGACTCAGGGTGGACCTCCTTCACTTCTTGTATTACAGCTGTTAAATTCGTAACACATGAATTCACATCTGCAGCCCTATATACAAGATCATTAGATCCTGCATGTAGAACTATGTATTCTAGCGCCCTGTTGTAACTTGGAGCTGACTTTAATACATCCGTAATATCACTAATATTAGTTCCACTTTTGAATTTTCTTTCCACTAATTCATCATCGAACACCATTTCCCGCACGTTTGAATCTCCTACCACTAATGTGTTCACTGCACTCTCATCTTCACTATCATTCTCTGCCTCCACTTCATCTTGATCTTCTTTTCCAGTCGCCTCGAAATGAATATGGTTGACCTCAATATTCACCTTACAGTCTGATCTTGCGTGCCCCTGTTCGCCGCACCGATGGCACTGTATGGGATTTCCGCAATATTTCGATAGATGACCTTCCAAATTACATCTAAAGCACCTAGGTCGCCATGTTGGCTTTCTTGGACATTTAGAATGTGGGTGGTCTGTCGCATTGCAATATGAACAAGGTTGACCAATGTATGTGAGACGTCCTTGGAAACGGCATATAATAGGGTTGTTCGGAATTGGTTTTTTCAGTTCTGACATATTTGTGGGATACTATACTTGGTGATCTTCCCAGTATGAAAGCAAGTGGGTGCAGCACCCACTTGAGATTTTTAAAACGGGCTTGCAGCCACTTGAAAATCCATTTGCACCCACTTGAAAATTAGAAAATCATGAAAAATATTTTGTGCATATTTTGACAATTTTGGTCTGAATTGTGAAAATGAGAATTTTGCACCCTTTAAAAAAAATCTTGTGGAGAACACTGATACTATAATGGCAGAATTTAGTGATATCCCTAGTTTTTTTCAGCAGTGCTTGTTTTACATATTTCAGTAAAAATATCTCAATACTTCATACTTTTGACTGGGTGTTGTGAAAACAAATACTAGTACTCAACAGGGTGGCATAATTCAATTTCAAATTTTCAACAAGGTGTAAAGTTTGGAAGATCACTGAACTCTCCACTGAAAAAATGCCACCTGATTCAATAGAGGTTGACCAGTTTCACACACTGAGAAACATGACTACATGACAAACTACAAGAAAAAGGATTCCATTATTATCTAGGTAGTAATTCCAGAATTAAAGGATGTAATTTTTGGGGTCACTCTTTTAAGTATGCATCTTGATTCACCGAGGTATTTCATTTGACTGAAGGAATACATTTCAGAAAAAACATGTGGGTGGGTTGTTTGCATCTTCCCTGTTATTATTTTATCATCTCAAAGGAGTGCTTTCCCTGGAGGTAATGCATTGGTCTACCATATGCACCTGTTGAAATCGTCAGAAAATAGCCAAAATCCAACATATGACTGTCCGAAATCTGTTGCGATACTTTCCCTCCTCCTTTGATATGATTTGTTATGTGAATGAGTAAATGATTACGACTCACCTCAAATTTGGGACCAATGATTCTGCATGGTCCACACCATTCAGCCCAGAAATCAATAACGAAGAGTTTTCCCGCATCACTATTAATGAAAGTATTGAATTCGTCCTGAAAATATAATATGGTCTCATCCTAAATTGAGGCGAAATTTGTTTAATTTGACTTAGCCTAGATATTACAGTGTAAACTGATACATATTATAGGCCCGTAGCCAGCTTTTGCCAGAGAGTTGGGGTTCACTTTTAAAAATTCGAGTGGGGTCCACTTCTACAACTTTGGCTCAAGCATATTTTGATAAGAACTGACAAATGGAGAGATGAATTGTGCTGGGAATTCCAAGAATGTCAACAAGGCCAATAGACGTCAATTTGTTGATTATTAACCAAAAAAAGAGATTAAAAACTTAATTATTGATAAAACTCATTCTAGATATGATTGTTCTAGATTCTAAACATTTGACAAGTTCAAAGATATTAAAATAATGTCAGTGTTGTGTTTGTTAAGCTAAGTTACAGTATAAAATAAAATAGTACCATGGGTACTGCACTCACATGGGAAGGTTTCCATATTTTTAATGTTTCACAGTAGGAGCTTGTAATAATTAAAGTTTTTTTGCACAATTATGAATTTTGCCATTTTGAAACAAGGCGAGCTTTTGAGACGCCACTTATGGAAGAATTGACAACCTTATATGAACACATTTTAAATGTGAAACCATTCCAATTGCCGTAGAGGATTTTGAATTAGCTGCCAATGTGTTGACAGACAGACGGATGGACGGACAGACAGACAGAGAAGTGGGTGATAACAATAACTCACCCATGTGAGCTAAAAATGTAGCTTAAATAAAACAATGTATGGTGCATGGATCCCCAAAGCTAGCATGAAGAGTGCGAAGTGAGGCTAATTTTTGAAAGTTTCAAGGAGTAGCCTTGCAACAGTCACACATTTGCAAGAGTCTAAAATTTCCACAAATCATCTTACCTTTCCCAGGAACAACGAAGGAGCATGAAAATGTGCACTTCTTGCATTGTTAGAGTATAATAAACCTCAAACCATTGTAAATTCCAAATATTTCATGTCCACATTTTGTTTGCCGGAACTACTTCTAGACTTCCTGATTAATCCTCATGCAAGTTTTGTGACTACACCAAGTAGCATGGATTATCACTTGTATGTTTTATCTATTACAGTGTAATTATCATGATAGATACATGATAGAGGCTTTATGAATGATAAACAATGGAAACATGAATGAAGATAACTCTGGACTAAAAAATAGTTCCAGGAAACAAAATGGTGGACATGAAATATTTAGAATTCACAATGGTTTGAGCTTTATTATACTCTAACAATGCAAGAAGTACACATTTTCGTGCTCCTTCGTTGTTCCTTGGTAAGGTAAGATGATTTGTGGAAATTTTAGACTCTTGCAAATGTGTGACTGTTGCAAGGCTACTCCTTGAAACTTTCAAAAATTAGCCTCACTTCGCACTCTTCATGCTAGCTTTGGGGATCCATGCACCTCCAATTCATAGTTTGGAAAAATGCGTTTATGTGTGATGTTAACTTTGACATGTTTCATTAGTCAAGATACACAATTCATATACAAGGTAAACAGATTTTAAAAACATGTGTCTTTATCAAAAAAATATGGCAGTCATTTTTTGTACTTTTTATTTAATATAGCGTCGCCTTAATTGAATTGTTATAATGCTTATTTTTTGGAAGTGAAGTTTCCTAAAATTGATAATTGTGTGCAGGAAATTTCCTGTTTTTTCCCACAGGAGGGACATAATGATCAATAGACTGAATTCTCAGGAAATTCAGTCTATTGGATATAGACTAAGAATTTCTCCATCTAAAATGTCACTCGACTTTTTGGCAATTAAAAGTCCCTGCCTGCATTTAGTAGTCATATATTGTCATGTGCTTAATTTGAAACCATATCCTAATTATTTCACAAACCCTTTGTTGATTCTGCCATAGTTTCCAATTTGTAAACAGCATTTAGCCTTTTTAATTGGGAACTTTTTTGAAATTTCCAAAATGGCTGCCATGTGATTCCTGAATTAACATGAGTGTGACGTGACATCACAGTTGCTCGTTCCTAGGTAGTATGTATCCAACAGACCGAATATAATATTCGGTCTGTTATGATTGATATATTTCCTGTGGAAATCTCGGTGATATTTTTTGCACATAAATTTCTCGTTTATTACAAGAATGTTCACCTTGAAAATTGGTGAATATGTTGAAGAGATGTTCATCTTAAACTAGAAGCAAAAATATTTGTATAAGGCGGGTACAAGTTGATATAAAATAATGAAATGTTCAGACTCACCAAAAACTTCAGGATGTGTTTATAAGTACATCGCGAAATCAATGTCAAGGACGTTTGAGTTCACGAGATCCAAACGAGATATGCAAATTTTGAACTTTGACAACACATGACCACTTGATTACCTCGGCCTTCTTCATGAATATTTCCGCTCTATTTACTATAAATGAAGAAAATTAATCGGGATAATGATAATAAATGACTAGATCTAATAAATTCCCGCACAAATGGAATTTATCAACACGCTTCCGTCCGCTCCACGTGTTATTTGTTTACAAATAGACTGACGTCACTGGCTAAATCTCGTTTATCGTGAGAATTGGCATTGCCAAAATGGCTTGACCTAATCAATGGCTTCGCTACAAGAAGCGTCTGTACATTTTATGAATATCTTCAGTAAGAGGACAATATACGAAAAAATAATATTGTAAGTACTTTATAAGGTAATCATTTTATCATTTAACAAACTTGTTTGTAACATTTATACAACACCACATTTTACAATAGGTGACTTACAGTCTGAATATTTATTCAGACGAAGGATACAGTCTAGTTCCTAGGTAACAACAAGATCACAATTGCTCGTTTCTAGATAGCAACAAGATTTTTGATAAAATGGCACAGAATTACCCTGATTAACACCCTTAAAATCCGATTTTCAAAGAATATATTTGGAGGAACAATAAAAGGTAAGTGGAATAAATTAGAAGATGGTTTCAAGTTACCACAGAAGTCAATTTGAAACTCAAGAATGCTTTCTTTGACTCATAATCACCAAAAAGTCGAGTGACATTTTAGATGGAGAATTTCTTAGATAGACTAATTCTCCCAAGTTGTAATCGTACAGGCAAAAGATTGCGCTCAATGCAGGACTATAGTCCTGGCACGGGATAAACATCATGAAGTATCTGTCAGAATAATTAAGGATCTTGTAGAATTAGAAAATCTACTTTTAATTTCACCTATTTTTTCAGCGAGAATCTCACGAGGCACCGCCCCCCCCCCCCCACCCCGTCCCGTTTTGGAATTTTTTCTGAAAAATTAAAGTCTGAACTGTGATCACCACGTTTTAGACAATTTCGACCCCCTAATGGACACATTCTTTAATATATGACTCATCAAATAAACAATACGCTGTTCCCATTTATCATCTACTTACCTTTGTGTCTAAAGCCTTCATGGTCAGTTCAGTAACTTGAGAATAATGTTTAAAGAGTGTTTTCGTAAGTTTCGTGGAAAAATGGCGGTAATTCAGACTCCATCTGGTGAGCGATTTAGATTAATTGATCTGACCTGACATCTTTATTTACATTCAAAGTTTATTATACGTTTAACGTCAAAATACTATTGTAGGCGCACGATCCCGTGCAGTGATAGAGGGTGAAATCCACAGTTCATACCATTAAAAAGAAATAAAAGAAATGGTACATTTTGGAGTATGATATTCAAGCACTGTTTTCAATAGCTTTAACTCTTAGCGTTGTTGGACTTCAAACAGAAGTTTTGCGTTGGGCAGTCGGTTACCCGCAAATGATATACCGACACACTGCATTGGAGTTCGTAATGTAGGCTCAGAAAACAAAAATTTCAAAAAAGCTAACTGCTACTTGTTACCATAGGCCAAGGGAAAAGTAATAGTAAGCTGTATATAGAAGAGACTTCCCCTAGCTTTATTTCCATTTGACAATATGCTGTGTTACTTTTCATAGCATTTAATTGTACCTTACTACTTAATTGAATTGTTATAATGCTTATTTTGGGGAAGGGAAGTTTCCTAAAATTGATAATTGTGTGCCTGAAATTTCCTGTTTTTTCCCACAGGAGGGACATAATGATCAGTAGACTGAATTCTCAGTGTACAACGGATGGAGGGCTTCACTATATCCCTACAGAACTTCGTCCGTTGGGATAATAAGATACAACTTGGAGAAGTGCAAATACTATGCACTGATCTTCTCATATATGTAATTAAATGAAATACTCTACATATTGTACATGGAACAGTATTTATGAAGTATATCTGATATAGTTTATTCTGAATATTTCATCCCCAGATTCAACCAACATAGAGAATACAGACATAAAATACAAGTTGGGTACAATGTACTTTTAACATGCAGTTCAGTGATTTATTAGTGTTATTCCAATGGAGCATAATTCAACATGGATGCCTCAGCATCTTACTGACCAAAAGCAATTGCTTTGCAACCAGAATCAAATTAACAACAATAATCAACAACAATTAACAATTAACAACAATAATCATCCAAATATATATGAATTAAGAGTGAAAACACTAAGAGGGCTTTGTATAAAAAACCTCCTACCTCATACCCACCTACCCACTTACGTGGAACATGATACAGTCATTGAAGGGTTCAATTTCAAAACTAAGATTTAATAAACTAAGATCTTTAAAATTGAACGCTTCAAAGACTGTATCATGTCCCACGTACGTGGGTAGGTGGGTATGAGGTAGGTTTTTTATACAAAGCCCACTAAGAGTTATTACAAGTAAACAAAACAATCTTAAACAAGGCATTAACTTGCAAAATATCACCACCTGCCATTTATTACAGATGCCTACTACAGAACACCAACCGTCGTCCACAAAAAGACTATAACAATATGTCACCATCAGAAGTGTTGACATAAAAATCTAAGGTTGAATTCCATTCCTAACTGATCTCTCTTTTCTTAGTCTAGCTACAAGCCCATATGACCCCCCCCCCAGATGACCTCCCCCTACCCCCAAATAATACCTGGTGGGGAAGTAGATAAGGTTGATCAGGAGATTTGAAGCAAGACTACTAGTACTCTTTTCTCATCTTTTACTGAAAAAGTGCAATTTTTAATCAAAATTAAATCACAATAAAAATTGTCTTTGTTTGTTTCTCAAGAGTATTAATTTCTCAAATAATACAAATGGTACATTGTATATTTCTGCCACACCCGCAGATAGAAAACAGCCATGATAATAATTGTGACTTTTTCATAAAATTTGAACAAAATCTTTCTGTGTCTGGCATTTCTATACTGGCAATAAGGTAAATAGCATAATGCGCCACATCCCACAAGAAAACATCCGTGATAAGTCACATCTTTTCTCTTCAGAAAGAAATCTCTGTGCATTTCTATACAATTGGCAATTGGGACTATTGACAATGCACCTATTTATTTTTTTCCTCGCTTATTCCACTCTTTTTCCATTGGTTTTTTAAAACATGCCCGCGCCCATCATGCCATTTCTCTGGCAGGTGTGATCTAATAATATTCAATATTGTATCAAGTAGTTGCGAACAGGTACAACAATCCTTTGAGATATCCTATTACTTCATTGCCTCCAAGTTTTGATTCACCATACACTCGATCCACAAATGATATCGGCACCTGGAAAGAAAAAAAATAGTTGTTGATGCAACACTGGTACAGGCCTGAAGCCAGCTTTTGCTAAGGGACCGGTATGTTCAGTTTTCAAAAATAAACCTCGGTGTCACAGTTGACAACTTCGGCAGAAAATCACTTGAAAAGTGCTCAGAATGGTGAAAAACTGCATGATTTTGAAAGACGTTTTAGCCAAGGGAGGGACCCTTAAAAATTTGGAAAAAATCCCCAATCAGATTATTGAGACCTTTGTAAATGTGAATGTTCACAAAATTAACAAATTATTCCCGAAGGCAACACACTGCATGACTCACCTCTCCCACAGTATATCCGAACTGCCTTGCCCTAATGATCATTTCCATTTGGAACACATACCCCTTCGACACACAGGAATGAACAAGTTTGTCAAGAACATCTTTCTTGTATAACCTACAAATCAATTAATAGTTACAACTTAATACAAGCATGTGTCAAGGATTTTCCAGGAGGGGTTCGGTAAAAAATCAAAAAGCTGGGCGAGTGTGTAGTTTTTTCTCCCACTTCTTTTTATAATGGTGTTTTGCAAACCTGCAACATGATTATGTCATATTTATATATTTCTATGGAAACAAATCATTTATAAAAAGGGGGAGGGGTGAACAAACCCTGGGGTACCTGTTAAAAAATAGGGACCCTTTTGAAAAAATTTGAGGTCCATTTTATAAAAATTTCACATTTTCAAATGTAAGGCTTACATCTGAAAATGAGAGCAAAAATGAAAGAATTGTTTTCAAATTGATGTGACAATTTTACAGCTACAGTCCTGGTAAGTGATAACTCAAAAAACGAAAGAATTGTTTTCAAGTTGATGTGACAATTTTACAGCTACAGTCCTGGTAAGTGATAACTCAAAAAATGAAAGAATTGTTTTCAAATTGATGTGACAATTTTACAGCTACAGTCCTGGTAAGTGATAACTCAAAAAAAACATGAGTGTATCTTAATGTTTTGAGTTACAGTATAAGATACATCTTTGGAAGTGAATTGTCATGTGCCATCTATTGATAATTTCAGCATTTTATGCCATTAAGCGCATCTTTGAGATGACAGATTAGAAAACTGCGATTCAACCTCAAATGATTTTAAAAATACAAGCAATATCAATCATAAGTTTTACTAGGCTATAGTATAACATTATAGAATATGTTTGCCAACAAATAAAATTCATGAGAAAAAGAGAAGAAAAACTTGAACTTAAGGTCATAGACCATTGACAAGAGTACACAATATAGAAATTTTCTTAATTACCTAAAGCTCCCAGTCAGATCTGATGCATTTGGCCGCAGCAACACTTGAGCAATGTAGTTTGCAACTCGACTGAAAAACAAATACATATCAGGTCATCAGTACCCTTTGCATTCATTCGACTTCACTTCTTAAAAGAGAGCTTCATCTTCTGAGCATGTTCCTTCCACTTCGCTGACTGGTTGAGAAAGGGTCAGCGTGGTAGATTTGAAATGATTTATTACCCACGCTGTCACAGGCACCAAGCTTTGGGGTTGGGCTGCTTAACTGTAATATAGTCTATACTAGGCACTAAGGCAAAGGGTAGTTTATAATTAGACTCTGCACGCAGGGTAGTCATCAGGAGCGAAATTTTATTACAGGGTATGCAATTTTCAAAAAGCTTGGTATCTTTCATTGGACATACAGTTAATGACTGAATAATTTTTGATATGAGCACTGATACGCCCAATTACTAATGGTGTCAAGTGCACATGCTTTGTACATTCCATTGTTATATTATCATGAAATAAATAAAAAAAATTAATAAATATATATTTCTGTAGCCCCATGCCTGGCTTTACCCATCTATATAAGAATCTTTTACCTGACAAGTTTACGTTTTAGGTCCCATCCATAGACACCTCCATTGCCAGTATAACGGGTTCCTGATACAACGTCATAGTCATTGTCTTGTTGAAGTTTGATAAATTCAGCGATGAACTTGGGCTGTAAATAAAATGGAATTTTCAAAATTGTTATGCTTTGCGTTTTAACAGAATTCTTTTGTAACTCGGTAGTGGGGAGGTGAAATCAAAAATAAGCCTCATTTCTTCGATGAAGTTTGATCAACATATAAGAAAAGTAAGGAAAGATTAAAAAGACATTCACATGCAAAATGCACCACCTGCCATTTGTTACAAACACCAACCATCAAATGCTATATACTGATCACCAAATTCTAAACACCAACTGCTGGATGCCAACTGACAAACACCATTCACAAAAAAGTTTGACTATAAATATATGTCACCACTTCTGGTGGTAGTACAGCAGAGATCCTGTTGATTAAAGTGGCAACAAATGACATAATGTGTTCACTTACATGATGTGAGAGATCGGCATCCATGATGAAGATATAATCTCCTGTGGCATGTTTGATCCCATGTATGTAGGCTGTGCCTGAAACAAAGCAACATGCAGTGTACATTAAATAAAAATAATATTGTAAAATGTGGGCATAAAATACAATACAGGTGAAGGATGGCTTATCACTTTTTATAAGAAACACCTTTCAATAAAGAATTAGATACAGTAACACCTTAATTAAGGTGTTTAACTTTTCCACTTTTTTCTTATCAAAACGAAGTTTTGCCCATTTGGTCTACTGGTAAAGGAAAGCAAGCAAAAATATTTCAGCCAATCCGTTGACTTTAGACCTCCCCCTTACACATTTTCTGATGCCATTTTCAAAGTACTTACCCAAACCTAGCTTCTTCTCTCTTGGTCTTAAAACCTGAAAAAAAAACATTCATCATATAACAATTTAATGATGTGCGATGCTGCATGTGATATTAGACAGGGTTTTCTGTATAATTGTAATTGGAGCTGTTTGTCTATGATTTGCATTTAGTCAATGAGAACATTTACACTTTGTTACATTAGACAATGTTGATTGTACATATAAAACATTTCTAATCGAAACACTAGTAGCATAAGACCAGCCAAAAGTGATTGGATAAAGAGGTGGTCACATTTCAAGGTTTTCTCAATGAGGGAGTCAATGATTAAAGTGGGGCTTAAAGTCAGATTAGAGAGGTGCTGGGATTAAAAGGTGTTCAGGTATAAAGATTTTACTATACTCGATAATCTATTATGCTCATCCCCCTATCCATTCTTATTCTTTCAGAGAGGTTATATAACTAATACTTAAAAAGTCATTCCTTACAATTTTATCGGCACCATATATCTTTTGCAGTTGCTTAGCAACATCCAGGGTTCCATCCGGGCTTCCATCATCAATTACAATTATTTCATAGTCTATTTTACTGCAATAAAAACGTATCACTATATTGTACCATTAAAAAGAAATAAAAGAAATGGTACATTTTAGAGTATGATACTCAAGCGCTGTTATCAATAACTTTTACTCTTAGCGTTGTTGGACTTCAAACAGAAGTTAAGGTTACCCGCAAATGATATATCCATTGCATGGAGTAGGTAATTTTCCTTGATATAGCGAAACATATGAGTAAAAATAAATAAAATGTGTGGATTTCCTATTTCTATGCAAAATAGCCCATGCTCCGTCACAGCGGACAAATTTTTCGATACCTGCCTGTGATAGATCTAATGAATTATACACATAATTCATTAGATCTATATGTTTAATTTTTTTTCAGTAACCTGTCTCCTATGCATTTACTGACCTTACTGATCTCAAGTGAATAACTTTTTCATTTTTGAACTTACTTTGATTTGAAGTTTTCATAAAGATTTATATTTCACAGTATATATGCTGTGCTAATTCAAAAGGCAAATTGAGAACTATTCACATTTTATACATGTACCTTTCTGCAAAATATTTTACGAGTAGCCACACTATAAGGGGTAGATTTTCCCTTTCATTGTAGGTCGGCAACAAAACTGAATATTTTTTCATGTTGGCATCACTTCCGGTGAACAACTTCCGGGAAGTCACGTGGTGTAAATAAACCTAATTGAAAAAGTTCAAAAGTTGCAATTTATCTGATGAATTCCAACAATATTTACACAAAGAGAATTCTTTTTACTGAAAATTAGGTAAGTATACACTGAGACGATATAGAACTTTCTGTTCTGCTAATTTAGGTAATGTTTACAATAACAACAATTTAGAAATACATGTAAGCATGGGCTCTACCACGTAGATGTAAGGTTCTGTAGATTTCTGATTTCTAAATTGTATTTTTAGGATCAAAATCTAATTTAACTTTTACAAAGTCAATTGTAGCTTGTATTCGCGAATGCAACTTTCAGCTGTCGGCTACCGATTAGCTATTCATTTTCATAAATTATACGGTCCGTCACTTTGAATATGATTTAGCGAGCAACCCATCAATCGACGAATGGTGATTGCCATTGAGACGATCAATTATGATAAAGACACTCGGTCGAATTTTCTGAAAAGATCGGAGGTCATCTTCTGTTAATAGGCAGATTCACCCGTTATTTAGGTTTAAGCGATTGGGCGCAATAGCTTGCAGCTACTGGGATACACGGCAAGTACTATCAATATCTAAATAAGTTTGCCATCAAATTGCAATCAACCTGGTAGCCGTTAGCTGAAGGTTATTGTATTATTTCATTTTTGGCACAACGCAAAATTGGACCTCTAACATTTTGTAACCATTTGCGATAATTACCCAGATGCGAGTAGGTAGTTATAAGTTTCACCACCTCTGATGACTATACAAAAAAAAAATATGTCTGGTAAAAGAAAAATATTATCTGCCCAACACAAGAAAAGATATATAACGTTTTGTGATTTTGTAACATGGGGTCTATGGGGAATCTCCCCACCCTAGAGTACATTTTCAAAGATGAAATTTTTAAAGTTGGTCAATACTTTTTAAACCACATTTCTAGACACTAGATGCAATTTTACATGTATGTAGAGTGATATCCCTTTAAATTTTGAATATTCAATGAAATAGATTAATTATGATTATTCCTATTATGGAGTAGTGTTTTACATGGACTTGACATTTTTATTATCAACACCAGGGGCTGTCGCAGCGCTGTGACAGCATATAGGCTTAAAATGATGGCTGGATCAATTTCAGCAACAATCCTCTCACATCCATACGCTGCGAAAACGCTGTGAGAGCGCTGTCACAGCATTCTATTTCCATCCATCGCTGCGAGAGGGATGTGACAGTAATTAAGTGGCTGAATCAATTACAGCAACATGCTCTCTTAGCCACAGTTTGTGGCAGCGCTCTCACAGCACTCTCACAGCCCTCACAGCAGGAAGTACCAATGCATTGTGGGTAAAAAAATTCAAACTAAAAATCAGTTAGAGCAGGAATTTTGTAGGAGGAAAGAACAAAGGAGTTATGCTGAAATGGCCATCATATCATTACTAATTTACAAAGCATATGTAAGGTATTGTACTACTGATTATTTATAGATATACCTTTGGAATGTTCTAGTGATCTAAGAAAAAGGATCAAATGAAATGAATTTTGTGCAAGTTAGTACATACTGCATGGTTAAACTAAAGGTATGGAATATCAATGTATTAGCATGCACATATAGTGCATCATAAAGGATAAAATTGATACAATTGGGGCAATTTGCATGTACATGTACAATAACAGCTATCTTTCAAACTGAACAATGGAATTCAAGCCAAAAACCAAATAAGGAGTGTAGATATATAAGCTGGCTTTAATCCATAAAGTAAGTTTCTAATTAAATGCAAACTTGATCTAGGGTGCAAATATATAGTCATCAGTTGGATGGAAATGCAGGGTCTGGGTAGCTAAATGTTTTCTGATATCCCTTACCTTCTTGTCTTGTTGCTATAGGTAACTAAAATTTATGTGTAGGAAGGAAGGATGCATAATCAATGCCATATATGGCAATGCTGTGAGAGCGCTGTCGCAGCCTCATTTGCATGGTACATTCCGATGGGCTGTCACAGCGCTGTGAGAGCACTGTCGCAGCGCTGTGAGAGCACTGTCGCAGCGCTGTGACTGCGGGCTGTGAGAGCGCTGTGACAGCGGGCTGTGAGAGCGCTGTGACAGCGGGCTGTGAGAGCGCTGTGACAGCGGGCTGTGAGAGCGCTGTGACAGCGGGCTGTGAGAGCGCTGTGACAGCGGGCTGTGAGAGCGCTGTGACAGCGGGCTGTGACAGCCAGTAAATTTGTATAAGGGTGGGAACCAACAAGGGGGGTCCCAAATTTCAGGTCTGAGAAAAAATGTTGGGCCCCTAAATCCAAAAGGTGGGCCCACATTTTGAAACTTTGAGGTCCATTTTCTTCAAAATTTGGCCTTAAATTAAAAAATAGACCTTTAAAGGCCCAATAATGAACAAAAAGGCCCACTTTTTGGGGCCTTAAGGCCTATTTTGGCCTGAAATCTTTTAGGTCCCAATTTTTTTTTTGTCATGCTTATGCCTTGTTTGCTTGCAAAGGAACTTCCCACGATCTGTGTCTGAGATATTATTTAATTCCATTCACCTTTTAGCCTTTATTGCCTGCCAAAATTAATTTACTTCACAAGAAGCTTTCATGTCAGGAAAAAATTGTTGTTATAGATCAACCAGGTGAAACACATGTAACTCCATGTGGCAGTACAATTAGTTCTAGTTACTGTACAGTATTCATACAATTCAATAGGCTTTATATGCATAATTAGCTCTGGATCATATTTCCATTTCTAAAAGATAAGTTTTATTTATAATTATTTGTTCAAATGAACTTAATATGTTGAAATGTATTGAATTGAATTGTATATGAATTGTATTTGCAGGAAATCCACACATATGGAATTGGATTGATCCCTCGTAAAACATCAGCAGTGCTGCATACCTACAATTTATGAAGATACCAGAAAATACAATCACTGAGTTTTGACACAAATTCTTACGTATGGGACGTATTACCACTTACTGAAAACATTAACAGCAATGATTTCACACTTTGGAAAATTGCAGCCAGAAATAGCAATCTTAAATCTACAAAAAAAGGTTCATCCCCGGAGGTTCATCTACAATCCTACCATCTAGTTCCTGACTACATGAACTGAAGTTTCGTTTATGAGCAATCAGTAAATCGAAATTGAAAATAAGATGAGCTAAGATTTAGGACAGCACAATCTCTGCAGACATGGGAATCATTTACGCTCTTATTGGTGCCCTTGTTGTGTTTCTTGCTTGTGCAACAAATGGACAACTTTGTAGCATTAATTTCAATCCAGCACTTGTTGAGGACCTTCTGGCATCCAAGGAAACAGTGGTAGAGTTAAACCTAACATGCGCACAACCAATGATTGCTCAACACAATCCGGCACAATCAGGTATCATTCCGGCACAACCTCTGATTGAAAAGCACAATGGAACACAATCAAGAAACTCACTCAATGAAACTACAGGATATTCTGTGATGGGCTATGGTGTTCGACCAACTGTTGTAGCAATGACATTGATTTCAGAGGACCCTAACATTGCTAAAGTAAAAGAAGACAATGTTATTAGACTCACTGAAGCTGAAACAGTCAATATAACCATACAGGGTATACGGCTTGGAAGAACCAAATTAATAATCACATCGATGAACAAATCAGGTCCATTCAACATGACCACACCAGAGCCCTATACAGTTTTAGTGATCAGAAAACGTGGATGGATTGATTTAATATTTGGTATTTCTTTAGGCACAATAATTTTAGTGCAAAATTTTGGATTTGGTTGCAAAATTGAATTGAAGGAAATCAAGGAAATATTAAAGAAACCAGTGGCGCCAGCTATTGGATTCTGTTGCCAGTTTCTAATTATGCCCCCAGTAAGTAAATTTTCAACCTCGACTAGTATAACTAATTTAGTAATTGGTATAAATATTAAGTGTGGTTTTTCAAATGTTCCTGTTTTAATTTTTTCTATTCTGTACATAAAAATGCCTATGGAATATGGATATTAGTTTTAAGAAGATAAAATATTTCAGTCTATTGTACAGGTACTTGCAATATTTACAGTATATATTGTATGATTGTGTGATATTCGGTTGAGTGGGAATTGTGATCTGATAAGATATATGGAGATTATAGAGGTATTTTGAATTCATTTTAAACCTCTTGTACATTGAGTTTTCCTTAATTTATATACTTTTTTGAAATCTTAAAAAGAACTATGTTTAAGAAGCTCTTATACCTTATGTTTTAAAAGTTCTTATACCTTATTTGTATGAAGTTTTCTTAACCTTTTGTTTTAGAAATTCTTATATCCTATCGGGAAATCTCCTTATAATACTCTTCATGTTTTCAGCTGTCAGTGGCAATGGCCCACTTACTACAACTAGACACTGTAATGAGTATAGGTCTCCTGGCCATAGGTAGCAGTGCTGGGGGTGGGGCTAGCAATGTGTTCTGTTATATACTAGAGGCAGATCTTAATCTCAGTATGACCATGACATTTATCAGCACAATAGCAGCTCTAGGTAAGTTAATTATCATCTAAATATTCCTTTAATATGTGCTTAAAAGTTTAAGATATCCCAGTTTCTTGACATCTTCTTTGTCTGGATGAGACAACCCCCGTGAAACAAAGATTTCAGTCCATGACTGGGACAAACCAGATATCCTTTATTATGTCACCACCAAAAGTGGTGACATATTGTTATGGTCTCCGTTTTTTTTGTGACGGCGGTTGGAGGTTGGCGTCCGGTGTCCGGCGTCTGTAACAATTTCTTACAACTTCCTATAACTTTACAAATACTGTTTAGACTGACTTCAATTTTTTTCTAAATCATCTACATGTTCTCAGAAGTTCAAATCTGACTTTAGATTTGACATTTGACCTTCAATGACCTTCTCAAGGTCAAAAAGGTCTTTTTTCAACTTGCTTCACATTGACTAAATTTTTTTCAAAATCATCTACATGTTCTCAGAAATTCAAATCTGACTTTAGATTTGACTTAAGATTTGACATTTGACCTTCAAATCTGACTTTAGATTTGACATTTGACCTTCAATGACCTTCTCAAGGTCAAAAAGGTCTGTTTTCAACTTGCTTCAAATTGACTAAATTTTTTTTTCAAAATCATCTACGTGTTCTCAGAAATTCAAATCTGACTTAAGATTTGACTTAAGATTTGACATTTGACCTTCAATGACCTTCCAAGGTCAAAAAAGGTCAAAAAGGTCTGTTTTCAACTTGCTTCAAATTGACTAAATTTTTTTTTCAAAATCATCTACGTGTTCTCAGAAATTCAAATCTGACTTTAGATTTGACTTAAGATTTGACATTTGACCTTCAATGACCTTCTCAAAGTCAAAAAAGGTCAAAAAGGTCTTTTTTCAACTTGCTTCAAATTGACTAAATTTTTTTTTCAAAATCATCTACATGTTCTCAGAAATTCAAATCTGACTTTAGATTTGACATTTGACCTTCAATGACCTTCTCAATGTCAAAAAAGGTCAAAAAGGTATTTTTTCATCTTGCTTCAAATTGACTAAATTTTTTTTCAAAATCATCTACATGTTCTCAGAAATTCAAATATGACTTTAGATTTGACATTTTACCTTCAATGACCTTCTCAAGGTCAAAAAAGGTCAAAAAGGTCTGTTTTCAACTTGCTTCAAATTGACCTTTAGGTGGTGACATTTTGTCATGTTAATGCCTTGTATTGTAACATATTGTAAGTTGTAACACCTCATGTATCGTGCACCTCATTGAAATACTGCATTTTGATTGGTTGATTGCTATAATTTCATTTGGGTACTTTTATTCAACAGGTATGACCCCTCTGTGGATGTGGATATTGGGACGCCTATATATGGATGATACGAGAGTCAACATCCCCGCTCAGAATGCAATCATATCCGTGGCGGCAGTCGTAGTTCCTGTCGTTATAGGCGTCATTGTTAACCATTTCAAACCACGTGTGGGAGCTATCATCGTAAAATTACTTCGCCCCTGGGTTGTGTTATTCATCATCGTATTTTTAGCATTACTTCCAGTAGCATTTAGATTTTCATTTAGTTTTGTAACATGGAGGATTGTTCTCGCAACGTTTCTCACACCGTTGGTAGGATTCATCCTGGGAGCAGTCATTGCATTGATTTTCAAGCAGCCACTAAAGCAAATTATAACAATATCACTAGAGACAGGAATGCAGAATATGCAACTCTCTGTCGTGATGATCGGAATAAGTCTTCCGCAGCCGGAATCAGATATGGCTACAACTGTACCAATAATGTACATGCTCATAGGCATCATGCCATGGACTGTGCCTGTCACAGTCAAAATAACACAATTTTTGATCAGGTATGCCAAGAAGTTAATATATGGTGACAAAGATGGTGACCAGGACAATACTGTTGCTCATAACAAGACTTGTGATGACCAGGAAATGAATGGCATTCAAACTAAAACCACACATGCTGAAGTGACAGAGACATTGATTGGTAATTCAAATCATTAAAATATTGAAATGACAATCGTAGAATCATATTATTTCTATGTTATCTATATCCAGCTTCACCATTTCCAATTATCGCACAATAATAACAAAATAATAGTTTTTTATCATACATTTTATATTTTAGTATTTATATATTTACAAGTTGTATTTACAATTTTATACAAAGAATAAAAATGATAAAAATGAATCCTACTCTGAGTTCAGATGTTTACATTTTTGAAAAATGATTGATTTATTAGTGGTTCTTGCATCTCCAAATTGTTGACCTTTAACTTTTAAGTTACTTTTTACAATTTTGGGAGACAACAACCTAGTAAACATTTCAATTTTTACTCAGCACACTTAAGGGATTTGCAAAATTAAAACACAGTTTCAGTTTTATCCTCCGAAGAGCATTTTTATTAAATCAGCTCCAATACTTATTACCAAAGACATGAAGAAATGGATAGGATTTTTTTTTGATTACAGTAAAACCTGTAAAGTGGAACACCTCTAGAGGTGGAACACCTCTAGAGGTGGAACAAGAGTCGCAAGACTGTTGTGTTAAATGGACAGTTGAAGTGGAACATCTCCCAAGTGCAACACTTTATCAAAGGTGTTCCACTTAGACAGGTTTCACTGTATTGTTTCTCCCAATGTAGTTTGGTTTTACACTCAGGGGGACAAGCAAAATTCTCTGTTCAAATATTTTAGAATTTATGAGATATGAGAGCTTCCAATCCATTTCTTAAGTCATTTCTTATTATTACTTATACCACATGTTCCAAACAGCCCCCTGAAATATTCTCTGCAAATAAATGAATTATTCTTGTTTACATTGATTCGAGTGCCTATTCTCCAGTCCACAATTAATAAAATTAAATAAAAAAGATGGATGAATGGACAAGTTGGCGATTCCACAGGCTCACCATGTGTGCCAATCACTGACTTTCTTTCGACTTTTTACTGTCCGTCATTTTTTTTACTTCATCTGTTTCCAAAAGTATCTATCCACTATTCTGCTATTGTCTACAGTGAAAAATCTTTAAATGATTTAAACCATCACTGTCTTTCCCCCTGTTGTCCTATGGCACTCTCCCTAGATGGTATTCCTGTCATGTTGTTGGCCTAGGTTTCAATATAAGTTTACCAGTCTGCAAGAAATAACACATGTTCCTGTTTATATATTTCATTGAAAGGAATTACATGAATGTTTCATAGTGAATAGTGAGAGACAAATTAAGAAGTTATAAGCACTTTGGCAAAACAAGCTATGGAAAATCACATTTTGTCTGCTCCTAATTGAATGGGAGTAAAACAAAATATTTCTTATAACATTAATCTACTGTGTATGTAGACTGAGTTTTTAAAATTTTGTAGTACTGTAAAGAATGGTGTCCATGTAAGTCAACAGTTGAAGCAGAGCATGATGACTTTATTCAGAAAGCAGAATGATGTTTTAGGTATGAAATGTTTATTATTGATATTTGGCCCTTGGAAGTGAACAGCTATTCAAAATTTTTAATTTTCCTTACGAAAGGAGGGTTTATTAAAACATATACAACAAGTACTTGTATTTTCCAACACTGGTGACATGCATGCTGGCTGTAATACTTACGTCATCACATGACATGTTGTAGTCCATTAACACTTGACGACACCTTGACGCTATGCTAGGCAGCAGTTAAGGAAGATTTAGTTTGCCTTGACATCGACACATTTAAAAATCACAATTGCTCGATATAAAAATTGGAGGATGTTTAGCGTACCAAAACACTGAAACTCTATCTATGAAATATCTAGAAAATAGCATGGCTATTATATGACTTACATTGTCACCTAACACTGTATCTTATGGGATAATATCTAAGACATTTGCTTGTGGACTTGCATAAGAATAATTTTTCTTAAACTGATTTGGATGCCACAGGAACTTTGTCTTTTTGAATAAATATTGTCTGCTACTCCCTGAAAATATGAATGTATTCCTTAAAATCTAGACTCCCATACGTTTACCCAGTCTTTATGAAACAACATGGCCCACTTAAACTGTTAAAGATGCATTATGCCATATGTTTCTCCCCCAGACAATCAATGATGTGCTATTGTTATTGCTCATATAATATCTAACATACCATGGATATATCTTGAGAATAACTTTTGGGTATATTATTGCCGAAATATCCGAAATAATCAACAGAACAACCAAACTCCAGAATTAAACACATTGATTCCTTGGCTACCGAGGGGAATCCCCATTGAGTCACACAAGCGCCCACAAGCGCCTTGAACCAGGGAGCCAATCAGGTTTATGATAAACAAATTCAACGACCAATCAGATAACAGGAGGACTTTCCCGGAATATTCAAACATCAGATTGAATTAATTTCTTCGAAAATAATTAGATCAGCCAGCACAATCGCAAAATTAACACTGAAAGAGGGGGATGTGGGACTTCTTCTTTGGTAAGTAGATGGGTATATATGTGGTGAAACTCAAGATGCAAAAAAGTTCAGAGGGGTCTTGATTGTGCTTTTCTATGGCATAGAGCCTCTTTAAACCTAGCTTTTATCCCCCCCCCCCTTCTCACAAAAGTAATTCAGGTTCCCAATTAAAATTAAAATAAATCCTTGAGCTTATTTGACCTTAAAGGGTAGATATTTTCTTAGAAAGGATACATAGATGGTGCTACAACTCGCTTGTGTATTCCACATAGAAACAATGCTATTAGAAACAAGCAGCTCAGGGCGAAGAATGGATGGTTCATCAATGAATGGAAGAATGAGATCTGAAAGCAAAACATCCAAATGTAAAACAAATACAAAAATATGAAGTTTAACGATATCATATAGAGCGCAAAATTTAAAATAGGCAGAATATGTACTATGTTTATAGAATGAAATGCCATGGTAATAGAGAAGTCTTCCTCTCAATGGGTCTTAATGGATGGCTAGGTCACAGTGTCTGCAACAAGATGTCAGACAAACTGGTATTAAATTTTGATAATTTCTTTTGCTTTCTTATTCTAAACCCATGTAAAAGTCATCTCACCAAAATCTATTATCGGAAGGTAGATCATCTTGTTGCAGAGACACTTTAATCTGGCAACTTGTTGAGACCAAGTAATTTTGGCTTTCCCAAAATACATGTTTGCTTGTTCTATACTCTCCAAATGGGCTCAACAGAGAATGTGCTTTCCCTCTCTCCCTGTACACTGTACATTCATCGAAAAATATATGTTTCTCCTAGAGGGACCTATTGACTTACCTTAGTAGTATCAGGGTCCCAGAGCCAGTTCCAAGCACATGTGGCAGTCATTACTGAGACAACTATCAAGAGAACTGCAAATACAAATATCACTCATGCTGTAGAAGTGGAAACTGACAAAACAAAACTTTGGCAAGATGGTCCATAAGACACTAATGACAAGTTAGGTTTTCCAGGATCAGCAATCATTTTTGTTTGTACCAATGTTCCTTTTATTCCTCTCCGTAGATGTACAGGGTGGCCCCGGAGTAATGTATGAATAAATCACAGGGGCTGGTATGGGATATTGGGCATAGTCCTCAACATGTATTCAAAGCTTCTCTATTAGAAAGGAGCTTAGAACACATGATGAGGACTCTACCCGGTCTTCCATACAAGTCCCTGTGGAATAAATATCCTTTGATTTTTGAGTGATATGATTTTTATCCATGAATGGACATACTGTGGTCTCTGCATCGGCAAGAGTTATTCTTCCATGATAATATACAACATATATAAATCCAATCAACACATACTCCAAATACAGGGCTCCGTTCATCTTTCCCTCTGAAGAAAGTGTATGTTATTTCCAAATAGTGAATCACTTGAGGTAAGATGACAGGCCCGTAGCCAGGGAGGGTTCGCAAGGTTTGGGCGAACCACCCTGGCCAAAAATTCTTTCAAATTTATGCAGTTTTTCCCCATTATGAGCACCACTCAAGTGATTTTAGCCATATTTGGGCCAAAATTGTCAAATGTGAACCCCCCCCTGAAAATTTTTGAAAATTGAACCCCCCTTGGCAAATCCTGGCTACGGGCCTGGATCATGCTTTTGAAATACCATATATATGACTACATTTTTGTTGTTGTACCTTAACAGGTATGAGACGATCGTCAACTTGGGCAAATAATTATATCATACACTTGTGTAATGATTATGATCTGATTATAATGTAGAACCGCAAATGACCCTCAGAAAGAAAAATACAATACATGTATATATACAAACGAGTAATCGGGAAGACATACAATTGAGAATCACTTTAGACTGAACTTACTTCTCCATCTCCCAGTGGCAGGCTGTACTTGCGCTATAACCTCAGTCAGTCTCCGCTCAAATGCTTTCAAATCTGTAAAACAGACATTTTATTTCATCATAAAATTTGTATATATAAAGACGGACCTGAAAGTCTTAAAGTCTGTGATATAAACTGTAAGCCGGACCATTGAAGAAGTGTAAATCATAATTTCTGGGTACTACTTATTCCATGAATGTGACACAGCGTAAGAGGTGTGATGTTTCTAGATGAAAAACAAAAATTTCCTCGTTCTGCCGATGAACTCAAACAATAACTCAGATGTGAGAAATACATGTAGTTATAGATGTTATAATACTTACTATAACATGGGGTCTATGGGGAATCTCCCAAACTAGAAGTCACATTTTCAAAAAAAATTTAGTTTGGTATTTCTACATGTACTTGTACATGTAAATTTCAAATATGACATCACCTTGACTGAATTTTGAATATTTAATGACGTAAATCAAGATTATCTCTAGTCTATTGGGGATTCAAGTACACAAAATGAATCCTAAAATACCCAGAAATGATTTAAGTAGGTAATTTGAGTTTAAGTCATGGAAAATTCTCCCATATTGTATCACACAGACAACCAGAGGGATATTCTCACAACTATAGTATACTTGTGGAACTGAACCACTGATAGTGGGAAGTTCTTCTATCAAAGCCCCCATAAAAGGGTTTGTTTAATCTGCCGCCCCCACCTCTCCTATAAATTTTCATATAGACAAGCCAAGAACAAAGTCAATTGGTTGGCGAGAGACCAAATTGTATTGCCATTTTTTGAGAGAGTACATAAGAGAGACTGTGGCAAAATGCGATGCTCATTACCAAATTACCCTGGCATCGAACTGTATAGTTGATTTGGCACCATCATAAAATAAGGGTGACTGGCAAAACGGGAGTCTCATTTTTTCTCTGGCAAATTACCCTGCCATGGCAAAACGTGACGCTTGATATGATAATGTGTACTGTGTTACTTCGAATGCCCATGGTTATTTCATGGAATAAAATAACAATCAAATAGATTGTACAGATGCTACCGTAATCAGTTAGGTCTATGGCCTGTAGCCTATATACTGTATTTTTAAGAAAAAATGAAAGCAAAAACATGAAAAAATGAAAAATATTGACCCTGATTATTAGGAATGCATTTACAGCTTTATCGCCCATTATCTGCCTTTAATTATCCGTCAAATGCAGCCTTTTGAACTTATTTTCTAATACAATAAATATAAAAGTGTGGCTAATATTGTTTACCTTCAGTTTGCTCCAATGAATTGAAAGACATCTTCAATATTTTTTTCTGTTTCTCAAGTCTCGTGTATTCTCTCTAGGCTAGATAGATCCGAGAATTCAAACGAGAACAAAGAAAATCTATCAAATCTTAAAATTACACCAAGGTAAAGTATCATTTTTCATAGTTTAGATTTGTTATAATGGATTATAAAATTCGGAATGACTTACACAATTAATCGAGGAACCTTATAAATGCATTTTTATTGGAGATATGGCAATAGAAGACTTGATTTCCATGAATTACGTGCAACTTCCGGTGTTTTTTTCATAAAAATCATTTTTCGGCCAGCACATGTTTTTGTTTGTTTATTGTTCCTTTCTCATTGCATATTCATTTGCGATTCTAACTAAAAGCCCATGGATATAATTATTATTTGAAAATTGGGAATAGGTTTTATGAATGATGTAAACTTCATGAGTAAAAATCTGGTAGCAAATGGACAAAGGAGTTGGGGCCCGAGTTGGGGCAATCTGTGCAACTGCAAGGTTCGGTTTTTACTTGTTTCAGTTTTTCACTGATGCACAAAAATGAAAGCACATCATTCCCGTGATTCAAATTGCTTTTCTGCGATTGGTTTGGTTTTAGTTTATATACCAAATGAAAGCTAAGAGATAGAGAGTGTGCCAAAAACCGAACCCAAAATGGAACCTCTCGCAGATTGCCCCTAGTGCTGATTAGCTGTGATCATGCAGTAATACACAGCTGGGCGTAATGCTCGATGAGAATACCTTATTAAGTGAATATAGATAAGAGGGATCATTGTAAATCAGAATGTGTCGGAGCTTCCATCTCCAATATCTATGATGCAATGCAGTGATCTCCTCACGCGCAGTACCCACCTGAGATTTTCAAAACAGGCTTGCACCCACCTACAAAACACATTTGGACCTACGTGAAAATGAGAAAAATCATGTAAAATAGGCATATTTTGATCAATTTTGGTCTGAATTTTAAACATGAGAATATCTCAGGCACTTGAGGAAAAAGCCTGTCGAGAACACTGCAATAGGTTTTTGACTACAGAATACTTTTTTTGCTATTATAGATGGCAGGACGTGGATTTGGTAGTCTGAGAGGGCAGACCAACAGTTCAGATCCAGCTCTGCTGAAGAGCCGAGTCTTTATTGGAAGCTTACCTACAGATAAGATAGATGACAAAACTGAACTACAAAAGTTATTTGATCCATACGGGGAGGTCCTTGGTGAGCTGTTATGACGAGACTTTTCTTGTGGTTTATTTTGAACTTTTAATATTGCATGTCATTTTTTTGAAATATCATATTCTCTCTAAAACCACACAACCCCCAAAGAGCACACATAGGACTTTTATGAAGAATACATTCTCCAGAAAGTTGACTTTCCAGCAAATGATATTTTACTCCTTTTGTATGAATGTATGTATGTATGCTTTTTAATATCAGCATAATGTATTAACTGTTAGGCTCTCTTGACGTTTTGCTCCCTTAATTTCTTTGTTGAAAATGTAATACAACTAATCAAATACAGAAAAGAAGTTTAAAAATACGTAATACAATAAAAAGAAGTTTATGAATGCAATACATGTATAAAATGAAGACTTATATATATATTCGTATATGCACATGTAAAATCTGTACAAAATTTAAACATACTTTATAACATCTATTGCATTTGTAATATATGTCCATTTCTGTATTTCAGGCTGTAATTTATTCAAGGGTTTTGGGTTTGTGCAGTTTGTCAAAGAAGGTGATGCAAATGAAGCTGTTGCTAAGCTAAAAGGATCTGTCTTCATGGGAAGCAGACTTGGTATGTTTTGTATACATCTCCATATTTTTTTTACACAATACATGTACATTTTAAACAGTACAAGTATATACAACATCTCCATATTTTGTATGTTTTCTACACAATGCGTTTAAATAAATCTCCATATTTGGTTCATTGGAAGACCTGAAAACTAATACAAGTGGGCAAAAATTTATGGTCTTTTAAGAGTTCTCACCAGGAAATTTTTAGACTCCGGATTTTTCGTGGTATCGCGACTACTCCTCCCCCATGTGATATCAGTGATATCCTATTAGTATACTTTTCAAACCACTACCTAGGATTTCTAATATCTTCCTATTTTAATCACAATATACATTTCTATTCCTTGTGTGTATTTTTTAACGAGTTTTACCACAAATAATGTGACACAAATGTAAAATTAGACCCTGGAAGAAGTCCCCGGTCTTTTGGATCACTTAAAAGAGAGCTTCATGTACGATGTGATTTTAAGATCTTCCCGGCATCAAGACTTTAAACATGTATTTATCTCTCACATTCAGAGCCTAATGTACCTTGACACTGATGGTAAAGATACAAATATAAAAGAATACAAATAAGAAATGTATTTTAGATATCAAGATGGCTGCAGAGGGGAGGAAGAAAAAAGAGCCAGAGGCTGATGAAGATCGGGGATAGTAAGTCAGAAGATAACGTATCGACTGATGTACTTTAATGCTGGATTAATCATTAATAAAGCTCAATATTGTCATGTATTGTAATTTCTTGTTGTTGTAAAATTTAATACTATCATGTAGTACAAGGGCATTAAAACATTAAGAATCTTGTTTTTCCTTTAGTGGAGCTAGAGGTGGCGCTAGTAGTTATGATGACTATGACAGAGGTGGTTTTGAACGGCCCGCCAGGGGGCGTGGTAGAGGCAGACCAGATGACAGATCAGCTAGAAGTCGTTCACCAATAGCCAGAGACCCCTATGCTGAGAGGGACCCTTACGCAGAAAGACCAGCACGTACCAGGTATTGGACCTAATAAGTTCTCATTGAATGTATATATACAGTAACCTGCTTTTACCACTTCTTGTTATATCACCACCAGAAGTGGTGACATATTGTTATAGTCTCCAGGCCCATAGCCAGGGGGGGTTTGACTATTTTTTGATCATAGAAGAAAAAAGGTTTGAAGATAGTTGTGGTTTCTTTTTCTATTCCAGGCCATCACCATATGGCAGAGGACGTGACCCATATGATGAGAGCCCTCTACCTCCTCCCAGGAGAGCTCTCCCACCTGTCGACCCCTATGATCCATATAGCAGGTTAGCTTCTTCGAACCTAATTCTTTGTATCATATCATATCCAGACAATAGTCCTTTTTGCCTCTACTCCTTTCAACATAATCCAATAATTTTATTCTTCATTTGGGGACTACCAGTAATTCCTTCAGCTTAGGCCATCCACAATTAATGTATTTAGGAATTTACTTATTTGAATATTCGAAACTAATACATTAAACTTTGTGTTTTCTTGAGGTCATCTTCAACATAAAAGTCACACATGCCCTTATTGGAACAGTGCAGTCATTACAGAGAATACAGTAACCAATTAAAAATTCTCGTTCCAGGCGTGACCCATATGCTGCCGCAGCTAGAGACCCCTACAGGACTGCTGCTCCCCCAGCAGTGCCCCCTACCCCCACAATAACCAGACCAATGTATGATGCTGCAATCATCTGTATCAACAAGCAGCAGAGGTGAGTCGTGTCCACCCAGACTTGTCCCACAGGTGCAAGTGCTTTACCCACTTGAGATTTTTTACCTGCTCCAAAAGCATTTGCACCGATACTCTTCAGAATTAGGAAATTCATTAAAAATTTGCAAATTTTGAGTAGATCGGTGAAAATGTAAATTAAGTGCCCGCTTGAGAAAAAAGATTTGGGCAATCATGATTGAAAATTTATGAATGGCCAAAAATGTATGTATTTTAAGATTCTCACATTTATCATTTATAAAAATTATTCATTATAAAATTAATTCAACTTCAATATTCCATCACGCTATAAAAAATAATTTATTTAGGAATTATGGTGAAATGATAGAACGACGCCTGAAAAACATCAATCTGGTCACAAATCTTCAAATTCTAGAAGATGTGAGCGAATTAGGATCTGCTGTCGAAAACTGCCAGCGCAAGAAATTTTTATATTGTCTCACAATTACGAGCCAGAATGAAATACACAGATCTCTGACCCTGAATATCATTCATGGCACTCCACAAGGTAAGACTCGTTATCATTGCTCCTTGAAGTATTTTATTGTTTCTACAAGTAATACCTCTTTCTTTGTAGGAAAGGAGCGATAGTTGTGCAGAGAATGATAACTCATTTTACTTTTTTGGCTAATATTTTCCTGGTGATTCTAAATGAAAGAGACTTTTTAGACAATTGGTTTTTCAAATGTCTCAGTTGTGGTGTCGACTGATCTTCTTTTACATACGTTTTTTATCAATTTCGGATAGTGTGGTGGAGTCTCACTGATGAAATCTACGGCATCAAAGTATTTTTGCCATACCTGAAATTGTTGGTTTTCTGTATTTTCACATTTTTACATCAACGTAATTTTAATGACCATTTGTATTTTAGACGATTCGGTTTTTACACTCTGACTGGTTTTGCACATATATGTGTAGGTTTTCAGAGTATCAGTTGATACTCTGAATTAGAGTGTCCAAATTTTTAAAACACATTTTTCGACTGACTGATGTTTACTTGCGTCCCGTCCTCATTTTTATAAAACATAAATCTGCGCTTTCATAATTAATGTTTTGATCCAGTTTGACAACACAAGAAGCCGGTTTTCTCTATGGTCTCGAAGATTTATAATATGCAGTATATGGTCATCTAAGTTTTATAACTTCAATTTTATAGAACATTCCATTCATGCATCTATTTTATATAATGATAGGGTCTTTGGCCTGTTGACTAAACATTTTACTTAAACTGCATGTAAATTTCTCACCGTACCTTTTCATTTTTGATTTTTATTCGCGATTTTAAAGTCTCTATGTTAAATGTACCAGAGAAAGTGTACATAGCCAGATAAAATTACTGTATTCCATACCTGATGAGGTTTCAGGGACATATTAACCGGGATTAAAACAGATTTCCAGCCTTACCAGATACAGATTGCCTTAGAGTGTTAACAAAGTGGGAGAATAGCCTCAAAACTAAAATATTTATAACTACCCATGCAACAACACGTTCAATAGAGAAATAGAAATGGAATAGCAAGGGGTGATTATTACTACACTTTTGCTACATGAATAAGCAGATGTCTCTGATTAATCTCAACTAGCCTACCCTCGAGTTACCGGGATCACACCTTTTATACTAAATGGTGACCAACGTAAACAAGTGTTCAGTTTGTGTTATACTTTAAACTAATTCCTAGTCTGATGTTACGTATGCATGCTGTTTAACATTCTCAAAGTGGATATAGCAAAAAATCGTAGCTTGTATCGGACCGGAAGTATATTACTCAAGCACTTGCAGCGTACACTGGTTTTGAGTAAATGTTTGAAAAGATACCATATAGTTTTACATTTTCCACATTTTTAACTGACACAGAATAAACTGGCGCAGAATAAATCTATATAATCGGCTAATACTATTAGTTTTCCGGAAGCACAAGTATACATCAGTTGGTTTTTCAATTTTACACTACACTTTTCAATTTTTGGAGTTACATTTTCCCAACTTTTCATTCAGCGGGTTATTTTTCCTGTACCTGACAAAATGTGTTTTTCATCTGATGTTTTTGGATGAGTGTCGTGTTTTGGATATTTCATTTTTGATACTTTCAGCATTTTCACCATTTTGACCAGGACTTTTTCAATACCTTCACATTTTGGGCGTTTTTAATATTTTCAAATTTTTGGATTCTTTTTGCCAATTGCTGTTTTATATTTGCATTTCATATTTTACACTAGTATTATAATATGAACATTTGCTTTAACATTTGCTTCATTCTGTTTTCCTCTCAGAGCATCGCAATATGCCACTGGATGATGCCATGACGCTAGTTGCAAGGAATTTCAGCAAATATGAAGAAAGTTTGAGAGAAAAGGCAGGATCTGCAGCCGCGGTTCCCCGAGCTCTCCCCGAGTTCAAACCGCCCAATGCAACGGTATCGTATTTGTTAAATCTTTTGGCTGACAGTCGTCAGTTGACAGAAGAGGAGCTGACGAAGGTCATTGATTATTTGACTGAGCGCAGAAATCAGTTTATAGTTGCAAGAGGGGGCATTTTGCCCAGTCAAGGCGGAAAAGGAGGAGGTGAGAATATTAGATATCTTATGACTAAATGAAGCGATTAAAACTAAGTTAAGCAGTTCATTCTGAAACTCCCTAAATTTGCTGAAAATTGTGCTCAAAATACAGAAACATTTATTTAATGAATCGATTGTAAACCTCAATGAAATTACATTAAGTGTTCACTAATATAAAGCACAAATAAACCCAAAACTGATTTTTTGCAGAGAAATCAGCCGATGAGAAAGAAAAGGAGATCATACAACAGCAAGCTGAACTTCAGGCCAATATACTCAACATACTAAATGGCGGGAAAACTGTACAAGCACCGGCCCCTGTCCCACAACCATCTTCAAGTGGCGGGATTAACTTCGACAACCCAAATGTACAGCGTGCACTAGATAATCTCATCTCCACTGGGCCAAACCTCTTGGCTAATCTAGGCGGAGAAGGTACCAGTACTCCAGCTGCTTTACAAGCTGCAGCTAAGGCCAGTGGGGGCTTAACTGCTATAGCTGCACAATATGGCCAAACCATGGGGAGCCAAGGTGTTCCTAGAAGCGCATACGGTGGTAACCAATCAAACATTATGAGATATTAATACAGTGGGATGGACCAAGGACAGTATTTTAACAGTCATTTTAAGATTAGTTAAATGTGTAAATACAAGAGACATTGGAAATTATTTTCATACAGTGACATTCACATTATACTTACCTGTGTTCAATATATGAGCAGTTTTATTCAGATCTGCCGTATCAAGTACACAAGAGTAAATAAACATTTGAATGAAGAAAAAAAAACTACAATTATGTAAAATGATTAGTTTAAGTCACATTTCATTTTTTATTGTATAAGCATTTCAGGTTCATTTTTTTAGTAAGATAGTTTAAATGTTGTAAAATGTGTACTTGATTACAAATAAAATATGTGTATTAAAACATGGATTTAAAGTTTTCCCCTCTCTAAAAAAATGTCTTGGATGTTTTAAACACAAATCGATCTGAAAAAATGAAAATAAATTTTGACATGAATTTTTACCGATTGCCTCATAGCCCAAGGATGGGCTACACAACAGTTGAAGAATGGACCTTTAGTTGACATCTATATTTTGACTTATGCAATTTGACCGAATTTGACTTATAGTGACTGTTTTAAAGAACTTCAATACATGTATTTAGATTGCTTGAAAAGTATCCTATTCTACACATCCAGTGTATTTATCTGAAGCCTATTTAGCATAATGCTTCTAGGCTAGATATTCGGTGATATTATGTGATATATGTATCAGTTGTGCAAAATCACAGACCAAGGACCTGAAGAAACAAATTGGAAACTACAAAGGTGCGTAAATATAAAAACATTATTTATTTTTGAGTTGTTACGAAACATTGTGTATTAGGTACAGTAAGCGAAAGAAGAGCTCGGAACACATAATGCTATCCCGGAAGACATAAATATTTGTCGCGAAATTTGAAAAATTGCCATTTATTATTTTCATCTTCGTCAATAAGGAAATATGCTTACAAGTACAAAATTGGATTAATGGACTATTAAAATATTATATAATAGTATGACTTTCAATTCCAAATCAAACATGCACTGTGAAATACAATGTTTTGTTTTCGTGTAATAACCTCTAATAATTAAGACATCGGTGTAACAGTCCTGCCCCACTACTGGTGTCTGTCAATTCAAACCAACCGGCTGACATTTTCTCAACCAATCGGCGAGAAGAAACTGTGCTTAAATAATGTTTAATGTTGGCCAATACCAGGTAAACAATGACTTCGGAGGAAATGACCATATATTGAAGAACTAAACTATTTCGGATTCAATAAAATGTTCAGTAATTTGTGTGCATCTCACCGTGGTATGATTTGGATGATGCTTCCCTATTCATCCTCGTGCATCGCGTTATAAAAAGAAAAATTAATATATTTTACTGAAGAAGTGCATTTAATTATTCATAATTATGTTGAAGTGTACATGTAGGACTTGCCGTTCAATACACTGAATAGAAAAAAGTGAAGCATTCCCTGAGAAAAAAATTAATTTTTTTGCCAAAAATGTTGAAAAACATTTACCCGAAACATGGACATACTGTAACCCTCATCTATGTACAGTAGTATAACTTACTTACGAAGGCGCGACACAAATTAACATTAATCCGGGGTCTCATCGTTTCTCATCATTTTTGAAATCACTGCATAAGTGGCGTATAGATAACCTGACCTATAGTTGCTCTTTTGCTGACTAGGTATTTGAGGGTGTATCATCTCCGCTGAATGTATAGCGTATACACTCGGAATCAAATTCTAAAAATATATCTCAGCACAGGAATTAAGTCTGTGTTCCCAACGACTAGTTTATAATAATCTGAATAAATAGATGTGTCCCATGCATTAATTTGTTAACCGCTGCAACATAACGCGCCCTTCAATCATATTGAATATAGCGTAAAATATTCACTGGTAATGAATGCGAGGTAAATCTTCCGTGTCTTCAATCTATGCATGACTCTGGTTTGAAAAAAAATTGTTTAAGATTTCTTGCCCATTTATTGTGAAGGCACAAAAATGATTGTACTTATCATCAACGCGTGCAAAAAGTAGGAATATGTAATGAATGCGTTACAAGTACAGCAACAAGCTTATACTCAAAAATTAAAAAACATATCCTAAAATATGTAACTTTATAATGAATGAGAAAGATGAGATGCTTGCATAAAAAAAGACAGGAAATGTGGTTATTACAGCAGATTTTTTTTTCAGAAATATTGATGTTTAGTTTCAGATATCAATGCATCGTCTGAATCATTTTGATGATCATTATGTTGTATCGATTAATTGTGATAATATTTAATTATTATGCTTTTTGAAATGTTTTAGTAAAAAGCACCATCTTGTATCATTTTGTTCATAATTAAAGTTGAGATTATTTCATATTTTTTTATATTGTATTACCATTAATACATGTAAATTAGGTCATATTTTCATGCAGGAAGTTCAACTGAATGAGAAACACAATGGCTTATAGCTATAATTCTCAACATAAATACTTTATCGCAGACACTTGCACGCCAATATTGAAAACATTGTATCTCAGTCAATAGAAATCTGGTTACCTGGTAATATGGCTTGTTTGGAAGTGAATTTACAAAACTATATGGTCTATATTCTAATTAAAGTAAATATAACCAAAAAAACTTTAATTCATTACATGGATATAAAGCTTTTTTCTAAGAAAATTGTGTAGCTTGAAAGAATCCTCATCTAGTAAACAGTATGACAAGTTTGAAATTGAAATTGAAAAAATTACACCTTTTCCAATTTCAAATTTCAAAGTAAATTTACTTTTTATTAAATAAACATTTTTTCAAGCTATAAGTCTATTGATTGTGTATTTTACATATCATGAATTAAAAAGTATTTAGGGTTATCTAGAAAGAGAATTACAGTTATTATCTCTTTGATCTACAATGTCAATGCTAATTTGAAAAATAAGATCTTTCTCAGATTTTTGTTCAACATTACCTTATTCATACTCCTGACTCTTGCAGACAATATTTATAAAATAGTACTCAATTTTAGCATTAAACAATACTGTTTTTATGTCACCACCACAAGTGGTAACATATTGTTATCGTCTCCAACTTTTTGTGGATGGTGTTCGGTGGTTGGTGTTCAGCGGTTGATGTCTGTAACAAATGGCAGGTGGTGACATTTTGCATGTTAATGCCTTGTATGTTACTTGAATGAATTGAAAGTCATACTTAACTTACAACTATAAGCTTTCAATAAAGGGTCTTGTTTCCAGTACAGAGGCTGTGACACTATTGATCTCTAATGCTTTGCTCTCATCTTTCAGCTATCCCATGATTCAGCACCAGGAAAAAGGAGATGGGCCGGTTCATTTCAATGCATGATGGGGGGTCTTACCCACAAATCCCAGTGATTGAAGTTTACCATGAGAATAGTCCCACCAGGCACAGGATATGATACTCAGGTATGTCTCAAGTTTGCATTTGAATCAAAAAATAGTCCATGTACAAAATAATATATAGGGAACTGACCATTTGCTATATACTGGATTAATTATGGATAAAAAGGCAGCATGTGTGTTGGTAGAGCTAATATAGCAGCATTTACAATTGGAAAAACTGGGTGAAATCACTTCACTTATTTTCTGAACATTATCAAATGGATTAATGTAGAATCCATTAGCAAACAACGAGATGATCTTGTTGAAGATTTGATTTTTCGCTTTTTGTTCGATGAACAGCGTCCATCTTCTTCAGGTACTTATCGGCTACAGGACATTAGTTTGCAGCATCACCGCTCCATTAAGCAGGTGTGACAGTTGGGGATTAAACGTAGCAAGTAAGTTAAAATGGATTTCATATATAACTTAGATGAACATATTCAATAATAAATAACTTTCTTAATACACAACTCTCTTAAATTCTCATTGAAAATTCAACTTCACAGTGAGATTTCAAAAATAAATAAGCAAATGCTTAATTGAAAAATACTTGTTACCTTATATAAGAAAGTGGATAACCCCATTATACATGTACTCTAATACCAAACTAGTGTAAAAAATTGTTTTTATTATATTATTTTATTTATTTATATTAAATCTTTTGATAACAAAATACATTATCATAGTAAACTATAATGAATACAAGGGAAAAAATAAGTACATCTAATGCATAATCTCATTGTTGAGATTGCAATATGACATTCTTTTATGTTTCGCATATTATAATTCACTTGTTTTAATTCCCACCGAGGTGGACTGACTTTTTCACATCAGCCCTTAGCATAGGAAATTATCCTATGTTTCAAAGAAACTAAGTTTTAATATGTAAATTCTTTATTTACTGGGAAATAATTCATTGCTTGATTTAATGTAACAATGAAATAATATCCAGAACAATGTTATCAAAATTGTTGAGAGTTTATCAAGAGTGAATCTTACCTAGGAACCTCTGTACAGTACTAATATATAAGTAATCATACATTTTGAGGTAGCAGACTTGACAATGTACAATTTACAAGGCAATATTATTATTGTACTATTGTATAATTACAGTACAATGACATAGCAAAAATGGTGTATGTTACATTGTATAATTACAGGACAACAAACTAATATAATATCAATGTCATATTGTATGAAATAATTACAAAACAACAGACATAGCAAATATATTGCATGTCATTGTATAATAGCAAGACAAGAGACATGTTAAAAGTATTGTATGTTATTTTATACAATTATAGGACATATCAGCTCACACCAGGAAATAATTATGCCACTGTTGAATCTATTATATACAATGTGCCTCATGGATGTATATTGTGTGTCATTGTACAAGGTGGTCAAAAAGTACATGCCATGTAACTTTTACAAGATTTAAGACTGAGTGATCTTTATGGTACACACAAAAACTTTAGAGCTTCCCCTAAATCAGGTGAGAATATTAGTCCATTAATTTGGGTAATAACTGAGGAAGCTTGTTGCAAGGGCTCACTTTATTGGACCACCCTGTATAATAACAAGACAATAGACATGACATGTTAAAAATATCGTTATTGTACAATTACAGGACATATCAGCTCACACCAGGAAATAATTGTGCCACTGTTGAATCTATTATATACAATGGTGCCTCATGGATAGCAGTTCATTGTATTTGTCAATTAACGTAAGAACAATAACCTATATTACACATAAATTTCCGTTGTATCGGGTATACTTTTCATGGATAACAACTCAACATTTGTGTAACAAGAAAACCAAACATCAATTGCTGAAATTTTTCTAAAATCATTAGACTTAGGCATAAGCCTTCTTTTCTGGATCAGGATTACATATAATGTCTCTCCCCGATATTGTACGAAAAATATTTTTATATTAAGGTCTGCGGTCTGTTGATGTATATACATAATATCTTTGTATGAAAAGCAGATTGTATTTATCTATAGATCTTATTTTTGAGCTTTTCTTGATCCTTTATTAATAATATTTCCTCTCTATGCTTTCTATTTTGCGATAAAGTCTCTTAATCAATATGCTTTTTAGCTTAAACAGTCAAGCCCTGTTGAATGCTATTCTCAACATAGTTTTTTAGTATGTATGTAATCTTCCTGCTCTTACTGCTTCACAGTCACACATGTTTTTCCTATTTCTGACATTATTACGTTTTTTGTTTTTCCATTTGATAATGCCCATCTGGTGTTGTTTTATTTTAATTTTAACTGTTGCAATGCATCAGCTATCTCAATACATTTGTTGACATTATTTCTTGATTTATGGATGGCTAACATTGCCTCAAGGGCCAGTTTTAATTCAGGCTCATTTTTTTTATTTCCATAGCATATCTTTGACATTTCTATTCCTTGTTCTAATTGCCTCAATGCAGTGTCGGGTCTTTTAAGGTTCATATAGGTTATCCCCATTAATAGTAACACTCTTACTTTCATTTGATGAGGATCTTCTTTGAAGAGCGACCTTAACATTTGATGGGCTTGGAATAAATATGAAAGTTTTTTTTTATAATCTTGTTGCATTAGTGCTGCAAGACCTATGAGTGTTTGTACTATCTCACAGTGTGGGGAATCCTTGTAAATTTGCTTATACATTTTGTAAGCTTTCTCATAGTACTCAAGTGCTTTTGACTCATCTTTAGTGTCTAAATAGGCTGAAGCAAGATAACTTAATGATTTTGCTAACCTATGATTTGTTTGGTTATGATGTACTAACATTTCTATCTGGTATGCCTCTTCAAAGTACTGCTTTGCCTCTTGAAATTCTCCCATTGTTTTATATGTTTCCCCAAAAAGGTTCAGTAAGTTGGCAAAATTTGAATGAGGAGATTCTTTGTGAATCTCTTTGTATATTATCTTGCACCTATCATATTTCAACAAGGCTTCCTTAGGTTGTCCCATTGCATTGTTCACCTTTCCAATACACAGCAATGTGCATGCGATACCACGATGTGGTCTGTCAGGAAACACATTTTCTAACATTTCCAATGCTTTTTCATGACTGTCTAATGCCAGTTGGTGGTTTCCCATATCTAAATGCAGCATTCCTATCTCATTTAGTATATCAGCTGTGTTTGGGTCTGCTTTATTTTTACTTATATCACTCTGCATTTTGTAAGCCTTCTGATATTTATCCAAAGCTTTGATATGTTTCCCAGTTCTTCGGTAAAGTAAAGCAATGCCACAGAGTGCAGTAACAAGCTGGGCTTGTGGCATATTATACATGCCTTCTGCCATCTTAAAAGCTTTCTGATAGTAATTCATTGCACTTCCAAACTCTTCTAACTCAAGGTAACTTTTTCCAATTAGACTGTATACCATAACAAGTCTGTCATGAGGGCTGTCTTTGTAAATATTCTGTAAAATACTCAGCTCTTCTGTCAAATACTCTCTGGCCTTATGTTGACCTCCAACCCCTTGATAGATAATTGCAAGAAATTCAAGTGATTTTGCCAAGTTCATTGCAAAGGCATTATCTCTGTTTGCTATTCTGCACTGTTCTAAAATGTTTTCTGCCATTTTGATTGCTTCATGATTTTTACCAATGTAATGTTTCAACATTGCTAAATTATAAATAGTTTCAAGTGTTATTGTGTTACATTCACCTTCATAAAGTATGCGTTGTAGGCTGTATGCTTTTTGTGTGAATTCTAAAGCTTTTGAATAATCACACAGGTTGAGGTAGACTTTTCCAATAGCGCAAAAGAGAGAGGCAACCTCATTATCCTGTGTCAATTCATGAGATATGTCATATGCTTTGAGTAAATATTCTAGACTCTCAAGATGTTTTCCTGTCCTTATAAAAATGCACCCTATGAAAATTTGAACATCACAAATTATTGCTTTGTTGTCTTGTTTCAGTGCCTCCTTTTCTAATATAAACAGTGATTTCAATGCATGCTCATGATAGTTCATGAAAAAATGGATCTTTGCTTTGGTTAAACTAGTATTGTCAAGGTACCTAGGCAGAATGAGGTCAAATGACTTGTTAGGTATTTGTCTGTTGCAAATATCCTCAATCCATGGTGTGAATGTGAACAAGAACCTGTAGATAGCAGTGTAATCACGTACAGAGAGTAACTTTCCCATTGAACCTTCCAATGATTTTATAAATGAAATCAGCTCATGTTGCCGGTTCTTTTTGGCATACACGCTGTGTCTAAGGTTGATGGCAATGCACACCATGATTTTCAGGTCTTGAGCAGCTGACTCAGAAATTTTCTTAACTTCAACCAGTTCATCTAAAATATCTAATGGACAAGTAGATGATAACCCATGGATCAATTTTAGTGAATTTATAGACATTGTTGCAAAACGATAAATGTCTTTTTTTGCACTGAGAGTCCTTTCAAGTGAAAACAAACTGAAAGGTTTCTGCTTTTCATTCTCTGCATCATCAATGAAGGTTTGGATTCCCCTGAACCTAGCAACAGTCATGGTCGAATCCTGTGTTGATGGTGATTGTAAGATTGAGTCAACAATTTTGTTATACTCTTCATACATTTCCCTGTCTCCATCTACCAAGGTAGTTGACATCAGTACATCTGCCAGGTGGTAGCCTTCTTTCATGCAGACATCTTCCCTCTGTTGTTCAGCAAGTTCCCTGGCAGTCATTATCAATTCTAATGGTGGTTTAGTATCAGTCTCTCTCCTCCCTAGTGGAGTTTTGCTGGCCCAGGGCATGGCACCATCAAAGCAAACCCCACTTGGTGTCACATCATCAAAGTACTCGTTGTTCTTCAACCCTGTCGGCAGTTCTTTGTTGAAATCATTCAGGACTGGTATACACAAGCTTGGAAGGATTGTCTCACCAAGGTTGATAAGTTTAATATGGAACAGGTGGGACAAGGTGCGGAAATAGGTCTTGATGCTTGTGATTTCATCCTCTGATTTGTTGGTATCATCAAATAGAATCGCAGATTCCAGATCTGACCATGCAGTGGCCTCTTGCCTTGCAAGTGACCCGAGACCTAATATGGCATACTTGCAAGATGGTTTACCAAGTACTGCAAAACAGTCATCAAGGAGTCCTCTGTAGAAATCTTTCAGTTTTTCTGTCAACTCATTGTAGAATTTTGCTGATGCCTTGATAGTCTTGACTTCGTCATCTTTTTGCATATCAGCAGTACTTATGTCTACTTTCATGAATTCTTTTATATGGTCAGTTGAATTCTTTGAATATTCTCTGATTTTGGTAAGTCTGGATTTATATGTACCTTTGGGGACCTCATATTCTGGGAAACATCCCAGGAGATGTGTAATATACAAGTATTCTACCTGATCAATGGCTTTAGTCTGGTCATCTCTCAGACACTGGAGCTCATCCTGGGCTGCTGTTGGGTTTATTTTAGAGAACTTATCGATGCAGCACCTAGCACTGTTGAACAGTCCACATGCCCTGACAAAGTGCCAACCCTCATGTGACCTACTTGCTAGCTCCAAGTATTTATCACCTAGTTGTTGGAGGAGTTTCGACTCATCTACAAAAATGTCACTATGGTAAATAGAAAGTACAGTTACTTTATTTGCAACGTTTGATATAATTTCAGTTGCCTCCGTCGTAGATATACATGTATGTTCAATTTAGTTGTTTAACTGTACTCCATTTATGTTTAGGCTATATAATGTTTTCAGTTTTAGTTCTGAGTTGATGTTTTTCAAAAATATATAATTTAAAAAGCTGTCCACTCCTATCCTTTCTACACGTACAATATGAACTAGAGAAACGCATGCGCAAATTGCAATTACAAATAAGTTATATATATAAAAGATGTCGCTTACATTAAAATTCATTTATTACATAAATATACATTTACTGGTTTGGTCCCAAATGCAATCAAACCTGACTTACTACTTTTTAATAGGGTAAATGTCTGGTATATCATTTTGGGTTACCTTGAGTTATTTCACATTGTTGGAATCTTAGTTGTTACTCACCTAAGAGGTCTTTGGCCTCAGTTGCAGCCTTTATTTTCTTCCCCAGCTCATAGAAAGTGGAATCAACCTCAGTGAGGGCATCATCTGTAAAGAAAATTATGATTTTCTTTTATTTCAATAAAATGATAATAAATTTTTACAACATTGAGGTCATGAAACCTTTATGGATCTATGATTGTTCCCCATCTAAATAAAAAGTAATCAAGTGTTAGAAAAATTAAGATTGAATATAGAAAAATGTGTACTAGTCATTGATTGGAAGACACATAACGAAATCCTGTGCTAGGGCTCAAGCCCGGGCTCAAGGAGGATTGGCTCCAAGAGTGCAACATCGATATTCTGTCCCATATATTGGCATGTCGCGATACAAAATTAGAATTCAAACAGCCGCCATTTTGTTCACTTCAACATTTGAATCGTGGATTTTGGTCTTATTTCCAATCGAAACATTCCAAAACTTCTAAGAGATATTGGTTCGAATCTTTTGAATTGTTTATTTTGAATTTATAGATCGGTTTTAATTTTAGAAAATAATGACATTTCAACGTTTTCATTGTTGGGAAAATATCAAGTTTCCAACCTGGGAGCCAATTTCACTTGGCTAGGGCAGATGTGAAAAAGTCAGTCCACCCCTTTAGTGGGGATCAAACCCACAATTTAAGAACAATCTCAGATTACAACCAATGAGAACACACAGCAGTAGCCTAAACAGTTCTTTAAAAAGTCGTAAATCAGCAGGTTACAAAATTCTTAAACAAAACTATAATCTATCTAATACTATATGCCTTACCTTTTATCCTGTCTGCCATATTTCATTTCTTACTGGTATTTTTACGCAAGCTCCTCACTTCGCCATTTTATACAGACTGGTGCGCATTAGTTTTCTGCAACTATTTGTATGCATTTGTTTGCATGCATACAAAGTCAATAACAACAGGCAAATTTTTATTTGCTTAAATTTTTTATACAGTCCTTTTGAGACTTCGCTGAGTCATTTTAAAGAATCTATTTATTCTTATTTCAATGAAAGGCTTTTCTGAGAAATATGAAAATTAGAATGATGTTACTGGATAGGTCTATCTTTTCACAAACTTAGTAATCATAATGCCTCATTTTGAAGCTCGGAGAATTTGAAACAATTTTACATCATATTTTATTACATTTTATATCATAGATTGATGATGTCATAGGTTGTACTTTTTCAAATTAGCAATTTGAGTTTATCCTATTTTCCTTATGCTGTGGTCAGATTTGCTTGGATTTACAACACTGGCACCTGGCTCATGAGTATTTGTTCAAACTGAATGCAGTCATGTATTAATGTAGTCTTTGGAAAGAAATAAGTAGGAAATTGAAATTGTACTCATTACAACAAAAATACCTTTCCAATAAACCCTGCCACCTTTTGGTAGATCAAAGAAGCTATGATATATTTGCTAGAACTACAACCTATGGCATCACAAATCTAGCCAATGTATCATAGCTTCTTTGATTTACCAAAAGATGGCAGGGATTATTAGAAAGGTCTATTGTCTTATTGGTCCATCCCATTGACATAATGAGAAATTTATTTTTGTCCATGAGTAAATGATCCACCCCTCAAATGCATTTTCTTTTTTCAAACGTGATAAAAATGTACAGGAGTCTAGTTTCTCCAGTAGTTCATTGCTCAAAGGCAATAAAGATTGCTCTTAGATCATTGCTAGCATGTGTACCAATAGTAAGGGATGGAACATAAGATTGCAATTTCATTAGCTTTTGACATCAATTAAATTGATTTTACTGTCTGAAACAGTTAATGCATGATTTATATTGTTATTATTTATGTACTGATATTGCAAATCAAATAGCATGAGGCCCTCATCCTTAGAGGTTTAAATAATCTATTGTCAAGAATTTATTGGTCGTAAAAAAGGATTATGGCTCAGTATCAAGAAATTGGCAAGAAACAATCTTATGCTGCATGACAAAACTTTGTTTCTTTTATGTCACCACTTCTGGTGACATACCACTAGAAGTGGTGACATATTGTTATAGTCTCCAACTATTTTGTGGTGGCAGTTTTGTGGTGTTCGATGATTAGTGTTCGGTCTATGTAACAAATGCCAGGTAGTGACATTTGGCATTTTACTCTCTTGTCTGAAAATATTAACCCCCCCCCCCCCGTTCCCTTTGTTAAGAATAAATGGTCCACCAATATTTCAGCCAGTGAGATAGATGGCAGCAATTCAAGGTTATCTAGTCATATCAGTCAGCTGTATGTTTTATGAGAACTGAATTGTTGCGGGTAGATAACACTGATACATGGATATAAAACATGGCAAGTCTGAAAAATCTGGTCAAGTTACAAAGTAGATTATGTCTCCGTGATACATCTAAGGTTATCTGTAGCTTCTCAACCAGCGCTAGGGATGATGCTAAGAAGGATTATAAGCTGGTTGTTATTGGTGGGGGTACTGGGGGATTTGCAGTTACGAGTAAATTCGCCAAGAAATTAGGAAAGGGACAAATAGCAGTAGTCGAACCTAATGAGGTGAGATGCTCAAACTATAATGCATTCGAAATAATTGCAGTTTTCTAGAATAGCATGATCAGAACAATTGTATCATTTACCTTTCAAAAGGTTATTCTGACATTCAGTTTAATACATATTGTAAAGGTCCATAAAATGTCATGAATGCAGGAACTGATTGTTATAATTCTTTCAATGGAAAATTGATGGTCAAGATGAAAGATGAAGAAAAATTAATGAAACAAGTGCCAGGTTTGCAAAGTGGTCTAAACTGTCCAAGTTTTTTCCTATCTGAAAGGGTTGTGTGCTTTGGTTGGTTGCTTTAAATGAAGCGATGTGATGACGTAGATAAGTACTCAACATCAAATATATGCCATTGTCTCCTGAAAGAGAACCATATGCTGCTTATTCATTTGGGCTTCTTGAAGTATCTGATTTGTGATTTTATTTCATAGTGCATGTATGTATCATACACGTCCCACTGGTGGGGGACATAACTTGGCCTGCTAGGGCCAAATTATCAGAAAATGGGCATTCAATTTTCAAAATTTATTATTTAAATCTGAGACCATCTATGTTAGTCTCTGTTTAAATGCATTTATTTTTTCCACACAGGCCCGGAATTTTTTTCATAACTAGAATTGTGCCCCCCCCCCCTCTTGTTAGCTTCTGGATCCCCCAGTGAGTCCTCCATCCAATGAATCGTGCATGTGTCATCTTTCCCTCCGTGTCTCCATACATGTTTGATATTGTATTCTGTGGAGAATTAATATTAAATTCAGATGGAAAGGAGGGTTGTGCCTGATTGTGCTTAAACACAATTTGAAATATCTCTAACAAGTAGCAACTTTAAGTTCAGGAAATTAAATTTTCAAGCAGACTTTAGTGAATATGCTAGGGATGGGTGATCATGACTTAATTGATCTTTCTGCAATTTCTGCATAACATTACTGATTATTCTATGAAAATACACAAACGGAAAACATTAGAAGGATATCAAAAAACAAACTACCATATTCTCTTTAATGAATTAGAATTTAGAAAGGTAAGATATTGAGAGATTCCAAGAAGAGCACATGCAAAAAATTTAGAAAAAAAATATTGTCAATAATCTTTTTATTTTATTTTAGTTGTTATCACTAAGGTTTACATACTCTACACTCATGTAATTCATTCTCTGCATTAGATATTATAAATCATCAATCGACATCTTGTCGTGTAAATTAACAAATGAAGCTAATGCATTAAACTTTTGTGTTTTTTAAGACCATATTCATCACTAAAGTCACATGTGCACTCATTGGAACTCTGCGCTTATTAGAGAGAACACGGTGATATAAACCATGTGAAACAATTAAATCAACAATTAAAATATGAAACACCCTTGAAATGAGGTAAACCCATATTCTATTAGCATTTCAATCAAGAGAGTAAGTCTTAAAAGTTCAAGTGATACACAAAACCTACATTGAAAAAGTCAAATTTACGATTTTCTGCAATTTATTTTTTCTTATATTTACATCAAGATAAACTGAAAGTCATTTGAAAATACATGTAGACATATTTCGCAATTGGATTGTTCAACTTGAGATAACCTGCAATATACTATGTTGTCAGGCTGACCTTAACTTCATTTGTATGTTTATGTTTGCTTGCTTCTACTATGGTTTTATTTACCACGAGTGCAACATTAAAGTGCTTTGCTATCATGACCTTGGTGTACTCAACCTCATAAATTGTGTATATACAGACTTTTAAGAATCACGTTTTTAATAGCGAAAAATAACAAGTCACGTAAGTGTTAGTATTACATTGTATTGAGTATTGTTTTAGCTTTATGGTGACATTGATATATTTATATACCCAATATATTGGCTTATATCAACGATTTCCAGACTAGCTCTATTAAATTATATTGACAAAATATGGACTGTCCCCCAAAAGCTAATGGTCCTCCCCTAGATACTTTACACTAAAACTACAATACAGTAAAACCTGTATAAATGGAATGTCTTTTATGTCCCAATATAGTGTGTCATTTGGAATGTGTTCAAACACTTATACACTGGCAAGCGTCATATATGCAAAAAACGCAATGGGGTACAAATTTAGAGAAAAGTTAAATTTTTTTATTGAATTACATTTTTACATTTTATTCGTTCATACAAGTCGGAATTTCGTATTTTAAAACACCCAAAGCAAGAAAGAACGTTTCAAACGCAATCTCATTTTCAAATTTTCTCACGAAGCTCAAAGCCTGTTCGTTTCCCTCACTTGTGGCGTACACTGACAAAATTGTCACGCTACGTCTTATAGAGATGGTGTCTAATTATCAACAGTTGTTGAATAATGAAGTTTCATTAGTGGGAGGGGGTAAATTATTGTTTTCTTAGCAAATATTGTAAGAAGGAAGAGGTAGGAGTTCTGGAGGCCTGTGTTCAGAACATGCAAATATTGTAGATTTTTTTTAATAATCAAGTGAGAGACAAATCAACATGAAATTTTGTTAGCTATTGGGGTCAAACCATAACAAAATTAACCTCATTTTTAACGACTGTTGATAATTGGACACATCTCAATACAGAGGTTAATTGTACACTGATAATATGCAACATGATTTTGAATAGTATTCAACTGTCACCTGTTCCATTTAACAGGTTCTACTGTACATATGTGTACATTTTAGCCATCAGTCCCGTAGCCAGGGGGGGTTCGCAGGGTCCGGGCAAACCCCCCCCCCCCCTCTGGCCAAATATTCTTTCAAAATCATGCAGTTTTTCACCATTTTGAGCATTTCTCAAGTTATTTTAGCCATATTTGGGCCAAAATTGTCAGATGTTAACCCCCCTCCACCTTGGAAATTTTTGAAAACTGATCCCCCCTTGGCAAATCCTGGCTACTGGCCTGGCCATGATCCTGATAATTATATAAACTCCTTCACTACAAGTTCTCTTTAAAGGTATAGCTTAACCTCTCTAATTTTATATCACTCTATCTATACATGTCTAATTGTAATAGCTATCATGACACCTCCATGCAGATCATCATGTGCCTGCAACATTCCATATAAATCAGCCACAAAAGCAACAACATTTTTATCTTATTTTATCTTTCTTCATCTACACAGTTTGATGCACAGCCCTAAGTTCTTCTTGATTTATTTACTTCTTTTTACCATACTGTTGTATGTTTTCTAGTGGCTGTGTTTGGTCTGATGTTTAAAATTGGCATCATGCTCTTGGTTTAATAGATTCGTTCAAATTAAAAATCGTGAAATAATGTCCATAAAACAGGTTTACATTTTTAGAAATCCTGTCAAGCGCCGTGCACTGTGCCTCCTATTTGCCCTTGGAAATACTTCACATAACATATAGAATATTTATATTATATGGATACTATTTCATGAGCACTCCTATCGTACCAGTCTACATATTTGTCACATCGACTTTTCCATTTTCTCCTTGTTAGTGGGTATCAATAAACGGTCTCGTTAAAGTCTCCATCTTTTTAGGAACACTTTTACTTATTCATGCATGTTCATTTTGATTGGAACAAGTGTCAAAAAATGTCAAAAACTGCATTTATTTATATGCTATCAGTACAAAGTTCATCCTGGTTGGATAGGATAGAAGGGAATGCCCAAAACTGACTAATTTACCCCTGGAAGAAGAGGACATAGGATTTGATCCTATATTTCAGATTAACTTAATATCTTGAACCAACACAGTTATCAAAATATTATCAGTCAATGCCCACCCTGATTGTATGGGTAAAAAAGAAACTGACTAGTTGAGCTGAAAATTTGGTTCATCCTTGCCTGTCTTATAACTATCTAATTACAAATATGCATAACTATTTCAGGAACACTACTACCAGTCTATGTTCACCTTGGTTGGAGGAGGACTTAAAACACTGGAGCAGGCTCATCGTCCTACTGGGTCCCTCTTACCTGATGGTGTGGATTGGATTAAAGACAGTGTTGCAGAATTTGATGCACAAAATAATTTCATAGTAACTCAGAAGGGAGATAAGGTAATCTTTGTCTTAAAAAAATAGTTGAGTCCATCGGGATTTCCGACAAAATATACCATATTCTCTCAAATGAGCGCACAGTTCCAATAAGTCCATATGCAACTTATATGTTGAATATGGTCTCAAGAAAACACGAAGCATTTGTTTAGATTATTTACACAACAAAATCAACCAAAGATCATCCACTGAATGTGGCTTAAGAAAATTCTGGAATAATTAACTGATTTGTTGTTTATTTACCACTTGAAGCAATTAACCGAGAACCAGAGTACAGATTGCAACCTTACAAGCATCTTTTTGACTCGAAATAGTTGTAGTGTGTTGTTGAAAATTATTCTCGAAAATTCATGAGCTATGTTACAGCTAAGTTAGATGTACAGTAATTGCACTTACTTGATGTCATATTTAGATGAGATTTACAATAACTAGGATCTTTGTCATCGGCAAGCTCCATATCAACCTCAATTGCATCGTCATTTTTGATATTAAAACCAAGATATTGTACACAAGGGGCAATCTGCGCGAGGTTCAATTTTGAGGTTCGGTCTTTGCACATTAAATAAAAATATCTACACGCATCCCAATCATCGCCCAATAACACTAGACGAAACATTTTACACAAAACAAAACACATCAGAGCCCAGCTAATAACAAATTCCCCGGGATTTAATCTGCAATTTTACGACGAGACTAAATCGCACGCAAAAAATACCGTGCGTACAGTATATAGAATAGTTTCTTGAGATGATCTTTGAACCTATTATAAAGAACATCATCGGTGTCCATATGTCAGGTGACAATTGCTGAAAATGGAAATTAAAAATGTTTATTTCATTTTAAATTCACTGAACAATTCACTTTTTTACCCACAAAATTATCATTTATATCCTCCCCTCGTGAAATCCACAACTATTAACATTGAACATCCCAGCATCTAAAAAGTCTGTACTCTCTATGTTATCTCAGTAGTACAGCATAGTTAAGTAAATACTTATTTCTAGTTTTGTTTTTTAGGTGCGCTATGACTTCCTGGTTATTGCCATGGGAATACAGCTGAACTATGAAAAGGTCAGTATACAATATATACATGTAACCATGTGACATTGTACAATATACAGGGTGAGCCAAAAAAGATAACCCAAACAAATCTTTATAACTCATAGTCATATTTAGCACAATTTATTATGTCACCACCAGTGTGGATGGTGTTTGGAGTTTTGCAGTCAGTGTTTGGCAGTCATGTGTTCACTGTCTGTTACAAATGGCAGGTGGTGACATTTTGCATGCAAATGCCTTGTTTCCTTCCTGTTGGTGCTATTTATTTATATAAACATTTCTGATGTATCATTTAATGAACTTTTTCGAGAAATCTACCATTTTTATAAAATACACTGATATGGTTATGTCTTGTATATTTCTATAGATTGTAACATGCTTAGATGTTATCTCATATATTTATAAAAAAAATTAATGAAAGAAATTGTTGTGTCACCACCAAGAACTTTGCATTGCCGTAGCTTTAATTTTTGTGGCCAGTGCTACATATATATGCTGTAATTTGTAATGTGTAGTTAGTACTATAATGCCTAAATTAGCTTGATACTCTCACGCTTATGTAGACATGTTTTGAGTTTGTAGAGATTTTTGTAGATAAAAGGTGCATTAGATGCTCTGAAGCATGACCCGATGGTATGCTCGAACTACAGACCACCCTTTGTGAGCAAAACATTCGAGGCAATCAAGAACTTCAAGGAGGGGAACGCCATCTTTACTTTGCCCAACACACCAATTAAATGTGCAGGTGCCCCACAGAAGATCATGTACTTGGCAGACTATCACTTTCGTGCGGTAAGAATTTTAAAATGTTATTCTGAACAGTGCATAACACAGACTGTGGCCCACCCTGTAGAAGTGCTCCAGAAATGCAACCTTCCTCTCATGGAAGGTTACATGTTCCAACATATATCTACTATATGTATGATAATGCTAGACACTTCCTGGGTAGTTGGATTTTAGGTAGGGGTGGCAGACAGCCCTCTGACCAATTTATATTTTATACCCCTCCCCCAAGGGTTCCTTGGGTAAACTTCAATACCACTCAATAAAAAGAATACTATTGCATGTAAAAACGCATTGTTTCATATTGTGTAGGGCATGTTGTTGTTGTTAGTTAGTGCTAAAAGTTCATTGTGATCCCCATGCTGGACATTTGAGGTGTACATGTAGTTGACACTTGGCAAAATTCTTTAAAGTACCACATGGCTATTTGTCACTTGCTAACTTTGTCCTAAAGCTGGATATGCAAAGTGCCTTCTTTGTACTTGGCAAGGTGCTAATTGCACTTTGTGCACATGGCATTTAGTACCCATTGGCCTTTGCTGAATTTTTGTAAATCCAGGAAGGCAAGAATGAACTTCTAGGAGAATGGCCAATCTAGCGATAATTTTTTCAGTTCCTTATTGTCTGACATTTAATAGTAATTCTCCCTTCTCTCACCCGAAAGTTCTAAATCAAACTAATTACGCAATTTTGTTTTTACACCCGCACGCTAAATAAAACAATAATAGTCAGTATACCGAGTTTAATCAAAAAAAGATTGTACAATGAACAACAAAATTTGGAAACCAGTACTATAGATTTGCTTTCGGACCACTGAACAGGTTGACCTAGATAATAGCCATGCATCTTCTTTGGTTTACTGCTCAGTTGTTTGTGGGTTTTCAACATAACTCTATAATGTAATTTGAAGATGAATACTTTTATTCAGTTGTTGCTTCGATGTTGCAGTTTGTAGTGTGGTAAGATTGGCTTGAAAGTCGAATGGAATTGTTTTTTCCAATATGGCGACTAGTCAACTGATCACGTGACCTTCTCTTCCGGAATATTTTCTCACTTTTTAATCATCGTTTTCACCACGCTATGAATCAATACAATGAAAAAAAATAGCTGTTATATTAAGATTAATAAGAGATCAATCGTTTCTAATAATTTTTCTCTCGTACAGGGATATGAACGAATATATCTTTTGTAAAATAGGTATGAAAATCCCCATGTTAATCCTATGAGGGAAAACAAGGAAGTATAAATTAATTTGTTTCTCCATGAACTGCATCATTGGAAATACTTTGACCTTATAAGGAAAGATCTTCGCATCTTCTCTTTTGAAGAGGGAACAACGATTTCGAGAATTGACAACGCTGGGAGCCAATCCTCCTTGGACTTCAGTAACTCCTTCAATATGAATAGCTTTGAGTTATACAATATGACGCATGTTTTTAAAGTACTTAAAATGACTAGTTGACCATCAGAAATAATCCATCTTGTCTATCCTGTTTATATGTTAATAATTAAAGCTCTGCAATTTCTTATAAGTATTGTGCCCATTTTGAGGCTTGATGGCTTGTAGCTTTATCTGAATTGCTCAGTAAGATGGATTTGCTAGGCTTAGGCATTGTCTTTATCTAGTTTGTTTATATTTTAACTATCAGATTCAGATTCTTATTTTGCAGGATTGGTATTCATAAAAGTATTTGATGACCTATTAGACATATCTGTAAACGTTCTACTGAAGAACTTTGATGGTTCTAACGATGGTAGGGATATAGTGAAGCCCTCCATCCATCTGTCCATCCATCCAGATTTTTTTCATATTTGGTGGAAAGATAATATAATCCTATCTATTTCACATTTATTTCAGTCTGGACCCCATGGGCTGTGATATCAAATGCTGCAATCTGATTGGTTAAAATGGGGAATAAAGAAAAATGGGCGGGGAAGTCAGATTTTGAATGTGTTGAGGATTTAATTATCATATTCTAATTTTTGTTCAGCTTTTGTGTAATCATGGAACTGATTTATTTGAACAATATTTCAACAGGTTTAGCTTCATATTAAGCTGTCTAATTTAGTATACTTGTAATTGACTACATTTCAAAAGGAAACTTTTCATGTTGTTCAACTTGGAAAGAAAAATAGCGAAATAGCAAGTTCTGCCATCTATCCATTCTTCTAAGTAGCACCTGATAAGGTCAGTATTACAAAAGAACACTTGTCCCTGGCTATGGAAAAATAAAGCAAAAAAGTTAATTTGATCCCATTGCAGACCTGTCAACCCCCTGTTTCCATGGTAAACCTATAAGTTAAATATTGGTTTCTAGCATTTAAACTAACCATAGCATGCCCTACACAATATGAATTTCTGACATGTATTAGTATTTGTTTTGTTGAGTGGTATTTAAGTACCCCAAAGGATTTCTTGGGGTAGGGGTATTAATTGGTCTGAGGGCTGTCTGTCATCCCTGCTAGAGAGTGCTCATCATAACTATACAAATCATAAGAAATTGGTTTGAATGTGTCACCGCTTATGTTCCCCAGTCTAACTGAAAAATATGTAATGCTCAGATTTTTAGACATTTCAAAATAAGTGAAATGCGATATTGTGAAATAAGAAATTGTTTAACCTTAAATGTTGACATTTAACTTTGAATGCCACATCTTGTTAATTTATATTAGAATTTGTCTGCTTCAAAATGCGCAAGATTATGAACTCTAAGGTCAAGTGAATTTTTAAGATGAAATATAGTATCCTCTGTATCAAAAGTCTTTTCCTATTGAGAAAACCCTTAAGTAACTTTTGTGAATGGCAAGTAAACTTAATGAAACCTTTCGCACATAATTTAAGGCATATAATACACCTTCTGTGAAAATTTGGAGACAATTGATTACTTTTTACTCAAAACATCGCATATAGAACATAGCATATACCTAAAACACCGATGTGACTTTTTACAAGTTTGTGACGTCAAACTTACCTAAGATTGCCAAAATGACCAAAATCAGGTTTCTCTGTAAAAGTATGCAGACAAAAGTTTTTCTATGTAAAATGCTAATTATGAGCAGAATGTGTTATTAAATATACTCTGAATGTCCTCATACATTTTACTAACAGCCCTAAACCATGTTATACTACATTTAACCCTTTCCTGCCCAAAATCATTTGAGGAGTAAGATACATGTCATCACAACAGGCACTGATATCATTAATACATCAATGTTCAATGCATTATGATTCAAAATTATTGCAATAAAATGGAAATATGATCGATTTATTTGAATCAAATACCAAAATTACATCTTGAATATTTATAGGATAAACCCCTGAGAAAATCAAATTGACACATTAGTCACAAAATCATACTAATTCATGTCATTGGGCAGGAAAGGGGTAAGTATTGAGGAAATATGGCATAAAAATGAACAGTTAGCAAAACTATTATAAGACCCAAGTGTAAGGACTTTTGCATATTGTTATTATACAACTTTCAGTGACATCTTTATTTTTATGTCACCACCAAAAGTGGTGACATATTGTTATGGTCTCCGTTTTGTTGCGACGGTGGTTGGTGGTTGGCGTCCGGCGGTTGGAGGTTGGCGTCTGTAACAATTTCTTACAACTTCCTATAACTTAACAAATACTGTTTAGACTGACTTCAATTTTTTTCTAAATCATCTACATGTTCTCAGAAGTTCAAATCTGACTTTAGATTTGACATTTGACCTTCAATGACCTTCTCAAGGTCAAAAAGGTCTTTTTTCAACTTGCTTCACATTGACTAAATTTTTTTTCAAAATCATCAACATGTTCTCAGAAATTCAAATCTGACTTTAGATTTGACATTTGACCTTCAAATCTGACTTTAGATTTGACATTTGACCTTCAATGACCTTCTCAAGGTCAAAAAAGGTCAAAAAGGTCTGTTTTCAACTTGCTTCAAATTAACTTCTTTTTTTTTCAAAATCATCTAAGTGTTCTCAGAAATTCAAATCTGACTTTAGATTTGACTTAAGATTTGACATTTGACCTTCAATGACCTTCTTAAAGTCAAAAAAGGTCAAAAAGGTCTTTTTTCAACTTGCTTCAAATTGACTAATTTTTTTTTTTCAAAATCATCTACATGTTCTCAGAAATTCAAATCTGACTTTAGATTTGACATTTGACCTTCAATGACCTTCTCAATGTCAAAAAAGGTCAAAAAGGTATTTTTTCATCTTGCTTCAAATTGACTAAATTTTTTTTTCAAAATCATCTACATGTTCTCAGAAATTCAAATATGACTTTAGATTTGACTTTAGATTTGACATTTGACCTTCAATGACCTTCTCAAAGTCAAAAAAGGTCAAAAAGGTCTTTTTTCAACTTGCTTCAAATTGACTAAATTTTTTTTTCAAAATCATCTACATGTTCTCAGAAATTCAAATCTGACTTTAGATTTGACATTTGACCTTCAATGACCTTCTCAATGTCAAAAAAGGTCAAAAAGGTATTTTTTCATCTTGCTTCAAATTGACTAAATTTTTTTTTCAAAATCATCTACATGTTCTCAGAAATTCAAATATGACTTTAGATTTGACTTATATCTACAGACCTTTGTCCGCTTAGTTTTACAGAACATCCTGACTTTTGGTCAGTTTGGCAATCTTAGGTAACTTTGACGTCACAAAGTTGGAAAAAGTCACATTGGTGTTTTTGGCATATGCTATATTCTATATGTAATATTTTGAGTAAAAATTAATCAATCGTTTTTAAATTTTCGGTTAATGTGTATTATATGCCTTTAACTATGTGTGCAATTTTTCATTAAGTTTACTGGTCATTTACTAAAGTTATTTGAGGATTTCCTTAATAGGAAAAGACTTTTGATACAGAGGGTATATTATTTTCTTATGTTACAAATTATATTTGATTTTGTCTTGTTATTAGTGTCAGGATTATTGTAAGCCATTTTGATTTCACTCAAAATGAACCATTGGGGATGAAAGGGCTAATTAAACGGCTTTGTACCCACCAGAGCTCTGTAATCTTATCAGATCCTTATTCCTTATTCCTGACACTTTCCATTGGTATGCTCCAATCTAAAGAGTGTCATTATTATTTTAACCCTCAGGTTTGCTCAACAATTATGTTCTTGTTTTATCTGTCCCCTTAGAAATTTGCATTTTTTTCAAAATTCTGTGAATAAGAATTTAAATTTTGCGATTTAAGAACTAAGGATTTTGCATCAAATTTTGAATCAAAATTTGGCGATTTAAAAACTTCGAATTTTGTGATGATTTTCCATCAAAAAATTGAAATTTTCCAAAAGGACGATTCTCGGTTTGGAGAACGAAGTTCATCAATCTAAATGAGCATTATCCCTGCTTCTGACAAATTTGATTTTTTTACATAATATAGATTTGAATGTTTTCTTTTGAATAGTCATAATTTAATTTGGGTAATATTTCTAGATTTTTCGCAAAAAGATATTAGCGCAGTACACTGATGAACTTCTTTCCCCAAATCGAGACTTGTATTTTAGTGAATCGGTCTAATTGAGCGTTATCCCTGCTTCAGACCAATTTGTTATTTTTACATCTTGTAGATCTAAATGTCCTCTTTTGAATATTCATAGATTAATTTGGGTAATATTTCTATATTTTTCATGAAAAAAATTATTAGCCCAGGAGACTGTTCTCCAAACCGAGATTCGTCCTTTGCAAATAAAAAACGATATATAACTGACTTTCTCTGATGCTCAATGTATAGCCTGCAAAATAATATTCCATCGTCGTGCAGCATTCCCTAAGGGTAGTCAATGACACATTGTTTGGCAGATGTTTTCATCGCATCATTGGCCCTACCTTAAGAATTGAGTGTGATCGTATAATCTTTTCACTTAAAATTATTGCGATCCAGCGCTTTTAGTTGACAAGTGTAAAATGCGGATTCCTTGCGAATCGAAACAAGAACAAATTCAATGGATCTGCAAAATACCCCTCTCAGTAACAATGGCGTCATCTGCATACAATGTTTTTATATATTTCTTACAGAAATACTTACCAATACTTGAAGGAATCACACTGTGACATTTTATTGAAACAAATATAAATTGTTACCCTTTGCATTCGTTTGACTTCACTTCTTAAAAGAGAGCTTCGTCTTCACTCTTTCAAACTAAAATAAACCTGTGAACTCACCGCGCCAATCAGTGTTCGTCGGTCAAGTTTGACCGACGTTCTTTATATGGTCATTCCTTCTGACGTCATTGTTGAGTCCGGAATTGACCAATGACATGCGCATATTTAATTAGAATGCATTTGGCGTATGTTTCTTCAAGCTCGCTGATTGGTGGAAGGTCAGCGCATAGGTCAAAAGTGATTTACCCAAACTGTCACCGGTACCTGTCGTGGGGGCGGGGCTACTAAACTGTAATATGGTCTCTACTAGGCAGAGTGTAGTTTAACTAGACTCTGCATGCAGGGTAATAAATTGTTCTCCGATGTCTCTCTGGAGTGAACAGCATTCAAGAAGATCATGAATTAATGTCAACTCCAGTAAAAAATTAAAATTTCTTGCTTTTGTGTTTTTTGCACAAGATTGGGAATTTTGGGAATAACCCCTCGATTATGCAATATTGCATTGAGATCGCAGAAATGCAAATTTCTAAGGGGCGGTTTTATGCTATTTATTTATATTTATGCGTGTTTCAATTTCAGATGGGGAAGAGACATAATGCCAATATCTACTATAGAACCAGTCTTCCATTTATGTTCACTGTGAAGAAATATGCAGATGCCTTATTTGAGGTTGCCAAAAACAGGTATACAACTAATACCTATAAAGTATGAAACCATGCTATATTTTCTTATTTTTTTATGTCAACACCACAAATAGTGATGCAATCTTATAGGCTCCAACTTTTTTGTGGATTGTGTTTGGCAGTTGATGTCCAGCATCCAGTGGTTGGTGTTCAGCATTTGGCATTTGTAACAAATGGCAGGTGGTGACTTTTGCATGTAAATGCTTTGTTTCACTTTGTATATGAACTGGATCATTGGACTTAAAATGAATCATCACATTTAGTTAAGCATGGAAAATTAATAAGGTATTATTAACATAACAAAATGTCACCAACTGTCTGCAATTAGAAAGTGTAATTATTTATAACAGATGGCGATGTCAAACACCAAATAACAGTTACAAAATGGCATTATCCTTACGATATATCAAAGTTCTCACAATTCATAACTTGAATAGCTTCATATGCATTATCCCATACTGTAAAGGGATCATTCAAAATTATCCCTCGATTGTATAGTTATATGAATATTCAGTTTCTTTTCTTTCAGGGGTATTGATGTAGCTTTCCGCAGATGTTTAATTGAAGTTAAACATGAAAGTAAAGAGGCTATTTTTGAGGACCTTGAAAATGGCAACATTGAAACACTTAAGGTAACCACTGATGATGTATTAAAACTGTATTATTACCAAATCAAAATCCATCATAATAGTTCTCTTTTCCAAAATCTCAACCCCAGTATATTGGATTTACAGGTCAATTTTTAGGGATTTTGATACTGGGGACACTAGGAAATTTGAAGGCTGTAAAATCTTTATTTTACTCATGTTTGTTAAAGAAATATTCAAGGGATGACTAATTAATGTAAAGGGTACTATATATGCATTTGTTTGAAACTAGGCTTTTTTGACAGAGGTTAACTTGAAAGCGTGTACTAATTAGTAATGATTAGTAATAATTGTCTGTATTTATTTAAGATCTCATTGCCAAACACCATCAAATAAATAGCTATATAATACAAATGCTAGCCTATAATGCTTTTTAGCGACTGGCAGCTTTATCAAGTGATGTAACTACATGAATTATAAATAAATATAACATGAAATTGAAAAAAAAATTTAAAAAATTGTCAAACACCATTCTTCTGAATTGTATAAGTTACACAAATCAATTTGAACATGAAACAAATTGAACTCTTCAATCTCTATACTAATCAAATAAACAAAAAGTATTTGTTTTATTGTGAGGGCATATTTTAGTAACATTACCATATATCTCGTGACCCCCTCAGGATAAACTCATGATCCAAGTTGCTTGTCCTTTTCAGTATGCAATGCTGCACTTAGTGCCACCTATGTCTTGCCCAGATGTACTAACAAAGCACAAAGATATAGTGGATGAGACTGGCTGGGTCGATGTTAACAAAGACACACTACAACATAAAAAGTACCCCAATATATTCGCGCTGGGCGACTGCACCAATTTGCCGACATCGAAGACTGCTGCTGCTGTTTGTAAGTAAACGTTTTTAAAATTTCAAAAGGCTGCAATTTTTGAATTTTATTTTACAGTTAAGTTAATTATAAATGAAAAAGCAATAGGGTTTTGATGGAATTCAGGGAGCTCTAGGCTGTGGTGTCTTTGTTTAGGGAGTAGTGAGACGTTCCAGGGCCATGGTCCTTTTAATTTTTTTTCACCTTTATGTCCCCACCACATAGTGTGGGTTCATATTGTCGGCCTAGGCGCGTCCGTCCGTCTGGTTGTCTGTCTGTCTGTCTGTCCGTCCATACGTCCGGTAGTTTTCTCCAAAACCGCTACAGATATCACCTTCAAATTTTCAGGGATAATACAGATGTGGACCAAAGATTTTTAGCTCGATACCTACTTCCTGTCGGCCATTTTGAAGACAAATGCTAAAATCCTTGTCTGCAAACTTTAAGAAAAACGGCTTCATGGTTGCTTTTAAAACTTTAATATCTTGTTCAGCTTACTTCATTTTACATCTGATTAGGTTTTGGACCTGTTAGCTCAGTCATGTCAGCCATTTTAAATGTCTTAAGAAAACTTAGCGCGCGATAATACTTTGTTTCATATTGAACGGTGTTTTTGAGTTTTCATACTTTAACTATTTAATAGCTTTATAAATAATTTCAGGTGTACTTTGTTGTTAAAGCCTATGTTATTGTTAACAGTGGTTATATGTGACAATTTTGTAAAAGGAAATCAGCAAAAACTCATAATCACTTTTTTATTGTCGGCCATTTTGGATTTTTCCATCCTAAAATCTTGGTAGATCAATTTCAAATTTTTAGGGATGATTCTTATTTTGAAAATCTAGATCTGATTAGTTTTTTGGCATTCTCTGTAAATGTCAAGGCAGCCATTTTGGATTTTCTGTCCTAAAATCTTGCCTGTAAAGTCTTGTCTATGTGTTTTCAGGTGAACCATTTGGTAGATCAATTCAAATTTTCAGGGATGATTCCTTGTATTAAAATCTAGAACTGATTAGTTTTTTGGCATTCTGGATAAATGTCAGTGCAGTCATTTTGGATTTTCCGTCCTAAAATCTTGTCTGTAAAGTCTTGTCTACGCGTTTTCAGGTGAACCGTTTGGTAGATCAATATCAAATTTTCAGGGATGATTCTTAGTATGAAAATCTAGAACTAATTAGTTTTTTAGGCATTCTGAGCAAATGTCAAGGCAGCCATTTTGGATTTTTCCGTCCTAAAATCTTGTCTGTAAAGTCTTGTTTACACGTTTTCTGGTTTACTGTTTGACGGATCAATTTCAAATTTTCAGGGATGGTTCTTACTCTTAGTATGAAAATCTAGAGCTGACTAATTTTTTGGCATTCTAGGTAAATTTTAAGGTGGCCATTTGCATTTTCCATCCCAAAATTGTAATGGTACAGTTTTGTCTACTCATTTTCAGGATAACCATTTGACGGGATCACCCATTGGTGGGGACATATTGTACACATTTGTGTTCTTGTAATTTTAATATAATGTTAATGAAATCACAAAATGAAATCCTGTGCTCAGGGCTGATGCGAAAAAGTCAGTCCACCCCAGTGGGAATCGAACTCACGACCCAGGTGATTGCTCTTTTATTATGTATTTGTGTGGTTTTGAAATGATTTACACTGGAAGCTCACTTGACCAAATCCTCAAGGCTATGAAGTCTTTGATTTGTGAGATATTCCAACTATTTTAAAGTTTTAATCAAATTTCTTGCCTTAGATAGATGCCACTGTGCAAAATAGATAACTGCTGAATACACTGCATAATATATTAATATTTTTTGTCCGCTGTGACGGAGCATTTTCACAGTTCAGATTTGCAACTGCTCCGTCACAGCGTACAAAAAAATTAAACATTATTTTTTATAAAAGAATTAAAAAGACAAAATATATCAACATCTCATTTATACCTTCAAAGTTATGCTGAAACCATTTGTAAATATTATCGTGTCACTATATTGTGCCATTAGAAAGTTAAACAAGAAATGGTACATTTTGAAGTATGATACTCCGGCGCCATTTTCAATAGCTTTTCTTCCCAGTGTAATTGGACTTCAAACAGAAGTGAAAGTTACCCGCAAATGATATATCCATTGCATGGAGTAAGTAATTTTGTATGGTATAACAAAACATATGAGTTAAAAAATAAATCGTGAAGTATTCTTAGTGTTTTTATGAAAAATAGCATGCTCCGTCACAGCGGACAAATATTTCGATACCAGCCTGTGAGTATGAGTCAAAAATTACTGCTTATTTGTCATCCACTTATTTTTTCCAAAGGGTTGGAACAACTATGTAGTCTTGGTTTTAGAAATCAGTCTGGAAATACTGCCCTGCTTTTTAAAATGACCAGGCATCCCTTGTATGACCAAATTGAAAATAACAGTTCATAAATATTGCTCTCTGTGTTTTATCATCAAAATTCCAATTCCCACTATTATACTGTACCTCTCCTATTGTCTTATATTTCATGTACCGTTCATACATGTTATACATTGTAAATGAACTCATTAAAAAATGATTTTTAAAATTGCTCAAACTACATGTATGATGTAGATGTCATGTGAGTATGAGTCCATTGCAATCATCCGATATAAACTTCAATTTATCATTATTTTGTACATGTTTCTCTAATATATGTTGAGTAAATGCTCATTGTATTTTTATCTGAAGGACTTCTTGAAAAAATTCCTCAAATAAATACAACTATGCCTCACCTATGATGGTGCTTCAGTGAGATAACACTAACACTAAATGACATGTTTATTGACACAGAGCAAGTCATGTGACTATAAAAGACATTGTTTTTCTGAGTGACTATAATGTAAAAGACATTTATTTATGGCGTAGAAGGGTAGTAATTAGTAAAGTAAAGGCAAGTCATGTGACTATAAAAGACATTGTTTTTCTGTGTGACTATAATGTAAAAGACATTTATTTATGGCGTAGAAGGTCAGTGATTAGTAAAGTAAAGACATTCTTTCTTGCCTCCCATATATTTGACACTAATATCAAAATGGCAATGTCAAGAATGGAGGTGGATCCATTGATGGATTCAGTTAACTGTTTAGTGTGTATGGGGACTTTGGATAATCCTAGATCACTACCATGTATGCATATCTTCTGTAAGAATTGTATACAGGGAGTTATGGATGTAGAGACTGGAAGGAGATTTTAATGCCCCGCCTGCAGAGAAGTTGTCCTGAAACCTATTGAAGGGGCTGCTGGTTTAAAAGTGAACCCAATTGTTAATTCTGTTTTGGACGCATTGAAGAACCGACCAACAACACCAACTAAAGGAAGGACTGAACAACAACAACGGCGATTGATTTGTGATACATGCTATCAAGGTGGAGAAATGCTTGATGCTGTATGGATGTGTTTGCAGTGTAATGAAAAGCTCTGTGAAGATTGCGGAGAATTACACAAGCTGTTAGAATCTACATATTCTCACAAGATGCTTGATCTTACAGGTACCAAGTTGTTGTTGATTATCATGACTGATGTCTTGAAAGTTTCTCCATAGTATTGGTCTTTATGATTTCTTTATTAGCTAGAATAACCATGATCTTACGTCTTTCATGATTAAATCAGTCTGATACTGTGCCATCTATTTTTACTGATCAAAATAATTTTTCTTTCCTTATCTCTAGGTGATAGAGCCAGAATTGATAAAGCTGCCATGAGGTTTCTCTCAAGCTCCACACTTTACTGCAGACAGCATACAGACTGGCGGCTAACATTGTTCTGTAAAGATGATCAACGTTTTATCTGTCAAGAATGTTTGATCTCCAGTCATCAAGGACATAATTTAGAACCAAAAAAGAACCATGAAGGTATTGAGACTGATGATCAGTTGCATCATGGACTGGACAGTTGGCCTGAGACTAGGCACCAGCTACATCCTGAACAGGACAATTGGCCTGAGACTAGTGACCAGTTACATCCTGGACAGGATGATTTGCCTGAGACTAGTGACCAGTTATATCATGAACAGGACAGTTGGCCCATGACTAGTGACCAGTTACATCCTGAACAGTACGGTTGGGCTGAGACAAGTGACCATTTACATCTTGGACAGGACGATTGGCCTGAGACTAGTGACCAGTTATATCTTGAACAGGATAGTTGGCCCATGACTAGTGACCAGTTACATCCTGAACTGCACGGTTTGGCTGAGACTGGGAGTAGGCGCCGGTCTGATGACCAGTTACATTCAAGACAAGAGAGTGCAGATATTCAGTATCAAGGTGAAGACCTTTTATATCTTCAAAAGGCCATTGGATACAAGGATGACAGCCTGTTACAACTTCAATTAGACATTGGTTATAGTGGAGAAGATGAGTTAGAGCTTCAAAAGGAGATTCTGTTGCAAGTTCAAATGGGTATTCACTCACAATTTCAAAATGATACTAGAGATCGCTGCTTTGTTCCTGGACCTAGTCCTGCAGACAGTATTAATTATAACAATTTAGAACCAGGGACAACATTTCATGCTTTAGATGAAAATATGTCAGAGTCTAGGACAAATGCCAACTCTTCTAGAAGTAACAGGTCAGGGCCCAGGGCAAATAGAGACTCTTCTAGAAATAACGGATCGGGGTCTAGCACAAATACAGACTCTTCCAGAAATAACAGGTCAGAGCCTAGGACAAATACAGCCTCTTCTAGAAATAACAGGTCAGAGTCTAGGACAAACACAGCCTCTTCTAGAAATAACAGACCAGGGCTCAGGGCAGATAGAGACTCTTCTAGAAATGACAGGTCAGAGCCTAGGACAAATACAGACTCTTCCAGAAATAACAGGTCGGAGCCTAGGACAAATACAGCCTCTTCTAGAAATAACAGGCCAGGGCCTAGGACAAATACAGACTCTTCTAATTCTAGAAATAACAGGTCAGAATCTGGGCCAAATACAGACTCTTCTAGAAATAACAGGCCAGGGCCTAGGACAAATATAGACTCTTCTAATTCTAGAAATAACAGGTCAGAATCTGGGCCAAATACAGACTCTTCTAGAAATAACAGGCCAGGGCCTGGGACAAATACAGACTCTTCTAGAAGTAACAGGTCAGGGCCTAGAATACACTCTTCTATAAATAACATGGCTGGAGAAAGAGAAAGATTGTTACAGCCTGAGATAGGAACTGAGACTGAACGTAGGCTCTGCCATTGCTGTACTATCTCTTAAAGTAGACAAAATAGAATGCAGGTAGCTGTATTTAAATTTTTCAAAAATGTTTGTATTGGAGTTTAGTTGGCATATTTAATGCTCTACCAATCACACAATGTACATATAATTGTTTGTGATTTTGATTAAAATACACCAGCTGAATTTCAATGGGTTTAAGATATGGTTTACAAAAGTGGTTAATGTAGATTAAATTACTGATGTACATATATTTATTTGAAAATTTTGATTTTGATTTGCTGTATACATAAACAGTTCATAATTTTATGATATAATCACTCAATGTATATATTATTATAATTGTTTACAATTGAAATATACATCAAATATAATTGTTTTTATATAATTATAGCAGTTGTTGTTTGTTTATACTATCAGTTGTCGTAAAGTTACCGGAAAAGTGAAATGCCCAGTAAATGAAATAGTTTTCATAATTTCTGGTCACAATATGAGTAGGGGAAACAGTGTTAAGAAAAAATGTGCTTTATGGAATTATGGTCTGCAGAATTACAGTCAGATTGAACACCTCATTTGTAAGAAACATCTCTCTACATAAACAAGTTTAAAATGTCCCATTATTGATTTATATGTAATGTTGCCTATTTTTTTACAAAGAATGTTTTAGCCAGTATGGAGGGCATGCAAAGATGTATGCGCAAGTGCCAAAATGAAAAGATGAAAAAGTGTTAGAAAGCTGAGTAAGAAAATGAAAAATCTAAGCGTGAATACAGTACCCAAATATACCCAAAGTATGATCTTACCTGTAAAGAAACAATGTCTAGTACCCCTTTCCCTACTATCCAGGAAACAATATCATAATCCCAGACCACAAGACCAAGGTTCATTTCATTCATACCGAAGATCATTACAACACTCTTGTCATCAAAAATATAGTTGTAGATACTATCATTTATGCGAGATGGAGCATTCGGTCTAAAATGATGTGGGACAGATAGCATTCAGTTTCAAACTTCATTAGAGTATCAGAGGATCAACATCTGTCAACAAATCCCACGCAGTCTTTACTGTTCAGTAGTGATAAAATGCAATACAAGGTTGGAGGTAAATTGATGAAAATGGATTTGCACTATGCCAAATTTGTCTGTCTGAGATGAAGCATTCTGGTTCCTTCTATGGTTATTGTGAATAAGGGGTGAGTTGGTGATTCCTTCAGAATTTTTTGTGGTGTTATCATTCAATTCACTCATGCATATAATATATATGTACTTATTTTGGGTAAAGATCCCTCACTGAGCACATTGATCCAAAGATGCAAAACATCCAAACTGACTTTGAGAAAGGGTACGGTATGCTACCCTGAAGATAATGGTTCACTTTAAGTCAAAGCACTGCGCTGCCATTTGTAAAATAAAGGCAAGGCACATACTTATATTATATTAGAACATATTGAGTCTGACCGACTTGCATCAGACAGCAAAAAATGTAAATCTAGGTCACATATCTCCCTCTACTTTCAATGTTTAAGGGGCGGGACAAAAAATATACTATCTGTAAAACAATCATTTAAAAATTGCAGCCACTACCTTTTTGTATATCATATAATGAGTCATAATATTTTAGCTGGATTGTAAACTTGAATTTGTATGTAAAACATATTGAACATAAAAGCATGAGATTTTTTCCTTTTTTTTCATTGAATGTTATTGTATCATTTTAGCGAGTCAGTCACGTGTTCTGCAGCGTAATCTCAATGCTCTATTGGATGGCAAACCAATGAAGGCTGTTGTAAGTATAATTGTTCTGTTAAGTAATTTTCACAATGTTACTGTGGCATAACGATTCGGAAATTTTTATTTCTCATATTATTACTGTAGAAGAATTCTATGGTCTACTATGAGATATGATTCGTCATGAACCCATTGTAGAGTGTTACTAGTAACGTGTACAGAGTGTCTTCAGTCATTTTACATAGATTAAAAGAATGCAGCTTGATCATGTATTTGCAATGTATTTTACATGTCCTTTGTAATGTCACCACAAGAAGTGGTGGTATATTGTTATAGTCTCCAACTTTTTTGCGGATAAATTTTGGCATTCAGTGGTCGTTGGAGTTAAAGGGAATATTTACATGTAATACTATTATTGGACCTTTTCGCACTCCAAGTCAGAAATAACATCTGAATTATCTTCTGTGGCCTTCTGTAATGTTTTTGCCTCTCAACTCTGTTTACTACCCTATCATTACAGTGAAGCAAGAATTACAGTTTGAGTTTTTTCATTTTCAGTATGACGGCTACACCTCATGCCCTCTTATTACAACCAAGGGCAAGGTAATAATGGCTGAGTTTGGGTTTGATCAAGAGCCCCTTGAGACGTTCCCTATTAACCAGGCAAAGGAACGGAGGTTCATGTACCACTTGAAGAAAGACTTCATGCCTCATCTTTACTGGAAAGGTTTAGTTAAGTAAGTTTGCCAAGAAATACTTTTTACAAAGAGTCTCGCACTTTCAATAGGTCACTGTATTGGTAATATGGGTAGGTGGGTGTATGTCTCACAGTTGAGGAAAGTGTTTATGTTTAAAATTTAGTACAAACACTTTGAGATGGTGTATGATAATTAAATTGTCTGCCAGATGATCAAATTTCAAGAATATTCCTTCAATACTCCGAGTTATTCCATGTTTATCCTGGTACAATTTTTTGGGACACCCTGTACATGACATGTGACTACTTAGAAGCATATTACACTATCTAATGAAAATTTGGATAATTGGTGGGCCATTTCTGAAACTGGCAGTCATGGTTGATTAACTAGGCTTTGGCGTTGCTGTTATCTAGATTTATAATATTTTTCAGGGGTCATTGGAATGGACCTAAATATCTCCGCCGGATCCTACATCTTGGGATGAGCAAATAGGCTAGTAATAACAGTTAAATGATGTTCTTTATCTCACTCCTATGGAAGAAACAATTGGAGATATGTACAAGTGGGAATTGGAGCAAGTGAGAATAATGATCAGTGGGAATTACAAACAAATGGGAATTATGAACAATGAAAGAAACAAACAATGAATATGTGGAAATAAGAAACAATGAAGCAAAAGAGGAATATTAAACAATGAAAACTGGGAAATAACGAGCAAATGTAACAAATGGCAGCAACAAACAATACAAAAGCTCAACATGTGAGCTAAAAAAGAGGGATAACAAACAATGAAAAAACTGGAAATAACAAGCAATATAACAAAATGGAGCAATAGAGCAATAATAAACAATAGAGCAATTGAGAATAACAAACTGGAAAAAATATTCAATGATAGAGTAAAATCTAGTATAAATGATGTATATAAGTAGCATTAGAATGGACATGTAGATTAACATTTAGGTTGAACAGTGAAACCTGTCTAAAGTGAACACTGCTGAAACTGGCTAAATATATAAGCACACGTGCCATTATGTACAAAGAATTGGTGTCTAACACCCCCCCCCCTTCCTCCCCATTCAGAATAACAACAGAAATGTTCACATTTAAAGTGTTCACATTTCAGGGTTCTGATAACATGGGAGTTGAGTATTGAGAATTCAGGAGAGATAAAGTGAACATATTTCACATGTTAAGCTTCACAGTTGTATTCACACACTCAAGTTTTCCTGTATATTAACAAGGGGTACATTGTATTTAAACTTAAACATAGACAAAGCCAAGGCAATTTTGTATTACCTGATTAATAAATAAAACTGCATTATTTCATCATTTAGATGCATCAACATGCAACATTTAGATATGATTATCGCATTTACAGTAAAACCTGTAAATTGGAACATCTCTGTAAGTGGAACACCTCCTAAGTGGAACGCTTTTCAAAGTCCCACAGTGTATTGACGTATTGTTAAATGAATCTCTCTAAGTGGAACACCTCTCAAGTGGAACACTTTTCAGAGGTACTAAAGGTGTTTCACTTACACATGTTTTACTGTACTATCAATTTTGCCAATGCACAAAGAGTATACGTCAAATATTGATGTACAAGAAGGGGTTGGTTAAAATGTATTATAGGTTGTGCCAATATATACAGTGTATATGTCATTAATCACGATTATGTTTGGGGAAATAGAAACTCAAATGTTATCTTTTTTGTGATGGCATTTATTAGTTTAGTAGTACAGTCGTATTGCTCATGCTCATAAATATATATACAGCACTATTTTAGTAGACTTGTCAAGTTTTATAATATTTTTAACTGCCAAGATTTTGTACATATACATATGTATATGAGAAAGTAATAGGACATTCAAGTGCTTCCATCTGAATGCTTCCACAATGTACCAGAATATATTCTCTCTTACTTTGTTATGGCACCACCACAAGTGGTGACATGTTTGTTCAAGTCAACTTTTTTGTGGACAGTTTTCAGTGGTTGATGTTTGGCAGTTAGTATTTTGTGGTAGGTGTTTGGCAGTCAGCATCTGTAATAAATGGCAGGTGATGACATTTTGCATGTTAATGCCTGGTTATTTTTTATGTGAAATTTTTTTGTCCGAAATATTGTGAAACATTGTTGCTGTAGGACAATTGAAATTTTATCTCTGGGACTTCATGTATCCTTATACACATTATGTGAGAAACAGAAGTCAGGTCAAGTGGTAGTTTTGCATATCATTATATTAATACTTGTATATGTTATTATCTGGGATGGGTATAAAATAAATTATTTATCCTCATCATGGTATGATAATGATAATATTATCTACATTAAATAAACACAATACAATATTTTAATGTACATAGAATTTATTGTTTTATGTTGTTTAAGTATTATAATGATCGGGGTGCTTCACAACCTTTTGTCTATTTGACAATGAGGAGAGAATTTTCCAAGGAATCACCTGAATTTTCCAAGGAATCACCTGGGGTTGTGAATTCATAAGATCAGAGAATTTATCCAAGATAAATATATCTGGGATAAATTTTGAATTATTGATCGGGATTTGAATTATTGATTTGGATAAATTTTGGGTGAATTGGTACAATCCTATGATTAAAGGGCCAATACCCAAGATTTATCCAAATTACATTGGATATGGATGAATTTTTTCTGAAAATTTATCTACCTATGTAGGTGGATTGACATTAGGATTAGATTCATCCTTGAAGATTGTTTGAATTCACTATTAGACAATGAGGAGACAATTCTAAAAAAATTAACTATTTTAGCATTAAAATATGTGAGCTACAGACCTCCTTCACAATATGTTAACACAACAAAGACTGTATTCATATTATGTTAACATCATAAATAGTCAAAATTCAGTTGAGACTAGCACATTCAGGAATCCTAATGACTTTGGCTGGTATGGTTAGAATTATATCCAAAATATCCGATTTTACCTTTTTGGACACGAAGATTTGCCTACTTGTTATAGCAAACTAGAATGAACAAGATCAATGAAAATATAAACATGGTAGGGTTCAAGAATAGAGCAATAAAAATTCTGAGTAAATGAAATGTTATTTATTTCTTACATTTTGGAATGAATTATTGCTATCAATGTAGGCCTTGTTTTCATCTGAAGTTAATGATTCCTGGAGGCAAGTTCCAAAATATGTTCCATTTCAGCCCTACTTATAGTATACTCTGAACAGCCTATGTCAGGGGCTAAAGTGAAAAAAAATAAATAAAGCAAATAAACTATAAAAAGTGAGCTTAAAATGACAGGAAATATCACAAATGGAGTGCATTTTTGTGAAATTTTAAAATTAAACCATGCTATTTTTGAAATTGTACAATAGTGAAAACATTCCAAATCAAACGTGTGCGGTAATGATACAGTCATTTCTTCAATTCACTTCAAACTTCCTGCTTTGTTATGTGCTATTGGCCTTTGGGATAGCAGTACATTCCCTTATTAACATTTTAATATCCTGTTAAATTGGCAAAATGTGCAGTAGCATTTTGAATCAATTTTGCTTTATTTCAAAATTATGCCATCTTTCAAAATCCATAAGGGTTTTCTCTAGCCTAGAATACTATTTCATCTAGGATTTGCTATTTTTAAAATAGAAATTAAAGCAAATATTTGACATATTGATGGCTTTTGGTGCTCCATGCTGTCCCTATATTACATTATACCTATTAGAATTACACTTTGACATTTCATTACAGTTCATCTGAGGTGACTACCTTCCTCATTTATTTATGTCATGTCTATCAATATGTCAATACTTAAAGCAGTCTTGGGCAAAGCTCCTTACTCATGGTCAACTAGGTCCTAATAAGCCAATGTAAACAAATTGAAGATCATTTTGACAAATTTTGAGGGCTACGGAATCACAGAATTCATCATTGATAATGCTTTAGGCCTAATAGATGACTTTTCATATTTTGGTAATATTGGAGCTTAATATGGCATATTCGGATTGAATTTGAAATGAATACTACACATGGTCTGCTAAACCATCAAAATAAATACAAATGGTAGTTACGTTTTCAAATGAAATTTTCCATAAATACTAGTGCAGCTGTATTGGCTTCTATTTAATTTGGTTATACAGGTGATTGAAAGTTAGAGATGAGTGACCACTGATTCCTTGACAAAGTAATAATACATGTACACAGCTCAATATTTAACTTATATAATTCAAAGGCAAGCATAATTTTTTAAACTTATGTCAAAGATTCACATACTACATAATAATGAGGGTGAGGGGTAGTGTCAAATTGTCAACAATTATGGGAGTGTAAAATTTATTTTATTTGGGGAGGATAAATGACAATTTTATAAATAATTCAATAGTTCAGATGAAAGGCAAATAAATCTATATTTTCAGTTTTTTATATGGAGGGGAGAGAGGGGATTTAAGCACAATGAAATTAGCTCCATATATTTTCTGAAACTGTTGAAAATTTGACACCATCCCCAATCGTGTCCTTGACTAATGTCCTCACTTAATTAATATCCCTCAGGTCTTGTTACATAAGTTCCGTTACACTGTTATGTCAATGAAATGCGATTTGTAATCCATACTTATACACATGTATGTATGAGTTAATTTAATTAGATGAATATGAAAAATAAATCTTGCTGATATGAATGAAACATTATTATGCTATATGAAGTCTGTCACGTAATGTCTTTGCTGCTCCGGCGTGCTTGTGGGGCTTATATCAGGGGTAATCGCCAGATCTTTAGGGGCAACTAACTTTTTTCTTGCCTTTGGAGGACCGCTAGCTGGTTTGTCTTTAGAATCAGCAGTTTTTGTATCCTTATAAGGTAATTCTTCATAAATGTTCGCTACTCTTTCTTCAGAAACTCTCGAAAAATCAGATGTATCTTCGTCATAATACAATTTATAATTTTGCGATCCTGGCAACCGATTTGTCGTGTCAGTTGGTGATTTTTTCTCCAAGTATCCAAACCCGTGACTTTTTGCGTTATAACTCGGTGATGTAAAATGAGTCTGAGGAGTTTTGGTATCGTAACTTGGCGATTTAGGAGTAATAGGTGTCTTTTTTGGTAATTGCGTTGTTTGTCCAAATTGCACCATATGTTTGTCGATTTGCAAAGAAATCTTTTTCTTCTTTTGCTGCGTATTATTATTCATTTTCTTGATGTTTGTCTTCTGGTTAGGGTTGTATGGTTTAGGATCTTCCGCTCTTCCTGTGAAAAATCCTTGGAATACTTGACTCTGGATCACCTGAAGAAATAGAAAATGTGTCAAAAGTTTGTTTTCAATTCATCTTGATGTAATGTGTGCAAATATATAATACTACTTTACTTGTATTTTCTAGTTATAACTCTGGAGTCATTTCACTCTCAAACAAAACATTTATCATATTTTAAAATAAGAATAATTTAAGGTTGGTCTAGACACTGATTTTTGGTCTGTAATTAAAGGGATATTCCTCGCTCGCTAATTTCTCTCTCGATATTATAGCTATAACCATTTATATCATATCATATTTAGGAAAACATGAGAAAATGCTTTAGTACAATCAAATTTGAACATTTAAAAATGAAATGCTCATTTTCAGTCATCGACTATTAACTTTGCATATTGCTTAAAGGTAAGATGGTATGTAAGATGCACAAAACTAAATATGGATAGAATAGTTATGGTTGCAGCTACCAGAGAGAAATGGGCTTGTAAGGAATATATCTTTAAGGAAGGCATAGTGCAATGAGGCCTGTAATTAAGGAAAGCCTAAAGTAGAATGAATGAGACCTTTTATGAAGACTTGTAGACTCAATGTCACTAGCAATAAGATTCAAGAGTCCTTCCACTCTGCCTACTACAATATCCAGGATTTTCTGTGAGTTTGTATTCCACATTATTAAATTAATGCTTAATCTATAGGAACACTCACCCTCTTTGGCTGGCTGACCAGTTCTTTACAGTACTTATATAACTCAAGCTCTCGCTTCTCTGCCGTCTCAATATCATCTATAATCAGAGACTTGGTCACGGCTGAAAAAACAAAGAATCAATTTTTAAATCATTTGGAACGTGATAGGAACGTGAACATGAACAAAATGTCACCACCTGCTATTTGTTACAGAAGCTGTAATTTGTTACAGACACCAAACACTGTCTATAAAAATGCTGTAGACTGTAACAATATAAAAAGGGGAGGGGTGTATAACAATGAAATATTAGTTTATTCACCTTGATGCACAGCTTTTTAATTCATGGACAAATAGTACGTAGACATTACATCACATGATTTACATTTTATACCCTGAAACCCCCAGCGGCCAATGACCTTATCCCTCGACAAAGTCTAGCTCTTTGTGAAGGATATGCTCAATACACTGTCTAGGTCAAGGTGTTTTACTAACTAGTAAAAATGCATTTTTATCAACTGAAGAGCATATAAAACATATATGACGGATTTCACATCAAATTTATGACCATTAACGATTAATTAATTGATTTAAGCTATTAATTAACATACAATTATAGTCTGATTAGAGGATGTAGCTAGACATGAAGCTATTTTTGTAATCTGAAGAATGTATGACGGTTGTATTTGGTTGTCCTCATATTTTTACAAGTTGTCATAAAATTGTGTGACTTGTCTAAGTGCCAATCTTATCTGACCTGTTTTATAAGTTGAATCACTGTCAAAATGTTGTAAGTTATAAAAATAGTGGTGTACTGTTATGTAGAAATGAACAGCATGGTGTGGTTCTGTCAAATGATGTGGTGTACCTGTGGTGCAATAGTTAAATATGTTTTACATATTGTGGTAGAACATGGTGTGGTTCTGTCAAATGATCTGGTATATTTATGTGATACAATGGTAGTTAAATATGTTGTGGTAGAACATGGTGTGGTTCTGTCAAATGATGTGGTATATCTATCTGGTGCATTGGTTTAAAAAAGGAACTGACATTCATAATCTGAATTATTTGTCAATACTCAATCGAAGTGTAAATTTACAACATTCTGGGCACTTTTATTTCAACATTGACATTATAGTGTAGCAATTACTAAAAGTTAAAACTTATGTTAACACATATGGCAGATGCCCCAGGTAAAGTAGACTATGAATAAATGAGCACACCACAGTTTTCTTTTCCATATGGTGAGAAAAGGGGAGGAATCATTGAGAAATTAACTGAATTATGACATGATATATACTCTGAATTGTATGGAAATGAAAGAAAATCAGACATTTTCATTCAAAAATTAAGAGAAATTAATGTAATTAAATTGATTGCAAAAAGATGGTTGGTAATCATGCTGTCATTCAAGGTTCTCAGTACTACATCAGCTGTTACATTCCCTCGTAAAAAATTACACTTTCATGCTTATTTCACTCTTAATCACCAAAATATGACAGAACACCTAATTTTCTGACTTTCCATTATGAACTTTTGTCATTCCTTCGTTCCATGTTCGTATACCTTCTTCCTCAAAAGAACATCAAGAGTTGATCAGGTCAAATTGACTTCCCTATGAATGTTATTTTCTTTTGGGGTTTTGAATCTTCAAGTTTTAATCACTACAATAACTCCACTTGTACAATATGTTTGTAATTATTAAGAAGTGTGACAAGAAAATTGTTGAAGGGGGAGTGGGAGTAGAGGGGGGTCAGGGATCATGGGGAGGAGTTAGGATTGAGGGATTACAAGAGTAGAACAGAAAACAAGATAATTGGATATAATTATACACAAGACACACCAAATGATGCATGCATATACTAGTATGCAGATTTAAAGTCTAAGGGTATACACCCAGACCTCAGACAATTATATTCAATAACATTCATACCTTGAAAAGATCTTGTGATTTTCTACTCACTACAAATGCAAGATAATTCGTTGATTTAGCTAATAACCAATCAAAATATCAGGACACTCCCTTGTTAGCCAGTGAGCAGCTTATATTCATTTCACATTCAAAATTCCATAAAAGGTCATGGAAACTATATTTGAGTTAAATGATAAATATCCTACCGACATTTAAACTTTAAAATCATCAGTTATAATCAGAGGGAAGGGTGGTAAGTTGATGAGGAACAGGGTAATAAAGCAGTTTATATGAAACTGAAAGTGATTCGATCAAAGTATCCTTATTTCCCATATCCTTTCTAAAAGTATGATTTTGCCTCTTAAAAGAGAGCTTCATCTACCTAGCATGTACGAGGCTCTTCTCCGTTACAAATCTCTCCACATAAGTGCGTTAGAAGGTGTGTAGTCAAGTAGGAGGAGGGGGGTTGTCACAGGGGTTTGTAGCTAGACTACTAAAAGAAGGCTTTAATCTCTGAGAATGGGTGACACACAATGTCTCAAATTTGAGATGAGGGGGTAGGCCTCATATATAATATACATAGGGACCCCCTGGCTTTAAACGGTTGTTCAATATATTTTATGAATAATATAAGTTATATAATTTAAAACAGTTATTTCATAACAATATCCTTACTTTACCCTATGTTATAAATAAAAAATCTAATCCTGCGAATTGGTTTAGAAAGTTTGTTTGAATCATTGATTTAGCTCATATTACCCGATTAAAGCTCTATGTAAGGGCTGGGGTACTAGAGTAAATAAGCTTAGCTTTCGCAGAGTGGAGACGTCAACACAAAGCGAAAATATTTGGATATGTTGTAAAGGTTACGCATGCTATGATTCAAAACATTAATAAATAAAATGCATGAAACCCTTGAGTTGGCTCATGAAGATTTTTTAGTGGTTTGTCATACAATCATAGGATGAAGTAAACATTTGCATTTACATTTGTCACTTTTTATTTTTATCATTGTATTTTGGTTTTCATTTTTATGTTAGGGTCACCATTGACGTTTATGCTTTAATAGGTTGTATATTTAAAGAGCTTTAATTCTTTCAGATTTGAATTGTTCGGCAATTTGAGGTCATATATAATGTACGTCATCACATATAAAGTAGTTTCTTTTCATTTTGAAAGTAAGGTAGTGTTATATTATTAATAAAATGATGGCAATAAAGTGTAATAATTATTATTATAACAGTTTGCATATGGTGCAGAAAACAATAGCAATTAAAGAAATTTGAAAATTACATTTTAAATATTGATCAAACTTTAATTGTATCAAATTCATAATTCCATATGTCAAACATTAAAATCCTTGTACCTTTCTATTAATGGGAATAAGAAAGCACTACTTAATATTTTCAATTAATACTTTTTTTGTTAAAGAAAAGTTGACCAACCTACTGACCCTGTGAATCATAACACAATTTGCATGCAGGTGTTTTCTTCATCAATGGGGGGTAACAAGGGTTAAAATAGGGGGTAACAATGTAATACAGGTAGAAAACTTTGAATTTGAAGGGATGAAGAGTGTAAAATTTTGTAATATTTTGAAACGTTTAGAGATAATTTGAGAAAAATAACTTTAGAAAATAGGCATGACATGAGAGTGAAATGATATTGTACAATGGTGACAATTATTTTCAAAACTTTCATCCTTTATTCTTTTCTGTACACATCTTTTTAAGAACTTACAATAAGTATATGCATGTGGAAAATAAGACTGTAAAAAGTCATGGTCTTCCCATTATGATGTAAAATGTCACAGTTTTCCCATTATGATGAGCCATATAGGCCATGACATTTCATTTGTTCTCATTTGTGAGTGAATCAGAAAGATGAGATGAGTATCAGAATGCTGTTTTCTTATAACAACAAAAGGGATAATAGAAATTTTGATAAAATGTAAACTGATAACTGATTATTCATTCATAGACTGTAACTTTTGTTACATCAATCAAAATTTTCTGAGTCTATTAAGGAACAAGGAACTTAAATTTCTTGAAATTACATATGAATTTTAAAAGCACTACCATGATATGATTATTTTCTTCATTCTAGTTGAAACCAGGATGTTTATATAGCAAAACATGGTCTAGTTATTCTTGACAGCGTTACAACATGACAAATAGTGTTATCACCCAGACATGAAGAGCTACTTAGAGATTTGAATAAACAAACAAACTGAGAAAAACAAAAGAATGATATTAAAGAAAACAATAACAATGTTGACCGTCATAATGAGAATGTCACATCTGTAAACAAAAACAACACACTTGTGCATCAATAACAATGTCACACTTGTGCATCAATAAAAATGTCACACTTGTGCATCAATAACAATGTCACATCAATAACAATGTCACACTTGTGCATCAATAAAAATGCCACACTTGTACATCAATAACAATGTCACACTTGTGCATCAATAAAAATGTCACACTTGTACATCAATAACAATGTCACACTTGTGCATCAATAACAATGTCACACTTGTGCATCAATAACAATGTCACATCAATAACAATGTCACACTTGTGCATCAATAACAATGCCACACTTGCGCATCACAATGCCACAATTGTGGAATAATAACAGTGCCACATTTATGTATATTATGAAATTATCCATCCACTTCCACATCCCCTATCATCCCTTGCATTGTGCCATGAGCAATCTTTTATATCAACACACCATCGTGTCACTTTGAGGATACCAACAATGGTATAACTGTTATAATTGTAGTTACCATTTCTACCATTCTGTAACATTTGTCACATCTTTATTTTGTCACAACTTCTCCTGTGTCTGTAATGTGATAAGTGCAAAACTTCAATTGTGTCACAACTGTGATAACAACTGCAACTTTATTGTGTTATAACTCAGAGACATATCTTTTTATATGTCTCTGCACAACTGAAACAGTTATCAGCTTTAGTTGTGACTTTAGCTATGTCACAACTGTATAATATGTATGGTGTGTCACAAATTGCAACAACTTCATAACTTCAATTGTGTCACAACTGTAGTTATCACAACTTCAAGTATAATGGTGTATCACAACTTTATGTCTTATACATACCTGGTAACATTGGTAATGGTTTCTTCTTGGTACCAAATATACTTTTATTCTTCTCTGGTGGAAACACATTCATCAGGTTGTACTGGAGGTTTAGAAAGTCCATATACGTCCTCTTAATGTATGTACTCCGCGAGTCCGACCATTTCACTTCTATTACGAATGTGTAATCCATCTTGGTCCCTTGTTTTAGTTCGGTGAATCCACAGCAAATAGCATCCTTCACATTGACGTTACTAAAGTTGAAGCTTTTCAAGATTTTGGCCATGTTACTATGCTTCAAGTTGTCACAAGTGTTGATAATGATCCAAAAGTTTCAATATGTAATATGTTGTGTGTAAACAGTTTCTATGAATTCCTATGAATCAATTTTTATTTCTATTTAGTTTTCGTGAGCCACACCTTCGTGTTCAGCTGTTCACAAACTTTCTAAATATTTCACTATCACATCTTAAACCTTTAGTTATAGTTTAACAAGATAAGTGTACTTATCAATACATATCTTCACTTCTGAAGTCGTGTATACTCAACTTTTACTGCTCCGTGCTATAAATCCACTTTACTTTATCCATGTACACGATCAGGTGAGTTTTTACCTGTATTTACCTGTAGTGGCTGTGATTGCATTCAGCATACGTATTTTCTTTAATATTTAAATGTGAGCGTGCTGAGTGGCTGGCTATTCATACAACTGTCAACAAATGGGGTTCCCGATGGGTGTATCGAAAAGCACACTTTCGCTTTTTAATTAAAATCTACGTTGACATTTTTAAAACTGTGAGGCAGCCAAGCCAAGCCCGTATCTACGTTTTATCACGCTGTATCAGCCTAGGAAAAGATTGATTAACATATATTTTGAGCCCTTGTTTTCGAGGATTTTCTTTCTACATTTTGTTTTTACACCAATTCTTTTCTTAGCACAATCAATATGCAATCATTTGTGTCAAACCCGAATCATTTATTTATAGATCATTTTGGGCTTTCCCCATAACTGCACAGTGACTGAATGTCTAAGGCAATCAATTTGTAATTTTTAGCATGGGCCTCTAAAACCGCCCAATAGTTCTGACATTATTTTAAAGTTATCTGCATATAAATTGAACACGTGGAAGATTTTAATATTGAAGGGTAGCACTAGCATTGTTTTCAAAATATTACCCATTAGCTTATCTAAACGGTTTAGTCTCATTATTGAGTTAGCTGGCACTGTTAAAACGACAATGACACCGTGTCATTCATGTAATATTTACCTTTAGGTGCCTCACAAAGGGCTACCAATCAGACGTCCGAGTGGACGTGGTTTGTCGCGCGAGTCAACAGTTTCCCCATTGTTTATAACAGTACGACCAATTATTTGGATTAGCACTTAACAATCGGTTATTTTTGAATTTACTTTCATTTACCTAAATTAAATGGAAAATGGTTCATTTTTAATAACACCAGCGTATATAAGATATAAGTAAAACACGATTTGTAGGTGATATTTTTGCCAATAAATTGAAACTGATCGGTTGGTACATGAATGTTATGGTCGTTAGTCAGTCTTTAAAATAGAACTGTTATCATATTCCACTTCCAATGTGGTCATAACTGCAAATGAATCAATATTGCCTATAGAAGGAACGGTACGTGTGACTGATTTGCTCCAAAAATGTAATTGCTTCTCAAATGAATTCAAAATAATATAAGGGACAAGAAAAGTTGTTCGTAGAAATTCCATAAGCTTCAGAATGAGCTTCGAAATGAGACTGTTACATTTAAGAAAGGATAAAAACCAGATATAGCATTGTTTTAAGTGGTTGTCCGGGCTACTACGTACACGTTCGGTGCTTCGATTGGACATCTTGCAAGTCGCTTCTTTTTCACCGCAGTCCAGCGCCAACATGAGAGAACATTTAAAACATTCAATTACCAAAGTGAGAAAAATCGTTCATAAAAAGTGACTTGATTGACTTTTCAAATTGTAAATGAAAAACTGTACCATGGGTACTGGGCTCACATGGGAAGATTTCAATATTTTTGATTTGATAGCTAGGAACTAGGAATTATTAAAAAATTATGGTCATGATCAATTGAAAACATGGATTATAGCTCGGATTGAAAAGGCTTTACGTGTGATTATCTGCAATAAAAGGCGGCCATTTTGAAAGTTTCGATATCTCGTATTTTGCCGAAACTTTAAGACATTATTGATCATGATCAAGGACGGTAAATTTGAGGAGGCTCAAATGATCGATTGTCATGTTTTAAAGAACGTGAACGTATTAGAGAGGTTTCGTACAACAGGTTAAACCCAAAACGTATACACAGCTAATGGCATCTCGTTTTGATACTAATAGATCTGGTGAATGCGTTTCAGATTTTAGATAATGTCGTGCAAAACCTCTCTACTGACAAACTGACTGACGTACTATACGTTTCGTAACTAAGTTACTGATAGTAGAGAGAGGTTAAGGAGACATGGACGATTACCGTAAGGGACAATAGGGAGGTTAAGTTACACGTTAAGAGAACCTGCACATGTACGTGGGCGTTTAATATTTCGATTACTGTCCCGCTCTCAATTCACTTTCCCAAGGACGTAATTACAATTATTTTCTGTATACCTTTATATACTCAATCGGCCAAATAAACAGTACAAATGGGAGAACTAATCCACAGAGGACAATAATTCTACAATTTAACGTACAAGTTTTAAAAACATGTATCTTAACCTCCATAATGATGGAATCGATAAATTGTTTTGAAGAACGTAGAAGAACGTAAACGTATATACGTATGACAGTTTTTCGCTGGTCAGATAAGAAGATACAAACGATGTAAATTAATCGATTTTTTATTTCATATAAAAATACGCACAATACTGTATATTTTGACATGTAATACAAGCATTAACGGGTAAGATGCCTCTACCTGCCATTTGTTACAGACGCCGACCGCCGGAAACCAACCGCCGAAAACCAACCGCCGAACACCGTCAGCAAAAAGACTTATAGCAATGCGTCCCCACTTCTGTTGATGAAATAATAATATATTACTATACAGCACCATCTAACAATCCAGGTACTGACTGTTGGTTAGAGTAATTGATTCTTTGTTTAGCAATATTCATTTTTCTAGAAGAATGACGGCTTCCGATTATTTTTGCTTATAAAGTGACTTAAACAGATGGAGACGAACTTTCGATAAAATTTCACAGTTTTACACAATCTTTCTATCACCGATGTCTACTATATCATGCCTATTTTCAAAATAGTCTAATATTGTAATACAGTTTGGAGCACTGACTTCATTTCTTGATAATTCTTCAATTGCCAAGGACGTCCTTTTTTAATTCTGATAATTTGAACATTTTAGCATGTAACATTTCAATCTTTATCCTTTTCACTTTGTTACCCATTATATACAATAATCATGCACAATATACCTTACAATATTTTCATTTATTACTTAATATACTGTAGTTTTAAACAATTGTTGAAGGAAGTGCTGAACATCACATTATTTACTCTGGCCTTGACTACATATTCCAGTAACACATAAAGCACCCAGTCAGTTTCACTATTTGTATACTTATATTACTAACTTCACTATAATTTGCTTATCATCTCTGGTGGCAATTTTAAAGTCTCTGATCGAGGGTATTCTTTGATGTCAATACCTTTCTGTGATGTGACCCTCATTACTTCACCATTCAATGTCTCATCTTCTACCAGTCTAAGAAACCCCTCAGCCACTGTGGTAGGTCTGAAAATGTAATGAAAATCTTAGTTAAAAGACAAGTCTCGGAAGAACGAAGTTCATCAGTCTACTGCACGTTACGCCTGCTTTGGACGATTTTGATATTTTTGCATATTGTAGATTTAAATGTCCTCTTTTGAATAGCCATAATTTAATTTGGGTGATGTTTCTATATTTTTCATGAACAAATTATTAGCCAAGGAGACTGTTCTCCAAACCGAGACTTGACCTTTCATGAATTTGGTGGGTGTAAGAAAGTATAGTCTCCTAATTAAAACTCCAAATTCCAAGGAATAAAATTAGACATTTTGAGTGATATAAAAATGTCACCACAATTTGTAATTGTATTTTGAATGCCAAATGGTGACACCCAACGCCACACAACACCACCATAAAATGGTGACTATAAAAACATGTCACCACTTCTTGGTGGAGTCACACATTGAATATTACTAAAATTGTATAAACAGGCCGTATCCAGGATTTGCCAAGGGGGGGTTCACTTTTTGAAAAATTCCAGGGGGGTTTACTTGTGACAATTTTGGTCCAAAAATGGCCAAAATCACTTAAAAAGTGCTCAGAATGGTGAAAAACTGCATGATTTTGAAAGATTTTTTGGCCAGAGGCCTGATAAATGCTATATTCTGTATAAAGTAAACTTACTCTAAAACTCCTGTTACAGCAACTACAACTTGCATTATTTCGTTTATATTTTCATCTTCATGTTTCCCACTTAGCATATTGGTGTTTGCAAAGCTAAGACACAATGCATTACATCGGACGTGTTGCTTTGGAAACCTGGCATCAGACTGGAAACAATCGTCAAAACAGTTATAAACAAGGCATTAACATGCAACATGTCACCACCTGCCATTTGTGACTGACATCTAACATCAATTAATTGCTGAAATTCATTCACAAAAAAGTTGGAGAATATAACAATATGTCACCACTTATGGTGGTGACATAAAAACACACTTGCCACAGGTAATAAACACTGTGGTATGAAAATGGAAAAAGTGAATCAACATTCAGGAACATGAAAAAGAATCTAAATACCTTATATTAGCTTATGTTGTTAAAAAGGAGAGAAACTGAAATATTGTTTGAATGATCAAACTTTTTACACAGGGCCTTTAAAGAAGTCACCATTGATAAAACATTAACGAGATTAAGCTACACATTTTAAGAGAACTTGCAAGTGAACATGTAATATTGCATATAACGACCCCCAAGGAATACTAGCCCCTCTTAATTGTCTTTTTCCAGAGATCTCTCTTGCATATCCTAGATGATTTTTTAACAGGGTTGGAAATATTTTTCGCCTTGTTGCTTTTTTCTTCCTGGCTACATCAACGGATCTTCTAATTCTTTTTTTTTACCTTAAAACTCAACAGGCAAGTAATTTCTACAAAGGGGAATACCAGAATTCTTCATTTTCACCTATAAGTTCTCATAAAAAATTGAAAGTTTCCCTTACCCCTACTGCCCTGGAGAGCCCCACTACTCCATGTTTGGTTGCTGAGTAGACAGGTGTGGTAAACATAGGAATCAAACCTGTGGTACAGAATAAATTTTTATTTAAGAAATATAGATGGAAGACTTGGTAGATGTAACAGTACCCGTATAAAATAGTGATATTAACACACTTCCACAACATGATCTAGATAGAATATGTAAGGTTTAGAAAATATAACAAATTAAAGGAAAAAATTATGGAAACCATATAAGATGAACTCATTGGCTTATTCATGCCATCTTTTACCCTCTTACTCTATTGTCTGGCCACACCACCCCCTCTGACGATTGCTTTTTCATGCCATGTTTTACCCTTTTACTCTATTGTCTGGCCACACCCCCTCTGGCTATTACATATGACTTCAGTTTTGATTATTCAATCACGGGTAATGACAGGAGGATTACTTGTGGTTTACATAATCTTTCTCTATAATATGCCAAATAAGGTAAAGAGCTGATGTAAGCATAAGGGTTACATACTGAGAGGTTTCAGATACAGAGTCCAGTGTTCTCCACAGAATTTTTTCTCAAGTTGGTGGAACATTCCCATCTTCTAAATTCAGATCAAAATTGGTCAAAACATGCCAATTTTTCATGATTTTTCTAATTTTTAAGTGGGCACAAATGGATGTTCAGGTGGGGCAAACCTGTTTTTAAAATCTCAGTTGGGTACTTCGCCCACTTGCTTAAACGCTTGAGAGGTCACTGGAGTCTATCTCAAGGTAAATATGTGTATCCTTGGGAGAAAAACCCGTACTTAAGGGGGGGTTTTTTTTAGAAGGAAAACATAGATACCACTGTTCCCTTTTCCCTCCTCCCCACATACAGTGTACACCTTTATAGTATTCTATGGCGGATCCGGGGGGGCCCATTGGGGCCCCAAAAAGTGGGCCTTTTGGTCATTATTGGGCCTTCTAAGGCCTTATTTTTTTAATTTTAGGCCAAATTTTGAAGAAAATGGGCCTCAAACTTTTCGGTTTTAGGGGCCCAAAATTTTCTCTGATCTCAAATTTGGGCCCCCCCCCCTGTTGGTTCTTGGATCCGCCACTGGTATTACACAAGTAGTCTGGGTAGAGAAGTTGATAACAATAGGACTAAAAACTTGATACAAGACTATATCCACACAAACTGTACCTGCCATTGAAGCTGTATTGATTATGACTCCACCATGCCCACCCTTGTCCTTCCTCATGTAGTCCAACCCTAGATAGGTCCCTCTAACAACTGCAGTCTGTCAAATTACATAACATGTAGATCAATAAATTATGTAAACTTTAGCTATAGTATTAAGTTTTTCATGAACATACCATCCTTAAAACCTGGGGAAATAGCCCAGGGGGCTCACTGTATATAAACCTTGACGGGGATCCTTGGCACACATGGAGTCCCTTTTTGAGACTACTTTTGGTATGGCATTGGTCCTATTTTTGGATTATTTGGTTGGTATGGGAAAATATTAAAATTTGAAACATTGATTCAGCCTTGGACCCCTGCAGAAAGACCAGATTAGTACATGATCAATTTATTGCAATTACACAGCTAGTGCTTACACATGGACATGGGCTATCATAAAATAAATATTTTTGCTCTGATCATTCCACGTGATGCCTTTTGACAGGCCAACTTTTTTCAAATGTCACTAGATACAATAGTATTTTAAATGCTCATTTTAATTCACATTATCAGATATATCTTGACTTACTAGATTTACAGCAATTTGCTTTTCCCAATTTACTTCATCAGTGATTCCAGCATTATTTGCCACAATGTCCAGCCGTCCAAATGTGTCCTTTGTAAACCTAAACGCATCTTAAATATTAAAAAAATCAATTCAAAACTAGATATTACCAATCAACATTTGATTTTTGCTGAAGAGGCAAAAAAGAATTGAGAAATTTAAACAACAAATATAGAAGTTATTAAAGATTTAAAAGTCATGAGGAAAAGGTTGACCCAAGTCAAGGATTATCCAAAAATATTCAGAAATGTTGGACTTTTTAGAAAAAGAGGCAGGACACGGAAAGATCAGAGAAATCATTTTTCCAAAATTAGTCTCAGTTCAACTGGTCTCTATATAATAGTGTCTCTTCTAAATGTAATTTTAACTAATTTTGACATTGTACCTACCCCCTATCCAATGAGATATCATGCATAATTTTTTGAACATTCTCAGTTCTAACCCATGCTTTAATTATCAAATTTTCTGCAATTTCCCATGTATTCCCCATGCATTTACCTTCTAGAGCCTGTTTATCCGTGACATCACATTGCTGAAAGACAACTGATTTGCCATATGTTTTACTGAATTGTTGCTCAACTTCTTCTCCTTGGTTTGAGTTCAAATCAACAAGGCAAACCTCAAAATAAAGGAAGACAACATTTGAATCTGGGGAAAGTGATAAATGGATAGACTCGGCTTGCACATTGGCAGACAATGCTGGTTGAATAAATACACTGTAAGACAGTGCTGGTTGAATAAATACACTGTAAGACAGTGCTGGTTAAAGATGTTGATGCCTTGAGTTTGAAACATGCCAGTTGATGATATTATCATTGTACAACTACTAAACTACTGTCATTGTACAAAATCTGGCATTGGTACAAGCTGACAAGTGAATTGTTAAAATACAAGAGGTCTACCATTGTATAAGGGTCAGTCATTTTTCTTATTTAAGAAGGGATTTAATGTACAAGAATTGTCCACAGACTGCATTGAGTTTCTTTGAAAATTTTCTTCTTGCTCATTTAAAATTCTTCTTTAAGAAAGACTGCTCACTGCCTCATAGAATAAATTGACAAAAATAAGTTGAAAAAACAACAAAATTTAAATCAAAATACATGGTTCAATTTAAGAATTTTAATACCTTAGCTCCACGCTTTAGCAAGACCTCCGCAAATGCTTCCCCAAGTCCACCGCAGCCACCTGTTATAAGAGCAACCTTTCCTGCAACCCCCATTTGTAAATGTGTCTATAACACAGAAATAAAGTAAATTTATCTTGGTCAATTACTTGTATCTATAATGCAAAGTCCAAAACATCTGATAATGTTCCCATATGTTGCCATCTTTTAATGATGCATTAAACAAAAAATATATTTATGTCCTATATCTATATTGTTCACCTTTCCAGTGAATAAAGAGGCAACTTAGTCTGTTTCTAGGAGGTAAACCTCAGGTGTATTGTATATTTCACCTTCATTTTATTGAATGTAGTATACCTACTTTAAGGGGGAACAAAGACTATAGGGTAATTTTCCCACATTCTGTTAATTTTCCAAGATGTTTGCACTCCACATTTTTTGTTAGACCTTTTTCTAAAATGTCCAACAGTTCTGTCTTTATTTCATGATTGCTCATACATGAATTTTGTATATATTTTTTTATTTCATCGACATTTCATACATGAGGCTTTATTTTACGATAATGCTTTGATTTCTTAGGTTATTTAGCAACAATTTGGAAAAAGTGGCATCCCATTTCAACTATAGCAAATAGCAATGGATATACATGTATATTTTTCTGCACTTCAAATCTTCAACAACTCCCATATTTGATCAGATATTGCAATCTTGCACGTTATATTCTTTGTTGCAACTTTAATAATTTTTTCAGTAAAAGTTTTCAATATAATCAAATAACAACACTGTTCCAGTTGGATGACTCTAACTGGAGTTACTATCATTCAAGATGGTGGCCAAAATTCTTTCGGTTTTGATTAACCAAAGATTAAACTAAACTAAGTTGAATCTGGATCCCAAATGTTTCGCCTTGCAAACTTATAAAGCAACAATTGTAAACAGCCAGAAGAAATGCTCAGACACCCGCATTATAGAAAACAGCTTCACTTAGAATGACTCTAACTGAAGTTGATGAAACATGATATTCACCATTGATGACACTAACTCAGATGGCCATGCATGTATTCATCCAATAGAGTTGTTTACAATCATAGCTTCATTAGGTTGCATAGCGTAGTATTTGGAATCCAGATTCAACTTAATTTAGCTGAAATCAGAAGTTTATCGATAATGAAAGAATTTTGGCTACCATCTTGAATGATACTACAATGAAAAAGGAATCTGCTGCTTCATCATACATGTGCTAGCATTAACTATGAGTAATAAAAATATGTTTTTATACAATAATATAGATTTATTCAAATATATTCTTTATAATATAAAAATAAATTGATATCAATAATTCTGTACAACTGCACTGTGTATTTTATACATCATAATAATCAGGTAAATCAGCAGAAATCAGCAGTACTAGACATTTACAGCAATATTATTACTAGCACTTTTGAAGTGCTAAGAAAAACAATTGTTAAACAAGGCGCAGCATTATAACATGTCATCATCTGGTAAGTTATTGCAAAAGGTTACAAAAATGTAACAATTGTTACGGATGCCAAACACTGAACGCTGGCCATTAGTCACACAAAAGGAGGTTATAACAAAACACCACCACTTCTTGATGGTGGCACAATGATCAAACTGTAAATATATGGAAAATACAAACTATGGGTCCTATATGTAGTTAGACCAATAAAGTTAATGAAATTGATAGCATAGGGCTCCATTGTTATGAACACTGGCTTGTTTCAATACCGTGTACACCCTGCAAAAAGTATCATGTAGTTTTTGAAGCAAATCCACAAAATTTTCTGGTGCCGAGCATGACCAGTTTCTGATTTCTTCAGAGATTCCCTAGTTTGTGCGTTTAAATAAAACCTGCATACATTTTGCTATACCATTGCAAAGGGTCATTTGGTTAGTCCAACTAGATGAGGCAAAGACTAGTTTTTTTGCAGAGTTAAATACCACCTCTCAATTTTTTCAATGTTGTACATTTAGTATTTATTCATATTGAGCAATATCGCTAAACAGCCTTAGGATAGTCCCTTCAATCTATAGTTTGCTGATCATCTCTGGTGGCAATTTCAATGTCTCTGCTCGTGGGTATTTCTTGAAGTCAATACCTTTCTGTGATGTGACCCTCATTACTTCACCATTCAATGTCTCATCTTCTACCAGTCTAAGAAACGCCTCGGCCACTATGGAAGGCCTAAAACATGGAATGTTTTTGTATATTGTAAGACTGTCTCAAATGGGCCTCTCATCACCAGCCTTTTTCTTCAGAATGTGATAAACAATAAAATTCACTCAGTTATTTTGATGAAGATCAGCTCAACACAAATGGCATTACGGCAAAAGGTTCTGGGTTAAGGGTTAGTTAGGTTCAGGGCTAGAATAATATGACGTCATACTGGTTGTTTTTGTTTTTGTCTGTGAAATAATACGACGTCATACAGATCCAAGGCAAAAATATGAAATGTCATGACTAGTTGCCTCTAGTAACATGTGAGATGGCTGTGTGAGACCGAAAAACTCACACTGTAACCAACCATTCAGACTACTGGATAAGATACTGTATCACTTAGCCTAACTGTAATATGTTCTTGATACTGTACTTTACTTTTTACAGAATTTTCAATTCAAAGTTTTTAGAAATTTAAATTTTGAGGTACTTAACACTTAATGGTCAGCTAAATGAGTTCAAGTTTTTTCAACACAATGAAGTGGAAAATGAAAAAAATAAACAGTTTTATAATCCAGTTTTATTATCCTTAATTCATTTATCTATGTGAGAGAATGAATGGTGAATAGAGGTAAGGTGCACACAATGAAACCTCTCCAATGGGACATATCTTTGTTAGGAACACATTAAAGTTTTGGTCAGTACAGAGTCCAGGTGTTTGATACACATAGATTTTGTTTTAGTTCTATTTGAATTTTTTTGAAAAATCACAAAACACAAAAGCAAGCTTACTGCATGACTCCTGTGCCACGAACAATCACTCGTGAGATAGCATTCAATGTTCCCTCTCCGTCAAAGTTTTTGAGTATATTGGTATCCGTGAAGCTAGGACAGAGTGCATTGCATCTGACTTGCTGTTGAGGAAACCTGGCATCAGACTTGAAGTAAACAAAACTTGTGTTAGAGACTAAGTACAGTAGTAAGTAGACATAGTACTTATTGTTCAAAAAATCAAAACAAGTAAGATTTACGACTTCGTTCTTGACCCTGAGTGGCAAATTCTCAAAGTGCTTCACCAAATGTACTGGCAGTGGCAATATTTATAATATCTGCAGCACTCTCACCAGGCTTTTAGACTGTGGTGCACCACCACACTCTATTTAGCTCCCACCACATCCTATTGGCAAATCATGACTGTTTCCACAGTCTAAACTTGACTGAATATACAATAATAGCATGTAATGTAAAAAGGATAAAACATAACATAAATATGATTTATCACGATTGAACGGTTATTCTGAAGATTTTAGCACCACACCCTAAATATTTCCTGGTGAGAACCCTGATCTGTGAGAAATTTGTGTCATGATTTGGTTAGTTGCATGTCGTTGCAAATAACTTTCTATCACTTTGAACTATAAATAAAATGTTGAAAACCTAAGAATAAAGAGTAAAGCGTTGAAAGTCTGTTTGCACCCTGTTAAAAGGGTTTAATATTGAGATGTTTCACCAAAAAAAGGTAAAGTAAGAATTTCACACCTTGTTTAGATAAAAATGCTTGGGCAATTACTGATAGCCTAATATTTATGAAAGTAAATCTCACCCCTACTGCCCTTGAGAGTCCTACTACACCATGCTTGGTTGCTGTATACACTGGACCAGTGAATAAAGGTATCATACCTGTAACAACACATAACATATATCGCTATCATAGCATATGACACAATAATTGCAAATTAACAACATGTCAAGGTGTTGGTAAAATGTGCAGTTATTTACTCCAAGATTTTGGCCAATTCTTAATAATTTCCAGATGAGAGAAATTTTTGACTGACACACTGAAATTTCATCAAAGCATTGGCAAAAGAAATACATGTGATCTGTACCTGCCATAGAAGCTGTATTGATTATGACTCCACCATTCCCACCCTTGTCCTTCCTCATATAGTCCAACCCTAGATAGGTCCCTCTAACAACAGCTGTCTGTAAAGATAAATCATCAAATATACAAATGTAGACTTTTTCTGTTAAACTTTAGTGAGGTAGGCTTAGCCTCGCCTGCCTCAAGACTGGCTATGCCAATGACTAGTCAACTTTTCCATGTTAAATTCATGATTTCTACTAATTTTGCCTGTTGTTTTCATCTACTGTTGTGAGAAATTCTAGTGAAGCTCCTACAATGGATGGAAAAATGTTCCAATTTTTTGGCCCACCCTGTTCACTGTGATTTAACCTCAGATTTGACTTACTAGATTTACTGCAATTTGTTTTTCCCAGTTCTCTTCATCGCCAATTCCAGCATTATTCCCTACAATATCCAATCGTCCAAATGTGTTCTTTGTAAACTTGAATGTATCTGAAACATCCACCAAAATATATAATTTTATAGAGATATAATAACTGTAGCATGGCTGAGAGGTTGGTATGATTTTTAATATGGAAAAAAAATAGCACCAGACAATTTCAATATATGCTAAGTACCAAAGTAGCAACCTCCAATCACAGGGCTCCATAAATATAATCCATAATATATTCTTTCTTTTTACCCCCTGCAATAAGCAGTTAGCATTTCCCCAAATAAGAACTTGCAATCTGATTGGCTGTCGCAACACTGCGACAGAAATCATGTTTATGTCATTGGGGCATAATAAGATCATGTGATTCAGTTTAATCAGGCGCTTCCAAATTGGTTATAGCAGGGGGAAGAAGGAGGTACGGATTCTGGACACCTGCTTAGGAGGATGCAAAGTAGAGGTATTGTTGTATTCATAGTGCATCACTGATTTTTTATAAATAAAATGTATTGAAACTGTAATAGTAATTTAGACTAATTGCCTTTTAATATCAAATACAAGTTATAATCGTCAGACCCATAGCCATAGCTAAATGTGTGCACAATAATTATGCGAATACGTCAGTGAAAATGACCACAGAAAGTTGTCCTTATTTCGACGACGAACTCTGATTAGCGCGGTGAGTTCAGAGAGTTAATGAAAACCGAAAGAGTGAAGACGAAGCTCTCTTTTCAAAGTCGACGAATGCAAAGGGTATTGAAAAGTGCTCAGAATGGTGAAAAACTTCATGATTTTGAAGGAATTGCCCAGGCCCCCATGACCCCCACTTCCCTGGAGTTACAGGCCAGTTGGTGTATTACCTTCTAGAGACTGCTTATCACTAACATCACATTGCTTGAATACAACTGATTTGCCATATGTTTTACTGAATTGTTGCTGAACTTCTTCTCCTTGCTTTGAGTTCAAATCAACAAGACACACCTGGAGAATAAAGAAAATTATATATATTTTGAAATCTTATTTTTAGATTTAATTGACACAGAACAACACTAAATAAGACTCTACATCTACATGTAGTTGTTATTTTTGATTTGATACGATGTTGCACAGACCGAGTGAACCAGCAGGTCCAGCCCCCTCCCATCTCCAATCAAACCTAAGCATATAGAAAAAAGATGAGACACACACGGGAATTTTGCGTCATAATTATTCCTCCGCTTGGTGCGCTGTTGTACATAGCAACGTCCTATGCAACGTGTATAAACATCGCGCGGACGTAAAAGTACAACCTGTCATTTTTCATGTTTGCAATGAAATTTTCTATTCAGATAGGTGTTTTAAACTATGATTTTCTTTCATAATATATATTGTTAAATAGTCATGATACATATCATCGTGTTTCTAAAGATTTGCTTATTTTAATCCTGTTTATTTCAAGTTGATAGGTTCAATATTAATAAAGTTACGGCTTCACTATGGAGGGGCAATTCCTTCTTAAACTGAAAACCGCATCGTCAGCAAAGATTTGACGAAAACACAACATTTTTACGCCGTTGGCATTTCTTCAAAATCCCCGGGTGTGGAGAATAAATACTAATCATGGCCTTTTAAAAATCATAAGATTGGCCACAGGAACTTGTATCGCCAACTTCTTCCTGGAAAACAGTAAGTCAAAATTGTATTCATGTTATGTGTTCTTTCCCATGAAAAAAATCAAATAACCCTAATTGTAAGATTTATTCTGGCACAACCATCACAATGTTATTAACTTCTGCGTCTGGTGCTTGGCAGTGGCGTAACACAGTATACTGTAGCTATAGTACCTGCAGTTGGATAAACATTTCTTAAGGCTGTATTTTTGTATCACCTCAGTAGAAGTGAATTCTGTAATATTTCAATGAGTTTTCTCTCCAGGTATCACCAAAAAGAACAATAAACTCTGCAGTGCAAATTACATGCTCAAAATACCTGTGTTTTCGGCAAAAGTAGCTTACACTCACATAATTCTTCTTGGTTTGTTGCAATCGAACTACAGTGGCACAAAAGCAACTAGGCTGACGCGGTTAACACACATGGTCACCCGACAAGTTTGACACATCGTAATTAGTGATGCAAGCGCTTGGATAAGTTGTTTTTGTTGAAAGCGTTTTAACCATATAATTCGCACCGCAGGGGCTACACTATATCCTATTTAGTCTGAATTATATTCTGACTATAAGGCACCTATGTTAAAGTTTGGTAATATGAAATATTTGTTTACATAGGAAGTGCTATTCAAAATGGCCGATTGGTCAAATTAATTTGCACATTTGTTACTTCAACTAGCTTTATTTCCACTTGACAATTATGCTGTGTTACTTTTTATTGCATTAAATTGTACCTTACTATTCAATTGAAATTTTGTAATGTTTATTTTATTGAAGAAATGGTTCCTCTAGATCTAATTGATAATTTTGTGCATAAAATTTCACTGCAATTTCCACAGGAAAGTAGTACATCATAACAGACTGACTTCTAGTCAGTCTGTTGGATACATATTACTCTACCGAGTTGACAGAAGTCGGTTTTGAGCCAGCTGTGTTCAGTAAGATACATACTACCGCAGGGGCTTATTGTTCTTTTCGTGAATGCCCATGACTATTCATCCAGCTGTAGATGTCAGCCATTGATACAAGTTCCTGTAATTGACAGATGAAGTTGACAGTTTCTTTGCATTTGTTGTGAAACTGAGATCTTCTAGACATCATCAACAACAATCATGGGCTTTCTTTGAAAACCCCCAAAATCAAGTGATATTTTACCATAGCCCCACGCTTTAGCAAGACCTCGGCGAATGCTTTTCCAAGTCCACCACATCCACCTGTTATAAGAGCAACCTTTCCTGCAACCCCCATCTCTAAGTATGTCCAAATAAGGCTGATTATTGCAGGAAAGGGAATTTATCTGGATCTGGCAACTTCCAAAGTCCAAAAACTGAAACTGCTTGGTAAAGTCGTAATCGTTGTAATTTCGCATTTCAACCAATCAAATTACAGAGAACGCGAGTACTGACTTTCGGCTTTGACCTACATTTAAATATTTAAATTCAAGGTAAATTCTATTTATTTATTGCAATAACTGTATAATTTAAGAGAATTGACACTAGAATCTGAGTCTTAAAAACATACTAAAGCCCAGGAAACCGTGGAAATACTAGAATTCCAATTTCTATTCAACTAAACGTGAGAAACAATCTTCATCTTCAGAGCTCCTCTTCTTCATCTTCAGAAATTCAAACCGGAAGTAGAGAATCTTTAAAAGATTGCAACATTAGAGTCCATTTCACTGCTTCATTTCGTCAGTAGAACGGCAAAAATAAGAAATTGGGAGACCATTGTGCAATAATATATAGAAAAGTATATTCATAATGTACATGAATGACATTTGTATATCTTGGATTGCTTCTACATTATCCTGTTCCCGGACTATAGTCCTGTACGGAGCCAATACATTTGCCTGTACGATTACAACTTGGGAGAATTATCTACGCCCCTTCCACTTAAGAAACCTACCTCAATGCATTCTAGAACTCAAAATGTAACTTCTAATATATTGGAACCGCCGATTGTCTGGGTTAGTTGGCAGAACGAGGTCTTTTTGTTTCTTATGGCTCTTTTGGTCGAAGTTCGATTAAGATGGCGGTTATAACGGAATTTCCCGAACTCTTCCGTAATAGCACGAACTTGGTTTTTCGTTACGTCACTTCCGTGTAAAATGGATTTGTTTCGGGTAAGAGGGAATTTCGAAAATTTCGGACAATATTTTCAATATTTACTGCCATGTCGACATCCTATGCTCTTAACTGTATACCGAATGGTTAAACAATGTTTCTTACCGGAAACAAATCCATTTTACATGGAAGTGAAGTAACGAAAAACCAAGTTCGTGCTATTACGGAAGAGTTCGGGAAATTCCGTTATAACCGCCATCTTAATCGAACTTCGACCAAAAGAGCCATAAGAAACAAAAAGACCTCGTTCTGCCAACTAACCCAGACAATCGGCGGTTCCAATATATTAGAAGTTACATTTTGAGTTCTAGAATGCATTGAGGTAGGTTTCTTAAGTGGAAGGGGCGTAGATAATTCTCCCAAGTTGTAATCGTACAGGCAAATGTATGGGCTCCGTACAGGACTATAGTCCTGGAACGGGATAACTTCTACAGTGCTGGTATATATTAATTGATCAGTCGTTTAATTGGCATATTTTCTTGAATTTTAACATTTAATGTCCCAAACTCCCACAAACTGCAGAAAAGTATACCCCATAAATCATATTTACCAAAATGAGTGTCTCCAAGGCTTCACACCAGCGTATGCATAATGCATTTGTCACGAGTTTGAGCTGAAATTTCGCCAAAATGAAGTAGGCTAAGGGTAGTCTCTGCCAGGTTTGTTTATTGTGGTAAGCTTGTAAGTGCTCAGAAGCAAATAATTCATGTGCGCAGAATAATCAAATAATCTGATTGGTCTAAACTTTGCTGCACATGCGCACAATGTGTGCCATGTTTTTTCTAGTGATTTCGTTTCGTTTCATGGAGTTTGCGTTTCAGTGTAACTTCCGCAAAAATGGCGGACCATGGACAGGATTAAAAGGTAAAATCACTTCGAAATTTCAAGAGAACTTTTTACCTATAATAGCAAAACTTTTGTTTTATTTGTGCATTCTATCTATCAGATAAGAGTCTCAGGGGTATGTAGGCAAATTCATTTTGATAGGAGCACTCTATTTAGTTTGAAAACGCACCCTTAATTATTATATATCAGCACTGTAGTTTGGCTTATAAAGTGTGTGGCCTCTTATATTGGGATGCTTCTCTGCCATGTTATTTTCAATAAGATTAACATGGCTGAAATTCTTCAAATTACAAAACGGCACAGGCTTATTGCACATAACTAAAAAATCTGAAATATACAAATGTCATTCATGTACATTATGAATATACTTTTCCATATATTACTAGTACTGCACAATGGTCTCCCAATTTCTTATTTTTGCCGTTCTACTGACGAAATGAAGCAGTGAAATGGACTCTAGGAAAAATAAAAACATCTAATAAGTACCCGACCTGATTTTTTTATAGTTTGGTTTGTTTTTATGTCACCACCACATAGGTGTCATATTGTTATAGTCTCCAACTTTTTGTGAACGGTAGCTGGTAGTAACAGATCTTGGGTTCTGTAAAGTCATGTTGCCTGTTTCTGCCATGTTATTTTCCGCAAAATTAACATGACTGAAACTCACAAAATTACAAAATGGCAATAATATTACTGCAGAGTAAGCGTACCCATGGACTTTCTCTTGAGAGCCTATGAATATCACACCAAATATCTGGAAAATACAAAAGTCAGGATGGGCATGTATGCTTTTTTCATATAATGTTGCAATGTGGTCCTTCGTTTGCGATTTCTAGATTCAAAGTAACAACAAAGGGGCATCTTTTAAAATACACATCTTTCTCTACAATAAAGATAGATATTAGCGAAAAGAATCAAGTGAGAAACAGTTATCCAGTCAAAAACTGTAGCAGCGTAATAATAATTACAAGAACACTTGAAGTAGAACATGGAACAAGGAATAAAAAGAAGAAAGATTGAAAATACTAATTTAGGCATGGATGACATAACATGGTGAGTTGTTATTTACATACATACCAGTCCTGTTACTTTTGGAACACCCTGTATGTACATGTATTTCTAACAAAGTCAAACATCTTAGTTCAACTAATCCATAGAATGAGGAGAAAATCAACAATCTTTACCTGTCAAAGTAATGTCACTTCTATAAGATCACTCAGACGTGAAAACTCAATATTTGAAGTGTCAACCTGTTAGCCCCCCATCACCCCAACCCCCTCCTTCCTCTCATTTCTTAGCACAACAATGAGGCAGAATTCAAGCTTATTATAGGCCTTATTCACTAGAAATATAGTGGTTTCCACAGGATTTCTTCTCAAGTGGGTGCAAATTTCTCATTGTCAAAATTCAGACCAAATTTATCCAAAATATTTTTCATGATTTTTCTCATTTTCAAGTGAATTCAAATTGATTTTCATGTGGGTGCAAGGATGTTTTCAAAATCTCAGGTAGGTGCTGCGCCCACTTGCTTTAATGCTGGGGAGATCATTGAGAAATTCCTTACCTATTGACAGACCAATTGTGTACAACTATATGGGTTTTTATTGCAGGATGGAGAGCAATTTACGTGAATCTCCAGGTAGCAGCATAACTGTTGAAGCATTGTACTTCACGTATAGCGAGGAAGCTGCTGCAACAGGAAGGACTCGTACTTCCCAGAAGCAATTTGGCTATCTGCTAGGGAAATACTTCAAAGTATCTTCAAAGAAAGTATACAATAAAGTTACAAAGACGCTAGTTTATACCCACTGTGGCATAGAACTAAAACCATCCAATAAAACGAAGAAGTGTATTGACAATACAGATATATGCAGACTGGTCACAGATGTTATAAGTGCAAGACCTAAATGGGAATATCTTATCAATGCAGAAGGACAGCACAAAATAAAGTTTGAAACTAATGTTACCATGAATGACAAAGTCATCGACTTTATTTGCCACCTGAATGAAAATTCATGGACATTATTTATGGACCAATATGAAATTGATCTTAACAATCTTAGAATATCATCATCATTTACATGGACTAAAGAAAATCTAATCACAATCATGAACATTACAGAAAAAATAAAAGTCTGCAGAGGAAAACCAAGAGGAAAATTTCTGCATAACTTGAATAAATTAACAATCTCAAAATTGAAAGTGGGTGAAGAAAAATGTGTAAATGTTGTACACTGTGGCATATGCTTGCGTGTGAATAGGTTCGTCAATGTTTCTGAACATTGTGTAAAATGTCGTCAAATGAAACTGTACCAACCAGAAGTACCACTGACGATAGATGATCATATTGCGAGAGATCCAAATGGCGTTATCGATAAATTGCTCCCTCGTGCCTCTCAAGAATTAAAAGTCCTAATAAAGAACCAATGCAAAAATAACTAGGCCTAATAGAAAAAAATAACTGTGTGTGATGATGCCCAAAGAACTCCACTGAGGGCTGGAAAGGACTTGATATAACTTCTTGTGAAAATTCTTTTGATATCATTAAGAGGATATAAATACCACTTACTATATGGAATGTTCTGATCTCAACTTACATTGAGATCTCTCTAGCTATAATGCCTGTGCCACTTCTTCGATAAAATGATTGTAAAATGTATACTAAAAGGAAATTAAAATAAATGTTTGTTTTATCAGTTTATATTTCTTCAATGTTTCTGCTAGCATGCCTACTTGGAGTTACGTTATTTTGTCTTGTTTTTGTTTGAATTTTAAACATGGACACTAAATGACATGAAAATTTATATTTCCTTACAACAGTTACCTCAACTGTGTCATAGCCAGGAAATATTAAGGTGGTTGCTAATTTTTGGGTTTGCATCACTGTGAGCGAAGCAAGCCCAAAAAAGTGGCCTGGGGTTCACCACCTGGATTTTTTTATATCTACATTGTGAGTTCTTAATGAAGTTATTAATGCTCTTTCAACAAATTTTACAAAATTTTTTTTTTCGTTTTTTGGGGGAGTGGTTTGCATCACACCCCCTGGCTACGCCCGTATTAACTTCAAGTATGATGTCCAAAAAAATAACAAAGTCATCATTCAGAGGGGGAGAAACACCAGGGTTCAAAGATGACATACGCTTATAATGTAAATCTGTATTGAGATGACATCGTCGCTGATTGGTCAAAAGTCGACAAACAAATGACGTCATCAATGGCGGTTTCAAAATTTTCGAAATACGCTTCGAATAATAGTATGTTCATTTCTGGCGTGTTAACCAATATCATAGCTTCTCATTTCACATCAAGATAAAGAAAGGTGTACGGAATATGCCTATAACAATTAAAACATCCCATCGAAGTGTAGTATTTGAAAACTAGCCGATGAAAATTCGAACGAACAAAGGTGGTAAGCAAGAGAGGTAATTATGTCTGTCATCTTTAAACTCTGGGGCATTTCCTCCTCTTGTCATCATTGTTCAGCTAACTGGCTAATGTGATATGAAATGGTTGAGTGATCATGAAAAAAAATCATCAGGACTCTGTAAATGTTTTTTTCCTTTCTTGTATCCACCCTCTTCCAGTTCACTAAATTGCTCCAGTTAGACTTTAGATTTTTGGCAGAGTAAATTGTATTGTATTGCTAGAAATTGTCAAGTGATTTTTTTCTTTTCAGTTTTGAAATGTAAAGTGAAACAAGATCATACACTCAATCCTTGTACATCCACCACAATGGATGATAATATGGAGGAAGACTACAATGAATCAGGGATTGAAATAGTATCTCTTAAAGACAGACTTACCCATATCACCATCAAAGATCTAGCTGTTGTATTGCTTTGTGCAATATCAGTCTATCTGGTACGTGTAAGAGACTCATACTCCTTGAAACCAATGTGGAGACATGATTTTATTGATCAGAAAAAATTGACCAATGAAGATGACATTAAATTACCTTCCCCAATAATAACAGACATTGAAAGCGATGGTGTTAATGAAGTTATATTTATAACAAATGACTTGAAATTAATGATGCTGGCGCAGCCTAGACCAACCGAGTCGATAGTACTTCCTCATATGGATGTTAAATTCGAGACAGTTCTTCCTGTGAATGCAAGCAAAGGTGGAAAGACAAGTCATCCTGTCGCTATGACAACAGGATATTTGGAGCCGTACCAAGAGATGGGGCAGATTAGAAAACAAGTAAGTTTATTTTTATGATAGTTTCATCAGAAAAGGACATCTGTTTGTTGTGAAAAAGTTAAATTCTATGTGTGTTGTATGTAGACAGACTCTAAAGTTACACTGGAGGTTGTATCATGAAAAATTATGGGAAAGAACATTACAGTTCAACAACTTTGATTGAGGCTGGATTTGCAAAAATTTTTTACAAAGAAATGTACTTTTGCATCTAACATTATGTATATCATTTTCCCCTTACTCTAACCCCAAGAAATACATCATGAAATTATATGTGAGTGTACATTAAGCATTGAGAAAAAAAATTCCACTCCGGAAATCCATGCTACAACTGAATCCTTTCAAAAGGCATATAATTTTTCATTTCCATACAATATACAGGCATATTCAGCTTGACAATGAATCATGGATCTAGCACATCTCCACATTTATGCTGTGGTCACATTTGCTCCATCTTCAACACCGGCGCCTAGCAATTTTGCAATTTTGAACAAAGTACTCATTGGCTGGGCGACGGTAGAGCAAATGTGTCCATGGCATTAATTTTATGTTTAATTGGATTCTCGTTTCAGGTAATTGTTGTAGTGACAGATGATTGGCACGTCATGTGTTTCAATCATGAGCTTCGTTTTTTATGGCAAGCACAACTGATGGACGTTGGACAAGTTAGAGACAACTATTTCGTGAAGGCAATGAGTGTGTCTGTTAATTCATACAGTATTAAGAGGGACGACTCTGGTTCTGTATTAGTTGGTGGAAGCTATGGTCACAAACATCATCAGAAAAGGTGAGCATGAGACTATGAGTCAATGGTTTGGTCACCACAACGATATTGTTTATGACTTCTTAACAAAATCCTCGAGGAGATATGTAAGGTTTGACTAGAGAAAAATTTCCATAGATTAAGTCCTTATGCTAATAAGGCACATAGCCTATACAGAGAATGAAAGGAACATACAGTTAAGAGATAAAGGATGTCCCATTCGAAATTACAGTGAAGCCTGTAAAGTGAAACACTCCTTTAAGTGTAACACCCAAGAACCACTGACTTAATGTTAACGGAACCAAGTTGAACACCTCCCAAGTGGAACACCTCCCCAAGTGGAACACCTCCCAAGTGGAACACTGTTAGAGATATCAAAGATGTTCCATTTAGGTTTTACCGTACTTGTTTATTTATTTTCAGTTGGTCAGATATTAGTGCCCAGCAGGGTCAGTTAGATGATGAGTCACGTCATGCAGGAGAGGAAGACAGTTACACACACTTCTCAACATATGCGCTTAGTGGTTCTGACGGCTCCATTAGGTGGCACCACTTACCTGGGGACTTTGACGAGCAGAAGCCAGAACCAGAAGTACGCATAATTTTTAGCATTTAGAAAAATTAATTCATTGAAGTTATTGTTCCATTGGACATTACACTAAAAATACATATATTGGATTTTATTTTAGAAGCAACATAAAAATCCATGTAGCAAACTTTAAACCACATTCAACATTACCATTTGTACAAGTGTTAATTTCAAAAGTTTATTACAAAATCAAGTACATATTTGTATTTTGCTCTAGAATGTTTCAAAATATTTTAGTTTTATCCTATATACTTCATACCATAATGAATTGTTTCTACATTCAGGACTTATGGTCTTCCCACCATTGGAAACTAAGTCTAAAGAAAGGGCATCTACATGCTGGAGAATCACATTGGTCAAAATATCATGATGACATCCTCACACAATTGGTTAGTATATGAAATCTTTTGATAATGCTGCTTAGAAATATTTAAACAAAATACCCCACGCGTTAGTCTCAAATGACATACAGCACGATATCATTCAAATTCTTTTAATTTTGACTTAATCTCGGAATATTTATGACATAATCCACCTTTCAAGATATATAATTTGTAATGGTTAAATAAAAAACAAGTTTTTGTAAAGTTTTGAAGTTTTTGTCATGCATGTCATTCTCACTACTCTGTATCTGTATTTTTGTAATTGTATAAAAATGGTTGTATTAAAGGAATTTCTCAAGGAAATTATTAGAGTATACCATAACCTTGTCAATCTCAAATATTGTATATGTACCTTCATATTCATATTGCAGCCCCACTCCTGGCATGACCTCTCAAGTACATCCCTCAATCTGGCACGTTTCACAAAGTCCCCATCAAAGAAAACCAAAACTGAAGATGTCACCCCGACAATGGCAAGCATCCTTGGTTCTGACCACATAATGGGATTCCAATATGGCGGCTTACAACCACACTCCAAGGACGAACATGTCGGAAATCCTAATGCTGTCGTAATTCAAAATCATGATGGAATTGAAGTATTGAATCTTCAATCGGGACAACCTATGACACGAATCAGTCTCCCTGATGAAAAAACTATCTATACTGACATAAATAATGACGGCAAGATCGATCAAATCAAAACGTCATTTTCACGTCCTTACTCAGATACTCATGAGTGCAACGCAATAGTGATGAGCTTACCTCCAAATGCGAAGACAATTTTTACTGGGCCAATATGTGAGACACCCAGTATGATGGGAGTGCTCTCCCATAAAAGTGGAGACACAATATTTTACGATTATACAGTCCCGGAGGATTTAAGACTAGCAGTGCCACCTATAGCAGTCAAAAGGTATGAATTATTTTGGGTTTGCCTAAAAGAAGAATGGTAACAATGAGTGCTCATGTATGCCTTTATGTTGCTCTTCATGTTGGGTGTTAGAATGTTGCTGTTCTCATGTCTATACTATCCGGTTTTATCTTTTCCTCCCAATCCTTTAGATGACATTCACCATTGGAAATCATGGATTTGTCTTTATTTCTTTGCTTTATCTGATTTCAGTGTTGCTAAAAGATCTGGTATTCTCAACCATATAAAAGGCTACAACCTTTTAGCAAAGAAAGGTTACGATTCTTTATATTTCACAAGCCATGGGAAGGTCACCTCCTATGGCCCAAGTGGAGAGTTCCATTGGCAGGTATAGTAGTGTAGTGTAGTGTAGTGTAGTGTAGTACAGTACTTCATTAATATATCATACTCTGTCCAAAGTTTCATCTGGCCTGGTTTGGCCATATTTGTTTTAATAATCATAAGTTACCATTGAACCAATCCTCATATCCATTTTTTGATTCATGCTAGTAATATACAGTATTGGGCCCAATTCCTACTTTTGGCTTGTTTTGGAAAATTATCTTTTTATGTTACCACCAAAAGTGGTGACATATTCTAATGGTCTCCAAATTTTTTTGGGAATAGCGGTTGATGTTCAGCGTTCAAAGTTTCGGCAGTCAGTGTCTGTAACAAATGACATCTGTAACAAATGGCAGGTTGTGACATTTTTATGTTTATGCCTTGTTCATGTTTTCAGGTGACACTGCCAACAAAGTGGGCCCACATCACACATGTAGTGGATGATAGCATATATGCAGACTCCCTAGTAGCTAGTATATACCAACATTCCTTCCAACCAAGTATGAAGGCCATCTCCCTTTTAGTGTATGGCAGAGAGGTGAGAATTTTAAAGAAAACGGTATACTGTAGATACACTTTATTTGACGCTACTTAATTTGGCAGATTTGCTTAATTTCAAATATTGGCGGCTATTTAAGTTGGCGGAGTCAGGACTGAGCTCAAGTTTTATCATTGATCTGAAAATTGGCGGATTTTTAATTTGGCAGTTTTTTTCCAATCCGTCAAATTTAAATGGTAGTCAAATTATTAGTCAAGTATTTCTTCTATCTGCATTTGTGCCTAATGGCCTAGTCACATAGCCCGGCCGATGAGGTTACGATGAGCCAGCGATGCAATTTTCACCGAACTCGGCCGGACACCGGCCGGACATCCGTGGCGTTTGTTGCTTAAAACCGCATCGGTGGTAGCTCGGTGAAATTTTAACTTCGGAGTTAAATTTCACCGGGCTCTCACCGAGCTCCCTCATCATGTCATCGCAGCCCCATCGTAACCACATCGGAAAACACGTCGGCCGGAGTATCGGCTGGTGTCCCATGCATCTGAGACAACCAGAGGACGAGGTTTTTTAAGGGACAGCGGCCGAGCTCCGACAGAGCTCCGGCCGATGTGGGACAGAGCATCGGCCGGTCACTGTTCAAAGCCCGTTAACAACCCGGCCGGCGATCGCACGGTGTCCTGTTACCTGCTCGGGTACCGGCCGTATTCCTTCCGATGTCCGGCCGACCTCCGGCCGGTAGTTGCTGCCACATCGGCAGAAAAAAACTACCATTTTGAGACAGACTCCGTACGGTCACCGGCCGGTGTTCGGTCGGTCGCCTGAAGATGTCCGGGCGGAGTCCGTTCACGTCACCGAGCTCTGCTTCCGATGAGGAGAGCTCGGTGGCACCAAAAAAATCCACCGAGCTCTACCGATGCCGGACATCGGCCGGGCTATGTGACTAGGCCATTAGGGTATAAAATGCAACAGTACAATTAAGAAGGCTCCAAAAATAATTCTAGGTCAAAATAAAGGATTGAAACAGAAATTCAGATATTATAATAGAACTGTTCTTTTTCCAAAGAATTGAATTTGAAAATATTTTTGATCCTTTGTCAACCCAAAATAATTCTGAGTCCATTCAAGAATTGTAGAAGAAGATAAAAAATTAGGCCCTCAATTTTCTAATACATGACTGTATAATAGTGCCATTTTAGGTTCATTTTAGGTGGCCCTTTAGGTTCATTGCAGGTGCCATTTAGGGCTAGCTTGAGGACTGACTTCAAAAATATGACTGATTTCTTTTTTAGGATATTTTATTAACCAGTGGTTGGAGTGATATTGCACTTACTGACCTCCAAGATGGTCACCTGATGGCAGAGCATTCGTTACCATGTAAACCATCTGCTACCATGGTAACAGGAGACTATAACAATGATGGAAGGACAGATATCATTGTGTCTTGCTCAATAGGGTATGCCAATCAAAACTGTTATATATTATTTTTTGTTGAATTTAAAGCTAGAAAATGGTTCTCGCTATAACTTTGGTCATGCAGAGGAATTAAGAGATACTATAGTCAATAAAAACTTGTGTTATGTTTTGCATATGCAGATCAGTACCTTTTACGATCAAACAATATTTGAAAATCTAACCTTTTGTATTTTCAGGTATATAGGGTTTTCAATAGAGTCAGAATCAAACATTATATACACAATATTGCTTGGAATGCTCCTCCTGCTGATAGCCTTTTTCTTAACCTGGCTCTGCACACCTGATCATATACATGCCATAGTGGACAATGATGACCTGTGACATGGTCATTTACATGCCATAGTGGACAATGATGACCTGTTACATGGTCATTTACATGCCATAGTGGACAATGATGACCTGTGACATGGTCATTTACATGCTATAGTGGACAATGATGACCTGTTAAACAGGACACAATTCAGATACGAATAATGAGTAAACTCATTTTCCCATTATACACTTCTATATACTTTAAGAAATCCTTCATATGAAAGGATGATTCTTGAACAATTCAAGTAAAATGTTGAAATAATTGTACTAAACTTTAAATTATTTATTTTAATGTAAAGATTAAGAATGTATCATATTTTTTATTTCTTAGTGTAAAGTCATGTATATTCTGTGCTTTTATGAATTTGTTTGTGACCATAAAAAGCTGTTTGGTCGGTCTAATTTTACCCAGAAATAAATATTTTAATTTGAGTATTGTACTTTGAATTGATGTTATGAACATGTTACCATGGTAACAGAATTTTCAATTATATATCATGATTCCATGCTGAAAATGGAGGAATTATCAAAAGGTATCTACCCTTTATGATTATCCAGATATCCATCATGACAAAGTTTTTCTTGTAGGCATTTAACATGATGATGTAACCTAAGTCACTGAAATGAATCTTTAATACATCAATGTTGATAAACTTTAACATAAAATAGAATAATAAATCAAGAATTTTGAAAAACCAATTCAGTTCTACAAGGGTTAACAAAAGAAATAACACAAATATCTGACCATTATATAAATTCATCATGAGAAAGCTTATTATGTTCTTTGATGTCATTCTTTTTACCAACCAAAGTAAATAATTTTCTAACATATATTTCTAAGTTATACAAGTTATGTTGTACATTATAAATAGTACATTGTGTATAATATTAAGAGTAATTATTTTACTGTCCAAGATTTAAGTTGTACTATATATGTATGATTCAAATAAATATTTCACATGTATATTTCAAGTTATGTTATATATTGTAATACATACTTAAAGTTATATATTTAAGGAATAAATAATGACAGGCCATTCAATATGGTGAAATTCAGCACGAGTTGGACAGAATGTCACACAAAGCACAAACAGAAGGTGAGTGCATTTTTACAGACATTCTGTCCAACGAGTGTAGAATTTCACCATATTGAATGGCCTCTCATTATTTATTTCAATTCAAACATAAAAAATGAAAAGAATGTTCAGAGAATTGGGAATTTAGGTCAATGAAATAACCAAACTTGCTGTTATTTTCGCCATTCCTAGGTGTGACGTCATAAAACAACACAATACATGTACATAAATGAGGCATTATTGAAATCTGATATAGCACAATATACGTGTACTAAATAATAACCTGTATATATTAAGGTAGGCCAACAATGTAAGCATTTACCCAGGCCTTCTGTATGTAACACTTGTAAACTAACTTTTTAAATAATTAACCTTGACTGATAAAAATAAATATAAACAAATAAAATACATATTTTTGCCGATAACAAATATAAACTGTAAAACCTGGATGCATGTCCTCTCTATTCTGAATACCTCTCTATGGGAGCACTTTTTCAAATCGTACAAATTGCATTTTTACTATTTTACAGACTAATAGTTTACAGTTTTTAATTTGATATTGCATATATACTTTCCATAATAGGCTATTGCTTATACTTTGCATAGTATTGCATGTACATTTTGCCATATCATAATTCACACTGAATTTGGAGCATTAATTGAGTAAGTTCAGTGGGTGAAAATGATGTTTCAGTTGGTCAAATGGATATTTCATTAATTTATAAAGGGCACAGCCCCTGTACTCACACAGTGAGTTTACTATAGCATAACTATGAAATATTTAAATATGACTTTTTAAGTCAAAATTGAACTCATTATGAGCATTATTCAATTAATTAATTAATTAACCCATTCAATTACAAAAATACATTTATAAGTATCATTTTTTAGTTTTTAGTTTCCAAAAAAACTTTGTCAAAGGGTGGTCTCGAAGCCAATGAAATTTAGGATTTTGTGCAAAATATTTGAGATGACCCCTTGCCAATAAATGCATTATTGAAGCTGTAACACTGATCTCATGTTATAGTATATCTACTATATACGCTGACTATGCAACACCATTCCACAAGGTGTGACACAGAAATAAATCTGCAATGGAACCTTTTTAACACATTACTATTCACATTGAAAAATAACATGAGATCTTTGGAACCCAAGTGTCTATATTTGACACCAGAGGGCTGAAAGTGCATAACATTTTGATCTGTCTCACTTTACATGACTATTGCCATTGTGACTATCATTTGCACCATGACTTTTATTATTACCATTGTGACTATCATCTGCACCATGACTTTTATTATCCCCATTGTGACTAACAACATCCACAGGTTTATCTATTTTTTGTTTGATACCTAACCACATGCATATGTTATCATACATCAAATGAACCAGTTCTCCATCTTCGACATTTTGAAATTGATGCCTATGCTGCTGCACGAAGGTCAACATATTTAGCACGGTTGTCACAATCACATTCAACACTAATACATGCATTACCAAAACAAAACTTACTATTATAAGTAGCCCTAAGTTTTGTCTCAATGAACGCACATTGTCTGAGTCAAAATCACCCATAACGACGGTGAAGAGAGTACAGGTGCTGTACCACATATTACGATATGTTCCGAGAGATTGACCGAAGATGTCTGTGGTCAGCGTCCCGAATGCTACGAATACAACTACAAGGGCCAAAACGTACCAAGCGATCTCCCCCGATGCCCTGCTTATGGTCTCAGTTAGTAAGTACATACGGGGATTGAATCTCAACATATGTAGTAACTTGATGGTTCCCAGAAGGACTAATCCACCGAGGCAATAATTCAAGGCACTTTCTAACACATCCACTCTGTAGAAGCTATGAAATATTCCTGGGTTTTTCTTGAAGGCAGATACCACATGTCCTGTTTCAACACTTCGGAAGACATACACTGTAATAGCAGCAATGGAGAGAAGTATAATTCCTATCTCCAACCAGTTCCAGAATGTTTTGAAATAATTCCATTTTAATTGTTTCACTCTTAGGCACTCAGATATGATGAAATATAGCGTATAGACACAATAAGCAATCTCACAAGCCATTATGGCAATATGCACTGTCTGTACGTATCGATACAGCTTTATCGTGCTGACGATACAAGTAGGTAAAACTCCACCATATTGCGGCATCTCAAAAACAGTTGTCACGATTGTGAATAAATTCAAGTTTGCATTATAGACATTGAATTCAACGAACAAGACTCTCGTATCGTCATCAATCCAGCCATTGGAGTGAAGGTGGTCTAAAGCTGCGATGGACTCGAACCGACTCACGCCAAGGTCAGCCATATATCCCGACCCACTGTATAAAGTGTCCAAGGATGCCATCAGACTGGAACTATCTAGTTCTTTAGAACTGTGATACCTGCAATTGAGATTAAAAAATGTTGCATTCAAGTGCAGCTGAACTCAGGGTACATCAAAAGGATTTCAGACATTCTGGACTGGTAAAAGCTATAGACCAGTTGTCATTTTGTTTTCTTAGCACCACATACTGAAATAACCAGCTAGTAAAATTCATTGGCCAAATTGTTTGTCTGCCAAATTAAGTAGCCACCAAATTCAATATTTCATATTTCAATCGTAAATATGTATATATATACATTTCAGTATTGCAAGTCCGCCAAATTAAGTAGCCACCAAATGTTCAAAACAGCAAATCCAGCAAATTAAGAAGAAGTACAGTATACCACACCCAGCTCTACCATTTGAAAGGAGCTGGATGTGTTGGACTATAATAGAACATTTAAAGATACATTTGAGATTTTTAAGATGCTGCCAACAATATTCCTAAACTCTGGCAGTATTCACGGCATACTTATTTATGTATAATAAATGATTGGATATTGAAAAACATGATTAAACAAAGCATTAACATGCAAAATGTCACCACCTGCCACTTGTTGGTGCCAAACGCCGAACACCATCCATAAATACTTTTGGAGACTAAAACAATGTGATCCATAAAACACTTCTGGTGGTGACATTAAAATGTTGAATAAGATCTGCAATATTAAATACTACGAAATAGTAAGAGGGAACTAATATGACTAGCTGGTTCAGACGCATCCTCTGATCACAGGGCTTCAAAATCCAGAATATATTCTTTCTTTTTATCCCCTGCGATAACCAGTTAGCATTTCCTCGATTAAGAACTCGCACTCTGATTGGCTGTCGCAACACTGCGACAGAAATCATGTATAAGTCATTGAGCATAAATAGATCACGTGATTCAGTTTAATCGGGCGCTTCCAAATTGGTTATAGCAGGGGGAAGGAGGTACGGATTCTGGATACCTGCTTAGGAGGATGGTTGAGACAAGTGTAAAGTTCTGATGGTTCTTACTTCCATACTGAAGAGTATTCAGCATCAGTTGTGTTGGGTTGCAAGGAAAGCCATCCTGTCCCATAAGCCCCCTTATCCATAGCCTCCTCTGAGTATCCCACACTGCACTTCAGTCCACTTATGATATCTGATGTGAAGCAGTCACCTACAAATATCCATGTGAAGATTACATTCATACGTAACATAGTAAAATATTTTACAATGCTTTTGACTCATTCTTAGTATCATTCATAAGTTCTTATTTGATGTGAATGAAAAGTGAGACTAAACGAGGCATTAAGGTGACCAAATGTCAACACCTGGTTTATGATGCTTCAGTTTACAATAACAAAAGTGTAACAATTGCTACACTTGCCAACAATGAACACCAAATGTAATAAGTTACAGATAAAAACAGAGATGTCAATGAGATAAAACAACAAATTAGTAGAAAAACAGCAACTCCCCAGAGTAGCAGATGCCACCAAACTAAACATATTTTATCACTCAACACCATATTAGAAACTTGCTCTCTGATAGAGGCCCTTGAGACATCAAGCTTTAAATCTAGGACCAAATCTGATAACCAGTATTTGAGTTATAAAAAATCAAATAATGTCCCCAAAATGGCCACTTTTAATTAAGTAGATATCTAAAAAATTCTTTTTTTGACAGATATACCATGTCGTCAGAACATCAGCCAAAATGTCTGAACCAAATTTGCAACTGGTATATGAGTAATCAAAGATTACATTTTTTCATGAAAAATAGTCTTTGAATTAATTGAAAACATGTTGAAAATTATTTTTTTCAAGGAAGAGATCCTATGCCCATAAGGTATCAGGATATAAAATTTGAACCAAATCAGAATCCTGACCTTTGAGTAAACGACTGGGACAGACTTGCAGACAGACGAATAGACAAATAAAAGAACAGACGAATGGATGGACGGATGGACAGAAGGCTTCTCTATATCCCTCATGAACTACATTTGGGATACATGGGATAATCACCATTTCAATTGAACATTTATTGACAGGGCCACAAACTATATGTACAGTAAAACCTGTCTAAGTGGAACACCTTTGGAACTTCTCAAAGTATTCCAACTGCAGGTGTTTCATTTATAGGAGTTCATTTTACATTAAGTCAGTTGTTCTTGGAACTCTGAAGTGTTCCACTCACAGAGGTGTTCCACTTCTAGAGGTGTTCCACTCAAAGAGGTGTTCCACTTCTAGATGTGTTCCACTCACAGAGGTGTTCCACTTCTAGAGGTCTTCCACTCACAGAGGTGTTCCACTTCTAGAGGTCTTCCACTCACAGAGGTGTTCCACTCACAGAGGTGTTCCACTTCTAGAGGTGTTCCACTTCTAGAGGTGTTCCACTTCTAGAGGTGTTCCACTCACAGAGGTGTTCCGCTTCTAGAGGTGTTCCACTCACAGAGGTGTTCCACTTCTAGAGGTGTTCCACTCACAGAGGTGTTCCGCTTCTAGAGGTGTTCCACTCACAGAGGTGTTCCACTTCTAGAGGTGTTCCACTTCAAGAGGTGTTCAACTTCAAGAGGTGTTCCATTTTACAGGTTTCACTGTAATGGATGTGCTAAAACCTCACCACAGTAATTTAATTGAAATCTGAGGAAGTCCAGGGTATGATGACCCAGCAGCTAGTTTTATGCACACTGAACATAAATAGCAATATTGAAATGATGCATATTTAACAGGATCCAACTGCAACAAGGAAGTTATAATACTTATCATTATATATATACTTATTATTGTTGGTCAATATTTGAAAGAATAAGCGATAAACATACATCAACATATTCTGGTAAGTTTAGTTTCTATACAAATACAATAAATTCTAAAACACTATCCTTTATGAGACAATATTGTAATTGTAAGTAAACATGACTGTGCACAGCTTCATTTTTTCAGTAGATCTGTATGCAGGTATGTGATATCCTGCTAAACATTTCTAATATCTATATTTTACCATGTACTACTTCTGTCTCTCCAACATATGGGTCACTATTTTTACAGTGCTCACCATAAATAAATGACATCTTGATTTTCTATCACCATTCCCAGACCATGGTGATTTGAGACTTCATACTTTCCAAAAATGTCTAGATACACATCCCTTCAGTTTTGTATATTTTACATTTTGTATACTCTGAACTACTAATGTATGGCCCCTTGAAAATTCTCTTGTTTTTAACATGGGAAATCCTCACTTCAGCAAATCCAAGTGTCATTTATTTATGATGCACTTAATATGTGATGATGTGATGTGATGAATGAATGATGTTGAAAATATTAAATAAAGAGGATATGTTAAACACTTTTGAATGTAACAGTTGCAGAAAAGCTAAGTTAATTTTGTTAGATTGGATGTTGAAAGAAGTAATTGTATTTTGAATAAGTACCTCTACGGTCAGATTCATAATTCCATTGACAACTTTGAATCTAAAAAAAAATAAGCATATTGAAACAATATGTTAAAATAGAAACATTTGTACAAGGCCTAACTTTTGTATATTTTGATTTGTTTTGTAGTTTGGCTATCATATGTCTGGCCCCTTATATCTTGATGCTGCTTCTCTGCCATGTTATTTTCGAAAAAATTAACATGGGTGAAACTCCCTAAATTACCACAGCTTTGTTGCACATTATACTATCTGAAATATACAAAAATAAGGCCTAGGCTAGTACATATGTGGGGGGGGGGGGCTGGGGGGATGAGGCCCAGAAAAAACTTTAAGGGCCCCAAAATTGTGTAGGGCTTCAAGAAATTGGCATTTTTGGGGATTACTTGGCCTACACACATTTTCAAAAAAAATTAAACAGGCCTTAAATTTTCAAAATTTGGGCCCAATTTTTGGTTTTAAGGACCCAAAATATTTTTTAAAGACTTGAAATGTTGTCCTATCCTCTTGCAAGTTTCTGGATCCCCCAGTGCAATGAGAAGTGAGGCTCTTTGCAAAGGGTATGAAGGAAGGTCAAGTAGATGTTGGAAGGGTAGGACTGGTACAGAAGTAGTTATTTTTTGGATTTGAAACAAATAAAGAAGCGCACATGGACTAAAGGGGTATTTTGTTAACTTCATATCATATCAGGTCTTGAGATTAAAGGGGCAAATAAACCCATTTTAGAAAAAACATTTTGAATGAAATAATTATTCAACATGCCAAGGAGCCAATCAGAAAACTATATCCACAAGAATGTAAAGAAATATTTCTTATTCTAGAACCTTCGCTCTATTGAATTAAAATTTGTTTACCACCATTCAGTATTAAAATATGAATTACTTTTTTCAATGTAGCAGCAATATAATGAACCTAGTGTCATATAAAATAATAATCAAAGGACTTTTATATGTGTGACATAAATAACAAAAAACAACTCACTAGGCACATTTTCTCAAAGCTCCTATCATTTAAAGCAATATATTCGGCACATTTTGTGAAAAGTTCAATATTCTGTTTAGTTAACTTACGAAAGGATAACTTTTAACTATTTTTCAGTCACAATTTCTGATGAAGAAGCTATTTCAGGGTCATTTTGACCATGACCATTGTGATCCTGGCAAATGATAGTGAAACTAGTAAAACTGAGTGAAGGTCAAAACAGGATGGTGTTATCTTGGTTTAAAAGTTTTCAAAAATCCAGCAAGTTTTTTTCACCATCTGTTTTGTGAATTTAACTACCCCAAAATCTGAGAAATATATTGTGGTAATGTACATACCTGTGTATACAGGGTGTTCACTAAGTTATGACACTCGGTCTCCAATTTCTACAGTTTTTAACCAATCTTTCGAGATTTTGCACATATCATCTTATGTAATAATGATGTACATACCAAATTTCATGTCTCAGGAATAAAAATACTTAATATTATCATAGTGAATATACTATTCACTACAAAGAAATTTGTATCTCTTTTATTGTTTTTTATTATTGTTTAGCCACTCATTCTTGGAAAACATTTGTTTGGCCAATCTCATCTAGAGTCCATTTCACTGCTTCATTTCGTCAGTAGAACGGCAAATATAAGAAATTGGGAGACCATTGTGCAATAATATATGGAAAAGTATATTCATAATGTACATGAATGAAATTTGTATATCTTGGATTGCTTCTAGTTTGGCTTATAAAGTGTGTGGCCTCTTATATTTGGATGTTTCTCTGCCATGTTATTTTCAATAAGATTAACATGGCTGAAATTCTTCAAATTACAAGACGGCACAGGCTTATTGCACAAAAAACTAAAAAATCTGAAATATACAAATGTCATTCATGTACATTATGAATATACTTTTCCATATATTATTGCACAATAGTCGATAGTCTCCCAATTTCTTATATTTGCCGTTCTACTGACGAAATGAAGCAGTGAAATGGACCCTAATCTTATTTCAATTTGGCTGCCCTTACAATTTTCTCATCTGAATGAAACGCTGGACTCTTTAAAGAGTCCAACAACATAGAAATGACTAGTTCAAGTTTATTTGGTGAATAATGAGCAAGGTCTACATTTTCAAATCATAGACTACTCTGCATTCTGTCCATTCTCTATGGACTACTTTGCAGTATGAGATGCATGTTTCCTATTTCCACAAAACCTGTTTTCGAATGACGCTTTTAACTTTGGCAGACATTCCAACTCATGGAGATCACAGACTTCCTGAAGATTTTCTAAACTAAGACGGGTTTACGAAAAAGACCGACCCCACTGACCACCGACCGGTCGGTGTTTTCCACTGGTAGCCTCAAAACAGGGTTTGAAGAAAATGTGTAAAAGACCGACCATATCATGTAAAAGACCGAACATATTTGTAGCCTTAAAATATTAATAATTTGATTTTGAATGTCAATCGTTGGACTAGGCAACTTTTTACCGATTTTGTACCTTGCAACGAATGGCAAGCAAACAAATTGGGCATGACCGTCTCCTCTCGATTAATTGTCCTGCCTTAGGTCCTTACCTATCATTAACCAACCTATCGTTTCTTTTTATGAAATTTAAACCTGCACATTGCTCCAAAACGCAATCTTGGGTTGTTTCGGGGTGAACTTTATCATTTTGAGCTTAATGAAAGATTATAGAATGATGAACAAATGGGGCAAATCTTGTGTATAAATACTTACGATGAATGTGTCATTTCAAAGATTGTTCATCGAATTACTTCGATTGGTGACGACGATATGATTTTGGAAAGGTTTAAGAGGAGGGAAGGCCCCAGAGTTTTAAGATGACAGACATAATTACCTCTCTTGCTTACCATCTTCGTTCGTTCGAATTTTCATCGGCTAGTTATCAAATATTACACTTCGATGGGATGTTTTAATTGACAAAGGCATATTCCGTACACCTTTCCTTATCTTGATGTGAAATGAGAAGCTATATGATATTGGTTAACACGCCAGAAATGAACATAATATTATTCGAAGCGTATTTCGAAAATTTTGAAACCGCCATCAATGACGTCATTTGTTTGTCGACTTTTGACCAATCAGCGATAATGTCATCTCAATTCAGATTTACATTCGTATGTCATCTTTGAACCCTGGTGTTTCTCCCCCTCTGGAAAGGTTTCTAAATTAAGAATGTGACGTCACTTCCGAATTATAGCATTAAAAAAGTCGAGTTTAATTACTCCGAAAATTCATAATACATCGGTGGCCTTGCTGTAGTCTGTCGCTCAGTAAGCAGGAGGCCCGGGTTCGAAACCCGCACAAACTTTTTTTTTTTTAACTAAATGATTGTTATTTGATATTATGCAGAAAGAACAATTTTTATTTACATAAACTTTATATTAGAGCTTGAAAATGTAAAAACAATATATGTCAACATATTGCATTTTGGAGCGATGTGCAGGTTTAACAATTTCGAAACAAAAATGATTTGTTATCGTCATAGCCTACTGAATACTGAACACGATATAATGCTACATGCGTTCTCTTATTGGGATTAAAAGTGACTTACCATTTCAGTACACCATTAGAAAGCTTTTTTTGTCATATCAAATGTAGTTTTTACCAGTTGACATTTAACAACTGAGAAATCAAACATAACGTTATGACGTCAACATCGACGATGTTTGTGTGTTTTTGTTATTGCGTTTCATATGAATGAACTTAATGCAATGTTACGTGCGTTTTTTTCCAAAGTGACTAAACCAGGATGAAATTGGTCTTCTAACAACTGAAACATCACTTAAAAATATGACATTACACACCACGACGATGTAACGTTTTCATCTTGATTTGAAATGATTAATTATACGTTTTTAAATCACGACCTAGTAAAGGTACTATAGTCATTGGATTCCCAGTTTTAGTTTTAGTTCTAATTTTGCATTTTTTCATCTTTATGTAAAAGACCGTCAGCCGACCACATGTACCCAACTGTGGAGAGTGACTGGTCGATGGTCGGCGGTCGGTGTTTTTCGTAAACCCAACTAAGACTATTATCATATGTTGTCATACTATGAATGGGCCAATGGCCATACTATGAATGTAACCACTATACAGGACATATTTTAAATAACCAACTGGTATAAATTTAACAGAGAATACATAGCTCAAAATCATGTAAAATCCCATCATATTAAACATCGTTTCATCAAAATTGAGTAAAATTGATGTCTGTGTCAACGCACCTGTCACCAAGTTGCTATGGTAACTATTATTTCATTGTTTGGAGGCCAAAAGCTTTAAAACTTTTCAAATAAACTCACAATTACACTTTTAAGACATGCTGAAAATTTAAGCAAGATTCCTTAAAATTTGACAAAATGGAAGACCTAGTGTCATTACTTAGTGAACACCCTTTATATCATCATTTTACACATTTCAATTTCTACTCAAATATTTTAATTGTAAAAGTAGCTTGCTATATAAATCACAATTGTTGATTACAGAGGCCATTAAATTAAGGCTTGATAATGATTTCACTAGCCAGGCGACGTCAAGAGAGACTTTTGACTGAGGATGGTGTCGTATTGGATGGTTCCGGCCAAGAAGTTCCAGTTGACAGTCTACATGGGCGTTACATGGCTAAGATATCCATGGCTTTGGGGATACTCATGATTCTAGGAGGTGTGCTTAGCATCGTTCTTGGTATTGTGGCCCTTGTTAAATCATTTACAATGGCTTACATTGGAACTGGATTATGGGTGGGACTCCTGGTAAGATATTCAATTTATTTATGGTCAATACTTTAACAACAAGTTATTCATTAATCTTTAAATTCAATTTGCTCATCTGAACAGATGTACAGGCATAGTTCTGTCTATTCAGACTGCCACTGGTACCAAAAAAGGTATTCCCATTTAAAGGTTCTTACATGCTTAATGCCACTGAGATAGGTATTTGGATAGACAAAATTTTCTTTGCTATATGTCTTAATGGAGCTCTTAAGCTTGGATTTATTTTCAGTTTCATATTAGCACCGGTGCACTCGGAATTGTGGCTGGGAGGATCAAACACATGAATATCCAAGATGCAAGCAGAGCTGTACGTATCTCAATAACTTGAGGAAGTATTGTATTATGTATTATTGTATTGTGTTTTATTATAGCCTACACAGTCATATTCCCCTCTCTCTTAATGGTCTTCACTTACCCTGCACGCAGAGTCTAGTTATAAACTAAGGGACTACTTTGCTTTATGACTGTGACAGCATAAATTTTTAGCATTCCTTGCATTAATATTAAGCGTTCTCACCGAGCATTACCTTCTGATAGGGAAAGGAAATTTAGATCAAAATGGAATAAATAATGTTTTGAACAGGTCAAATGTTAACCAGATGTGACCCAATCTCTAAAATACAAACAATACAGGGTGTCTAATAAATTAGATGATATAACATTTTTAGTGTTGCACCGATCTAGATGAAAAGAGGGGTTGTAACCCAAACCTTTTTAGCTTTATTTTGTAAATATCAAGTTTTTCCCATTTGATTGGCCAGTACAGAGTTATTGTTTGCAGGTGAATGGATTCCTGGTAATGTGTATTGTTAACATATGTTCTGGCTGTGCTGCTCAACTTTTACTTGGGGTTATAGCAGCTGCAGTGGATCGACCCCTCTATTTCTACTCTTTTTATGAGGATGATGAAGAGGTGAGATGAAATAATAATAAAACACTATTGATAAATCATAAGGAATAAAATGTCACCATCTTGAAGTGGAACGATTGTTACAGATTCTGCTAATCACACATTAACTAGAATTCTGTGATTCCTCGTCACCGCAGGATTTTTGATTTCAAAATCTTTGCAGAATTTGATTTTTTGCATGGAATTTTGCAGGAAATATTTCAAGCCAACCATCTCATCTCATATTTGTCACTCACCTTGACACCCAAAGACTGTCATTTATAATCAGGAACTGGTGGTTTGAGGATTTCCAAGTAGAAATGTTAAATCTGTTTAAAATTCTCAAACTTCCACCGTTGAGATTAAAGATTACAGGTCAAAAAATTTGAATTCCGTGCAATTTCATGATAGTTCAATTTACCATTGCTTGCAGAATTTATCGTGGATTTTGGGATTTCATGCAGAATTTGGTGCAGAATTTGACTTTTTCTCATGCTGAAAACTACAATTAATTACTGTACAATGAATATCAGTTGCAAAAATGGTGGTCATAGCAAAATGTAACTATATTTCTTGATGGTGAGATAAAAAACAGTCTCTGTAAACATGTATAAACATGTATACATGTATAAAACCAACTAAGGATGATGTCCTCAATTTTTCTCCATGTGATATTAAATTGGCATCGAATTAAAGTACTTCATGTAACTGTATGCCTATAATATTTGAAGAAGAAAATTGCATGTAATTGTACTTCTGTTAAAGACATTTAACAGAATTGATACAACCCTGTCTGGAAAACAAATAAAATTCTCTACATACAATTATCCTCTTTACTTTTAGTTAGGGGACGGATTGATGTATGCCTTTGATGTCACATTTATAATCGTGTCATTGGTTGAGGGTCTGTTCTGCGTGATTGGAATTGTCATTGCAAGTATTGCAACATGCTGCCGTTCAGTAAGTTCATGTCTCAAAACTCCATTTCTGTACTGCAAAACCCATGTATCAAATTACATGTTTTCTATGGCTCAAAATATCCATGACTGTATTGTATTGTAGAACCCATGTCTCAAAACTCCATTTCTGTATTGCAAAACCCATGTATCAAATTACATGTTTTCTATGGCTCAAAATATCCATGACTGCATTGTATTGTAGAACCCATGTCTCAAAACTCCATTACTGTATTGCAAAACCCATGTATCAAATTACATGTTTTCTATGGCTCAAAATATCCATGACTGTATTGTATTGTAGAACCCATGTCTCAATACTCCATTTCTGTACTGCAAAACCCATGTATCAAATGACATGTTTTCTATGGCTCAAAATATCCATGACTGTATTGTATTGTAGAACCCATGTCTCAAAACTCCATTTCTGTATTGCAAAACCCATGTCTCAAAAATGCTATTTTTGTATTGCAAAAACCATGTCTCAAAACTCTATTTCTGTATTGCAAAACCCATGTCTCAAAACTCCATTTCTATATTTCTAGTTTGCATCATATAAGAATCTCTTTGAACTAAGGGGCCAGAGGTCAATATTTCAATGGTCATCAAAAAATGAAATTAATTTAGTAAGGTCTTAGCACCCCTCTCCTTTTCACAAAAGTCAAAAATTAGATTCACAGAAGTCAATGTTTGTCACCTCATTGAATAGTTTTTACCCCCTCCCCCTAATATAGTTAATTACATTTTAAACCAACATTGAAATATTGACTCAGCCCTTAATCTTTTTTAAACAAAAAGTGAATACCTCTACACCTAAATGAAAAATTTGTCTACTTATTTGAATCGATTAATTGAAGTAATACATTTATTAATCATTCAGTCCACTGGCTATGTTACACAAACGTGTGTGAGTACATGTACAACAACAACGCCTGCTGTGACTGTTCTCAACATTGGACCCCAACAACAACAGCCAGCTGGATATTATCCTCAACAACCTCCTGTGTATCAACCACAAATGCAGGCACAACCTGGGATGTGTCAACCACCACAGGCTCAACCACCTATGTATCAACCTGTGCAACAACCACCAGTGCAACAACCACCAGTGCAACAACTACCAGTGCAACAACCATCAGTGCATCAACCACCTCAAAGTATGTAGAGAACAATGTATATACCCAGTGATAAATATCACATTTCTTTAATGAAAAATCAAAATGATCTCCAAGTAATTTACCCAGCATTCTTACAACCTAATCAAATCATTGAACAGCAAGTAGTTTTCCTGGCATTTTGATGACAAGATGGGGCACCTACCCCCCCCCCCCCCCCCCCCCAACCAGACCCCAACCAGACATATGCAGGCACGCAGTGCCCATCTGCAAGAGACAACACGCAATCACATACATGATTTTCCCAATAAGTAACTTGTTTTTCAGTGATGGTGCTCAACAATAAAATGTAACTTGACCACACTGTTGGCAACTGGAGTAGAGTGACAATATAATGGACATTGCACACAAAAGGATTATGGACCAGGAAAACATGATGTGGATTGATGATGTATGCATGTAGTTTGACAGATTCACAATATTTCTTCATCTAGGCAGCCAGAGTGGGACAACAAATTGATCACAATTATATTGATTTATTACTGTATACATGGGCATAGCCAGTGGGGTGCGATGAGTGCAATCACATCCCCCACTCCCCCAAAAAAGAAAAAAGAAATTTTGTAAAATTTGTTGAAAAAATATTAACAAATTAGGCCATAGTTCAAAATGCTCAGAATGCACCAAAAACAATGTAAATTTTCAAAAATTTCTGTGGATGAACCTCCATATTCCCCTTTTTGGAGCTTGCTTCGCTCGGAGTGATGCAAACGCAAATAATCACACATCCCTTGACAATTCCTGGCTATTCCCCTGGTATATATTGTGTTACCTTGTTTGACACGGAGTTGTCGAAGTCTGGCAGCTCCCACCAGATAGGCTGCCTTGGTGGAGATGAATCCTGGGAAATCATCATCATACAATAAGTCGAACAATGTAGTGTTCATCCAGTACCATAGAGTATCATAGTTGCTAAGCTGAAAAACATTTCCACCTATTTCACAGTGTTCAAATGAACAATTACAATTGGGGTATCATAACTTCTTTGAAGGGAAGCTGTTCAAAAATGTGACGCCTTACACAGCAAATATATATTGGCGCTATATTATCCCAGATCGAACTATTATTCTATTCTTAGCAGTTATGTCCCTATCATTGAATATATTCCTGAGGTCTGTCACCAATATAGCCTGAGCTTGCGAGGGTTATATTACGACAGACCAAGGCATATATTCAATGATACGGACATAACTGTTGTATTACATACTTTTATATCATGGCTACGTTATATCAATGACGCAACGTGTCTGTGTGCGAGTGAAATTAGGAAGAAATGAAACATGACGTCCCAATGACGTCATAAGATTGTCATGGTAAAAGGTTTGGCGGCTATACAGGAATATATAGCCGACCTTCAGCTCCATTGACTTCAATACAAATGCTTCGCTGGGTATGTAATACATATATATATAATACTGTATATACAATATACTTAATGTGGAGTCGTGGACTAATTTTTAACATTCAAGAAGACAACAGTTGATACAACATTGTAACAAGACATTAAACTACTTTATAAAATGACACGATTTAGAATGAAAACTAATTGTCATTGGTCCATTAAGCAGGGGTTTCATTAGCAGCAGGCAACAGGCGATTTTCACAGGTTGTTTTCACAAAATCGTCTGTTGTTTTAGGAACTTTTCCAACTTTTCCATGTTAAGGATGTTCCCTGATCATAATTTGAACCTACCGCGCAGCTACTGCGCACCGTAGTTTGGTCGATTTTTTTTACGATTACGACTTTCACTTCAACTATTATTTTGTTAAAATAAATGAATATCTGGTGTAAATACTGTAAAATAATTATATAAAAAGTGGATAGTGGTAATAAAATGATTTCTGTTGTGTTTTGTTCACCAAATCAATGATTTTACAACATCTCGTCGACAAATTTCGTCACTTCCGGTTTCAATTTTTTTCAAAGTGATTTCGAATTTTGCTCCTATTTTGCATTATTTTCACTAAATTACTTTCAACATGCCAAAGTTAACGTACGGATTTAAGTCAACTGCTCAAAAACAACGTCTTCAACACATTTCTTCCTCGCAAAAAGAACGGTGGAACTCTAAATCTAAATCTGAATCTTCATTCAATATTGGTTTCGGACTAGGCCTAGACCAGAACTCTGACTCTGAGGCAGACGGGAATGAAGTCATTTACCCTCCATTATCTGATCATTCATATTCTTCAAAAACACCGGATCTATCTCATATAATAAAAACAGAGGAAGTGCATACATCTGGTAAAAAGAAGTTCACGTTTGATGGAGTAGAGTTGATGGCCTATGACACCAACTGGAGGGTTGGTCAACGAGTTGTGGAACTTGGCCATATGGCAGATGGATTAAAGTCAGGTTGTAACACATGTAAAACTCCACTAAACTTGTCTGACATTGTTAGTGAAACCAAAAGAGGCCTTGGGTCATATCTTCACATTAAATGCAGCAATTCTCTCTGTGATAAGATATCAGTTATTAGTACAGGGAAAAAGCAGGATCGAGTTTTTGATGTTAATCAAAAATTGGTTACAGGTATGCATATATTTTAATGTACTTGAACAAAAGGTACATGGGGACATTTCATTAAAAATTGTTAATTTTTTTGTAACAAAGCTAGATTTTAGGCTCAATTGACAGATCAGTGCAGTAAATGCATAAAGTGAGACATTAATTTATCTTGAAAAAATGATAAAATGTCCCCATGTCTACCACAAAGATAACCTCTGAATTGTGCTGATTTTATGGATGTAACATACCATTATTATATATATGAATTTGATTGGTTAATTTGAACTTTATACCACGGTTCATCCATGTGCAGTATTACAAATAAAATATTAATATCTGAATGACAATTTTAAGTGAAACATGTTCAACACATGTACTGTTTAACTCATAGGCCCCGGAACATGTATTAAAAACATCGAGTAGAGTACACCAAGTACTTTAACTTGATGATTTTCAGTGGCTAGAATTCAGCATTTTGCTTGTGTATTTATTGTTCGTGACAAAAAATATTGAAAATCGAGGATGTTTTAGGTAAACATTTAATTTTCGCAGCTGCTTACTTTGCACACATGACACTAAGTCTCTGAATTTATAGCCTGTATATACCAATTGCATGTTGATATTTGTCATCTGTTCACACCCCTTTCCAAAATAAACTTCATTTTTTCAAATTTCTCATCTAAAATGTATATTGATCCTTGCTTCAGGAATGATCCATACTGGTCTAGGGGAGTACCATGTGAATTCCCTCTTGTCTGCCTTGAATGTACCACCAGTATCTCAGTGCATGCTGTCCAAAAGAGAACATGCTGTTGGAGAAGTGATCAAGGAGGTAGCTGATGGGTCTGTTTCTGAAGCTCGTGTTGCAGAAGCAGGGGCACATTATGAGTAAGTAAATGACATGGATTTTCACTTATTTTTGTAAGAAAGGGAGTATGAGCATACTATACTTTTGTGAATTGATAATTGATCATTTTTGATACTGATCTAACCAGCAGTGAAACCATTGTAGAATGTGCTCTAACCAGTACAGTAAAACCTTTGTAGAACAAACTTAAACCAGTAAAATTAAACCATTGTAACAATGGTTTACAAGGGTTTTACTGTACTGCACATTCTACATTGTACAGTAAAACCCTTGTAGAACAAACCTTAACCAGTAATAAACTTAAATCAGTACTGTTGGAAACCAATGTTACCATTATAGAATTTTCAGACCAGTACAGTAAAACCTTTGTAGAATGTGATCTAAGTTAGATCTAACCAGTGAAACCATTGTAGAACAAACTTAAATCAGTACACTGAAACCATTATAGAATGTGATCTGACCAGTACAGTAAAACCTTTGTATAATGTGATCTAAGTTAGATCTAACCAGTGAAACCATTGTAGAACAAACTTAAATCAGTACAGTGAAACCATTATAGAATGTGATCTGACCAGTACAGTAAAACCTTTGTAGAATGTGATCTAACCAGTGAAACCATTGTAGAACAAACTTAAACCATATAGTGAAACCATTGCAGAATCTTGTCAGACTATGACAAATACAGTGAAACCATTGTATAATAAGCAGCTATGACCAATACAGTGAAACCATTGAAAAATAAGCTATTCCCAATACAGTGAAACCATTGTAGGACAGTCATCCTATGACCAATACAGTTGAACAATTATAGAATATGTTCTGACCAGTACAGGGAAACCATTAAGAGTGTTATACTATTACCAGTACAGTTAAGCCATTATAAAATTTATTCTGACCAGTACAGTGAAACTGTTGTAGCTTTGTTGGACAGTCAAACAGTGACCAGTACAGTTAAATATTTTTGAATGTGTTCATATCAGTACAGCAAATCCATTTTTGTTTGAGGTCTGACCAATACAGTGAAGCCATTGTAAGACAGTCATACTTTACAAGTACAATTAAACCAGAATGGGGCCTGACCCTGACCACTACAACAATTCAATTAAATTAAAATGTAAATGTGAACATATTTTACAACTCAAATGTATGTTTTCAGAAAAACTGGTGAGACAAGAAATAAAGCCTCCTTTGACGTTGCATGGACTAAACGTGGCAGCGGCAAGTCTTATGACAGTCTTTCAGGTAAAATTTGACTACTGTATTTTAGAATTAAGTATAGGTAATGATTCTTTGGCAACCATCATGAACAATATGATTTTAGGGTTTAATGCAGGTGGTGTAAAGTGTAAGATAGTCCCTCTGTGAGGTCCCCAACACACATTACACTCTCACATGAAATTCCGCTGAATCTGAATACCAAGTAGTTGAGTTGGTGCCTAAATGATTGAATTTCATCTTTGAACTTTCAGAAATCTCCCCCCCCCTGGGTTTAATGCAAAAGTTACTTCAAAGTTTACTGTGAAAATGTTCAGGTTCATGTTCAGGTCTCATTCATAACCTTAGCAATGCTTACTTTAATTGTACCATTAACTATTCTTGAATTAAGGAATAAAGAATCATTTAGCATTCTATATTGGAAATATAAAAGCATGAGTGTATGTACTAACCCATACACATAATGCACGAAGGCGAAGCCTGAGTGCATTATCAGAATGGGTTAGTACATACACGAATGCTTTTATATCCAATATAGAATGATACATGATTTTTTATTGCAATTCAAACATGACTCTGGTCAATGATAAAGTAGAACAGCTCACTATTTACATCTACAAGGTTGTTGTCTTTGAATAAATTAAATTTTATATGTTTTGGACAAGTTTATTATCAAGAAATATTAGGGGTGTTGGGTTACACTTGATATTTGTATGAAAACGATTGATACAGGTTTGTTTGTCAAAATATTATAGGAAATGAAATAATTAATTTGTTGAAGAAAAATTATGAAAACTTGTTTGGAAAATCATAGCATTGACTGAAATGAACACACTGATGATATGCTGTCACCCCTTTTGAAAGAATAGTACTGCTCAGTCTGTGCATTTATCAAAAATTAAATGCACTGGAAAATCATCTTCATGCATATATCAATAAATTAACACACTGAAATGCTTTAAGCTGATTGGCTGAGACACACTTGGCATGTTTGAATAATTTGTAAAAACTATCACAGTGCAATTTCACCATAATTTACATTCATATTTTACATTCATATCTTGTTTTATTTTTTTATTTTTAATTACAGGTCATGGGACAATGATTGGTGCACAGACTGGCCGTTGTGTTGGATATGGTGTGGCCCAATCAAAGTGTAGGAAATGTGATTACTACATCTCAAGAAAGAGGGATGTGCCAGAACATATGTGCTCAAAAAATTATACCGGAACTGCCAAAGGTATGGAGCCTGAATTAGGCTGTAGACTGGTAAATGAGGCCAATAAGAGTAATTTCAAAATTGGCACTATCATTGGGGATGAGGA